ATGAAGGTGAAGAAGACGTGTCTAAATCTTTCGCTACTGCAATGCGGTACACAATTTTACAGGTAAAGCGGCAGATAAAAAAAATTCCCATATAGGAGCTTTTCCACTATTTGCTAACTCTTCAATAGTTTAGTTGCGCAACGGCAGCCAATCCAACTGGCACTCAATCTCTTCAAATATTCGCCGCCCGCATCAATCAACTGCAAAACTGCGCCTCACTCCCTTTCCGCTGTAATTTTCGCTATCCGCCAATAAAATATTCAGGCGAGAGACTACGGCTAGGAAAGTAAATATAACGACGACACTGCAAATCGCGTTATTTTCTTACTTTGCAGTCCGCACGGAATCGCTTATCAAACGCTGGTCTAATTACGGCTCGTTTGTCAACAACCGACTGCAAACAATAAGCCGATATATACGTACGAGCGCTCCTAAGTCGGAGAACGGCAGGCTAGAATTATAGAGGCGACTGCAATATATCCAGCGCGAAACAAACCGAGTGTAAAACTGCACCAGGTGCATCCCGCCGCCAGCTGCAGTTGGTCACGTGACTACTGCAACGCTCCCTACATTCCGCAACTTTTGCGCGCGCGCGCTCGCTCGCTTGTATATAGAAAAAGGGAGTAGGGAGGGGAGGGGACCAAATGTCATCAGAGAAAAAAGTAGGCGTACCTATTTGTCTGCAAACGTTAAAATTTTATGACAGTAGAAATCGATAGAACGTCGAAGGGGTTAGTTGGTGTAAATGCGACGTCGAGTCAGTGCGGTATATCGTATATTAAATCCGAAACTGACGCTTTGAAGACGGGGAACGCCGCGTGAAAGGAGAATTATTTATCGTACGCCATCGGCTAACCGCTATGTGTTTTTAGCCAACATCATAAGAGCGGTTCCCGAGAGTAACGCTCTGGTAATCGTCATTTCAGACCGTTACACTCAATCGGTATGGGTGTAAAGGTCATTTATTACGGCCCGTAAACACGGCATTGTACAGTGAAGCTTTGTCGGTGCCCCACTCCCTCCCTTCCTATATGTACTAAATTGAATTGCTCTCCAACTCGTTCGACGTCTCTCTCTCTCTCTCTCTCTCTCTTTGCTATAAAAAAAACGTGAAAAAATACTTTCTACACTCACCTGACCACGTAAAATGTGCAGACATCAAAGGAAGACGACTGAGTGAAGCGGTAGACGTCTTTATTTCTGCAGCAATTAGGCCTTTTTAAAGAATTTCTTAGCCAAGGCGTCGGCCGGTCTGCGTTAGGAAAAGAAGAAAAAAAAAACTAAACCGGGCGTTCAGTCAACTGTAAAGAGAAATATCGACGGCTGCACTGTATGGAATAGGAAAGTCGACTGGGAGAATGGAATTAATTAACGGAAATCGCGCTCATTAATGTTCGAGCGTTACTGGTGCAAGATCGTGTCTAAGAGTTTCTTAAAGCTCTTTATCTTATTAATTTCTACATAAAAAATGAAGATTTAAAATTTTCAATCTTTGTTTTTTAGCGTTTTTTTTTTTCCCCCAATTTTTTTAACCTAACCAAAGAAAATACAGCCACAGCCCTTCTTCCGTATCGGACTTGATTTATAGCTTGTCGGGAATATATGTCAAATTCTATCGATTACCGTATATATGTCTGAGTGAAAGAAAAATAGTCTTTTCTCTCTACATACATAATAGAATGTAGCTCCTATCTTCATATACAATATTCGTATGCGGTGTATACAGTATAACGAGTTGAATATTGATATGTATATAGTACATTTATATATATATATATATATATATATACATATATGTACATGTATATAATCAAACTGCTGATAGGCAGAAACATCAGCGGATATTTACGAATAATACTTAAACTACTGTGTAGTCGTATTCATATTTATCTATAGGCCTTATAATAAATTTATTCGGGCAGAATGAATGGTAGGAGGGTGGGAGGAACGGATGGATGATGGGAGATAAGTCAGAAAAGACGCGGTGAAGAGAGGAGACAATAAGTTCAATAGTAGGTTTCAGCTACAAACTCAAATAGTATAGTATATAAATATATGTATACACCTTTTGCATATTGTAAATGTATGGTAAATATGTCTGTTTGAGAATAGTTGCGTGTTTTGTAAGATAAAAGTACTCACAGCTACAAGCATAAATTTTTTTAGTATAAAGATATATACAAGTGCGTTTGCATGCAGGAACTGTATTTATATAAATATATGTAAATACTATAAATATACTATATATATATATATATATATATTCTTACATATCTATCCATCTATCTATATGTCTTTATAGCAGTATATATAAATATATATATATATATATTTAGCCATCTATATTTTCTTCTACAAGTACTATTGAGAGTATATTAAGCCTACATCTTAAAAATTTCACGGTAGCCGACTTTTAAGTACACACTCGATAAAAAACTGCCATAGCATTTACTAATTAACGGATATCATAGCAATAAAGCGACAGCAGGAGCTCTTTAAAGAGCTATAACAAAAACAGTTACAAACTCTTTACCAAGTGAATTTTGTCGATACGACGTTCGATCGATTTGCAATAACAAAAATGTACTTACTGTTAACGGTTTGAAAATCTATTGAAGGTCTATAAAACAATTTTTAGCCTTTCCGGTACTATCCATTGGCGCGTATTTAAGTCGTCGTATTCCTCTATCAATGATTTTAAGCTTTCATTTGCCAAATCAAATTCGTTAATACTCATTTCTCCATGATCGGTATAATGATGAATATGAGCCTGTAAAGGGGTAATGTTTTAATAATAAAGAAAAAAGAGTAGGAGAAAGCGAGAGGGAAAGAGAAAAACGAGCTAAAAAACAAAAAATAATTGTTATACGGGTTTAGTTTATCAGTTTTTTCGGCGTAGATATAATAAATAACATGTGCTGTACTCGCCTTTCTGGTATAGAGTTTATTAAATCGAGATTGTAAGTTCTTGAAGGTTTCAACTATGCAAGTATTGTTTGATAGAGAAAGTAAAGAGTAGCGATGATCGACAGGCGCAACAGAGCATAAGCCGATTTTCCAGCCATCTTTGTTCCAGGGAACAAATTTACATTTCATTTGTAATCTATAAAAGTAGAGAATGATCATTTAAGAAACAAAAAGCAATAATACTAATACTAATACTACTACTAATAATAATAATAACAAAGACATTATTAATTATACAAGAGAAATTTACTTTTCTATATTTCTCCTGACATCTGATAGTTGAACGTTCCCCCTAATCAGCAATCCACTAGCCAAATAAAGGTTTCTTAACGGATCGCAATCGACCAGATGATTAAGTGACGTAAAAGCATCCGTAAAAATTTCGTCTAATCTACAAAAAAAAGATAATTAATTATTCAACGAAATTTCCTTCATTTATTCATTCGGTATACCTTCTAGGCCCTATTCCTTTGGTAGAATAAATAGGTGCCATACTGGACAGGATATAATGAAGTTTAGGAAAAGGCACCAGATTCATCGTTATCTCGTTTAGATCGACGTTAAGAGAACCCTCAAATCTCGAGGAGCTATATATCGAAAATGATATAATTATAATGAGTAGAAAAGTGGTTAACAAATTTTGCTAACCTGGTCAAATTTAATAAAAGGTTCGCTACTATATCATTCATATTGTCGAACGGTTTGCCTGTTTTCTTTTCCGATTGTTTGTTCATTTTAGCGTGCCTTTCAATAATGTTTGTCAAGCACTGATTTTCGATCGGTAGAACGCAGTTGGCATAATTAGTTAGTTGATTAGTAGCGAGCATCGTGTTGTAAGGCGAAGTAATTACGTCATCGTCAAACGATGGATAGACGGCGGTTACTAAAAATAGGATTATATAATAGATTTTCTGTTAGAGAGGTTTGGGTGGAGAGGGAAAGGGAAGGTTAAAAGTTAAAGAGCGAACCGAAACGATAAACGTCCGGATATTCTTCAGCAACCAATCTTAGGACTGAAGTGCCTAAACCGGAACCAGTGCCCCCTCCCATAGAATGAAGTATAAAGAAGCATTGTAAACTGTCGCAGGACTCCGCCTCCTTACGAACGTTTTCTAATATCGATTCCCTATGCTGCTGTCCATATACCATGTGGCCGACGGCCCTACGAATAAGAGGGTAAACAGACCATATAACGACCTTGAAGAGAGAGAGATAGAGAGAGAGAGTAGGAAGAACAGAAGGGGGAGACTGTAATTAGTTGCTTACTAACCAGTTATTTCCCGATCCTGAGACATCAGTAATCAGTTGACGACGATCGAAAACATTTCTTAATTTCCCTTTCATTATCTCATTTACGACTCCTTCTTCCATATCAATAAGAATTGCCTACAAATTAGATAATGGTATACACTATTAGAATTTAAATTTACGAAAAAAAGGAATAAAAACAACAGACTCTAGCTTTTAAGTCGGCAATGGTCTTTCTATTTTCATCACCACCTTCGTTTCTAAAGAAACTTTTCAGGGCATCGTCATATATTCCCTTCTGTTATGGAAAATTAGTGACTTTGTTATTTTTATCACACAAATTCGTTCCCCAGATAATTATATACTTATACAGTCTTTTATATATATATATATAAATATATAGATAAATATTTCTGTTTATTTATTTATTAGTATTGTAAAATTATGTAATGTATATGTATATATCTAAAAATCTACCCTGTTCACTGACGCGTGTTCTTTCAAAGCTAAATCCCAAAACCGGCAGCCAATTTGATTCCCGCATTGTCCAACTGTCATTGAAGGACTTTTTTTAAAAAAAGAAAAATTGTAAATTTTATCATGTCTTCAAACCTTGTATTACGATACTTTGTGTCATGTTTCGGAGGGATAATACAAAAATTTGTCTATAAACTGGTTCCGATCTCCCAATCTATAACTCTATCATTAATTTTATTAACAGAATGGTAATACCATACTTTTGACTTTTATTCCTATCTGAAATTTTACGTGAAAAACGGAAGAGGAAAGGTTACTCTCTGAAAATACCAGGTTTTAAGTTAGAATTGACAAAATTGTCACTGCTATAACAATAATGTAAACAAATATTTTTCTCGTGGATACTGCCGATATTAGTTTTTTTTATATAAATAAATATAAATATTGCAAATAGGCGAAAAGAATTATTCGAGAAAATAATCTTGATTGTGATATCAAGAGAAAATAGTTTCTTTATTTGGCAATATTTTGTTGATTAGTCGATTTGATAAAATATGGAAAAGGAGCGCAACAAGAGGCCTATTCGGATAAAGATAATAAGCATGGGTAATGCAGAGGTCGGAAAGGTATTTATCTAACCGGTAGAATATGTAATAGGTAGGAAATATACAGTAGATATATATATATATATATATGAAAGAACGAAAATGATTAGAGAAGGAAAAGAAAGAGTTAATGAAAAATAGTAGGAGGGAAGTGGAGGGAGGATGGGCTCTGGGAGTGAGCTTATTTAGTATTTACGACAGCAATAGTTTGCAATTTGAAAGTATATCTATAAATATAGACAATTGTGTAAAATATTACTGTATAAGTATTGCTATCCTTACATTATTACCTTACTACTTTCAGAGTTGTATTATAAAGCGATATTGCGAAAAGAGGTTCGTTCACAAATATTTAGCAACGATCGGCATCGATTACGGAGTGACGAAGTAAGTGAGGGAAATGGGTCATACAATAGTGTTTATTCACCGTTATTGGTAAATATTTTCCTACCGTAGAGTGACGGTGAAAAATAGAGAAGTTAAAGTAAACATTTTCGATATGGCCGGTCATTCAATATTCTACGACGTTAGTAAAAAGGAAAAATAGTAATAGATTTAATCGGAAATTGTCTAAGTGAAGTCATTTTTAGGTCCGAAACGAATTCTATAAAGATACGCAAGGGGCTTTACTGGTCTATGACGTATCAGATCGGAGTAGCTTTGAATCCCTCGATCACTGGTTGACAGAAATGAGAAATGAAATAGGAAATGCTTCGGAAATGCAGAACGTGTTCTACGTTGTTTGTGCAAACAAGGTAAATCAGATTAATTCTTATGTCTCTGTACAAAATTACGGGCTTGAAAAACTCATTACAGACTGATTTAAAGAGAAAAGTCGACGAATCCGACGGTAGACTCTGGGCAGATTCTAAGGGATTTAGGTACTTTGAAATGTCTGCTCAAACTGGTGAAGGGATTACGGAAATGTTTCAAGTGGGAATCTTTCAATTATAGTTTGACACTAGCACTAGAAATGAATAGTGAATAGTGAATAGTATAGATAATAACAATTTTTATTTAATGGTTATTCTCTGCTTTTTCTCCTTTAAAATATACAACAGGAACTCTTCGAGGGTGTTCTTCATATGGTAGAGAATGGAGGTAAATTAAAGCTGCCTTCGACCCAACTTGGTTACAGTAAGGAGCAAGCGGAGGCTATTTATCAATTGAAAAATGCCAAGGATAACTATGAACGATTGGGACTAATTCCTGGAGCGACAAAGTAAACAAGAAAATTGAGTTTAAGCCATATACGCTAGAATGCTTTCTATTAATTTCAGAGACGATATAAATAATGCCTACAGGAGGTTAGCGAAGCTTCTTCATCCCGACAAAAGTGTTGCACCCGGATCAGAAGAAGCCTTCAAAATTTTAGTATCAGCAAGAACATCTTTGTTAAAAAACGTTCGATAAACCGGTAATTGAAACTCGCGCCAAAAGTAAAATAAAAATATTTTTTTTCCATTTCCAATAGTAAATTAGGTGGATTTATTTTTCAATAAAACCTACCGCTGTATTATATGACACTATTTGCGTAGACGCTACAAACGTACATGCTATGGCTTATCAATTTCAATAATGTGTTTGTTCATTCCCTCTAGCCGTGCGTTGACTATTATATTTGCTTGCTATTAAAACTTGTACAAAAAAATTGATGCACTATATCGATTGTCCCACAGAAATTATTACGTAAACGAATTAAGGACCGATGGAAAGAGGGGAAGAAGTATTCTTCAAGAGAATAAAGCAAACCGCCTTTTCTCGTTTAGCCTTTTAATTTATAAGTTTGTTGGCCTAACTAATAGCAAAATAGATAAATCTTCAATTGATTGCTCAGCCACGTAGAGTGCGTTAAGCGTCACAATAACTTTTTAAACGACCTATAGATAGACGCACACATATCGAGGCCAGCTCTGCTAGTTGGCTACATTCTCTCTCTCTCTCTCTCTTTTTTTTATAGATTTAAAGTGTCAAAATGTTAAAAGATACAGTATTTGCTCTACATAACTAAATATACAATATATTTATATTTATATCTCCTGTAACTGTATATATATGATATATTTATATTTATATTGCTCAGGCTATATTTATATATTTAATATAAGCACACGTTTTTCATTTCTCACTCTTAAGCTCCCTCTCTGTCTCTCTCGATCTATCTATTTATCTTTTATTCATTTTCTATTCCAACTGTTACTACTTTTTCTCTGTTGTCTAACCGTTAATACTCTCAGCTACTCGCTTTTCTCTCTTTGTCTCTATCCTACTTAATCTGTAACAACTCTTTAAGAATATTATCCAATACTCTCATTTAAAAAGGTCAAATTAAAGGAAAAGTCACACAGTTTTTGCTTTTAATTGACCGCTAGGCAATCAATGCATAAACGAAATTCAAGAAGAGACGCAATAAAAGCGAAGGAATAATCCATTTTCTTTTCTATTCGACGCGCAAAAGCCGAGCTTCTTGATTTATTAATACGGTAAAGGATCATTAGAAAAGAAACAGAACAAATTTTCTTTCATTTTCAGATGTTTGTTCCTCGAACCTAAATTCTCGACGGAAGAAAACATAGGACAAATTCTAATTTGCAATGCAATTTGTTGCTTTTTTTGAAATAGACATCTTGCGTAATTTATAAACTTTATACAGCAGAACAAGCATTCCAATAGAAAGATAAAGAGAGGGAGGGAACGAGGAAGGGGGGCGAGAGGTGGAAAAGGATGTGGGGGGGAGGTGAGGGTAGAAGATAGATAGCTAGATAGCTAGATAGATAGAGAGATAGATAGATGGAAGCAGAGAGAAATATGAAAATAGAAGGAAAGAAAGGGAAGAAAATAGCTATATAAACACAATCTAATTAAAGAAACATTTACTGTCTAATAAATACCGAGTATTTTATATTAAGTATTCAGTATATATAATATCCTATATAAACGTATATTATATAAATAAACGTACATAATCAAAACAATATAATATAACATTATTCAATTATTGTCATACAGAATAAATAGCTAAAATACAAAATGATATATAGTGTTTTATATGTTCTTTAAAGTACAGCTAGGGTGTCAGTTAAGAAAATAAACATACAGAACAGTCTATATTTGACTGTTTCTTTTAACGTATATACAGCATATATATATATATATATATACTCCATATTAACTATATTCTAATATACTATTTGTAAAGATTTAACCCAGAATTTGCTTGTGTATGTACTTAAAGACTATCTAAGGGCAAGGAGGGTACACTATTATATATTCTATAGTATATGCTCTGTGCATAACTGGTGTTCACTTTCATAATATACCGACTGCATCTATTATAGTGCACGAAAAGGCGAACATTCTTAGGTGCACATTGGGATTTAAGTAGAGAACGCGTTCTTTTCGCCTATGTGTCTTTCTACATACTGTATATATAAGTTTTTCGCACTATATAGAAAGTCGATGAATTCAATTTATATATATATACAGTATATATACAATATATAGATATATAGTATGCTGTATATATAGAATATTGGCTGTCTATCTAACTACATACAGATATACACTATCTAAACTGTATTTCATACGGTACAGCAAAAACGTATGCAGCAATTTGCGGTTACACACAATATAAATAACTGTACACCGTATATATATACATTGTGCTATTTTTTATTAGTTCTATATGTCCAGTTAATATAAAATATGAATTTACACGCAAGCTGCTCTCTTTCTCGCTTCTCGCTCTCTCTTTTTCTCTTTTCCTCTTTTTTTTCTCTCTCTCTCTCTCTATCCCTCCCTCTCTCTCCCTCTCTCTCTCTCTCTCTCTCGCTATCTATCTAACTTTCTATCTATCTCCTCTCTATAATATTAAAAAGACTTTTTCCCATGATTATATTGCGCTTAATCGAACATTCTCCCTATCGACCCGTATAATACAATTAAATGAAAATGCCCTTATATGGAGTTATAAAGAACTTTTTTAGATTATTATTATTGCACATATAGGGATTGGTACGGAGCATGTGTTTTACTGACCTCAGGCCATTGTTACAAACAATTTTTATAATGAAATATAACATAAAAAGAGAAAAAAGAGCGTCCATCGTGTATATACATTATATATAATAAATATTGCATATATACCATATTATATATATACAATATATATAATTTGAATAGTATACACAGCTATTCACTAGATACAGTACATAACAGTTCATACAATGTATACAAAATAGGCCTGATTAGAAAAAAAATCTATCTGTTCAATACAGTTCCCTACATGTATTCAATAATAGAGAGCATCACGTGGCCACTTGTCCGAACAGATAGCCAGCGTTATGTACATGAAATATAGCGGCGATTTTTAGCAGTTGGTAGTGTTTATATCTATTTTTAAACTTCATTAATCATCAATATGAAGTTAATTTATAGTATTAAAATTACAAAGCAGCTTTGATCTATTTTGAATATTGTTTGAATATAATTTGAATATCTTTTTTTAAATATATTCAAATAGAATATGAAAATAAACTCATTTGAATAATAAAGACGAGTGAAAAATGTTCAATACGGCAGATAAAACCTATATATTCTATTGAATTTCTCTTTTATCTTTCAATAGAATAACAAGAAACAAGGGGAAGAGAAAGAAACAAAAGGGGACTGTGTGTGTGCTTGAGTGTGTGTGTGTGCAAGAGAAAGAGAAAGAGATAGAGAGAGGGGAGAAAGAGGCGAAAAGACACAAACGGTGAGATATAAAGCGAAAGAGGGAGGGAGATAGATAGATAGAGGAGCAGAGGAAGAACGAACTAGCAAACTAGCGAACTAGCGAACTGGCGGGAGAGAGAGAGATCAAGAGAGGACGATATTGGGGGGAAAATGAATTGCTTTCCCTATATGACAACCTATTGCGTTATTCTTTGGCTATTATTTAAAGTAATTATTCCGTGGCTATCGTCAGTCACGTCAGATTCATATAGGAAATTGGATAAACATCAGAAGATGATTTGGAGTGAGAATGTCGTTTCGACTATACACGCCATTGTTGTCTCCTTGCTAGCCACTTGGATTTTACTATATGACGAAGCAGTTATAAAGGAGCCAGTCTTAGGAGACAGTTGGAGTATAAGACAATTAGCGTCTATCGCCTGCGCCTTCATGTTGGTCGATATCGTTATTATGTACTCTGTAGGCGACCGTTCTTCACTCTTCTACATTCATCATCTTAGCGTAGCTTTAACATCGCTGTACTGCATGAGAGAAGGCCGTTTCTGCCCATGGTTTACATCCATCAAGACTCTAAGTGAAGCTTCGACACCGTTTGTTCATGCCAATTGGTTCCTAAAAGCATCCAAAATATCCGAAGATAGCGTTGCCGCAAAACTCTTAACGTATGCAGTATTTACCATGTGTAGAATATTACTTATCCCAATCTTTTGGTTTAACACCTATATTCATTGGGAGAAAGGCTGGTCGATAAAGATTGTATGGGTTTTAATCCTAAGTTCCAGTGTCGTTTTAGACTTACTAAATATCAGGTGGTGGTGGCAAATGACTGTCAAATTTCTCTATTATGCACGTTGTATAATTCAAAACGTTGCATACGATGATAAAAGACACCGACTTCCATCTACTATTTACAACAAGTCAGAAAAGGCTGAAAAACAAATGTAATCTTATTCAATTATCTTCTCTCAATATAAATTATGCGAATAACAAATACAAAAAACTGTTTAAATAGGTAAACAGATTTTTATATTTCCATAATAAATATTAAGCTTTGTGCTAGGTCATCACGTATTAACTTATAGGCCTGTATTATCCCTATCAAATATTGCGGGGGCGACACTCGCTCTTTCACCCTCATAGCTACTCTATATAAAGAACGGAGTAAAAGAAATAGAAGGGCATAAGGGTAGAAGGCGACTTTTTGGACGAGTTGAGGCTTTTAGCAATCAAATAGATGGCGGATAATCTATTTCTTGGTGTAATTCTAACTTTGATTATTATACGGGTGTCAGGTATTAATGAAAATGCTGGCTTAATTACTAAAAACAATTAAATATATATTCTTCTGCTTGTTCTTGTTCTTGTTCATCATTATCATTATCATCATTATCTTCTTTTTCTTTCAAACTTTCCATTACTCTACACCTACTTTTTATACGAAGAAAAAAGTTTGTTGTAAATTGTATATTCTATATTTATAGGACGTTCATGCGTTGATAAACCGTGCGAAAATGGTGGATTATGCTTTTCTGAGAATAGCAGTACAGGATATCGTTGCGAATGTCAAAAGGAATTTTCTGGCTATAATTGTTCGAATACAAAAATGACGAGTTTGGCTCTTGCAATGATCACTGTAATTTCTATACTTGTTGTTACGTTAATTGGTATTCTCTTCTTTATGTACAAGAGGAGACAGGCTTTAAATGGGCCTTCTTTTTCATCGATTGCCTCCGAATCATCGTTCGAAGATAATCGAAACGAACCCGTAATCAACTTAGCCGAAGTGAATATTGAAGAAAATTTACACAGACACTCCCAAATCCTAAAAACCGGTCCTTTGGCAAAGTCAACAAACCAGGCCTTTATCGAAGGTCATCCAGCTCTAATGCTGAAAAACCCTTCGTTCAAAGAAAAAAGTACAGCAGCATGGGCATGGCAATTGCAAACCAATGACAACAACAATGGATACGAACCAACGCCCAGTTCGCCTAACAACAATAGTACCCTGGACGAGAGGAGATTAAGTTCGGGAGGAAATGTTTGGTATCCATCCTACGTAGGAGGACCAACAGCTGGTGTAGGAGGCAGCCCGCTTAATATGATAAAGGATCCTCCATCCTTCCCTACACCAAAATGATTTATATTAAGAACCAACCCACGTCATTATATACGAATAAAAGACAATCTATTGACACATGAAAAAAAAAGTGCTAGAAGTGTACTGTATAAACGTACTGTAAACCATATTTAGAATTGCCTAAGTGCATATAAAGAATTCTTTTATAAATTGTTCGTTCTTTAAGTGACGTAGAAGCGAGATTGTAACCAAGACGAGTGACTACTGATATTAATATGCACTTCGTCTACATAGGAGAAGAAAAAGGGAAGACAAAGAAGGAAGCGTTGCTAATTACTTATATGCGCAAAGGAAAATTATTAGCCTCTACACAAAAAAAAAGAATCGTCAGTCCTTTATTCTCGTAAAGAATAGTTTTCGTCTTCTTTTTCTTTTCTTTTCTCTTTTCCATATCATAAATATTTTCTCTAAATGATGAAAAGAGATAAACTAAACGAGGAAAAAAAAACCGTTTTTTATGTTTTTTAAACGTTGATCGGAAAATCGTTAGTGTCTACTTAATCGTCTATCCGACAGTGTTTCTCAACTATCTGTCATACATCATTGCTATTTGGTAATAGTAGCTTATTTTATTGGAGAAATATTACAAAAATTAGCGTGTGAGAGAGAGAGAGAGAGAGAGAGAGAGAGAAAGAGAATGCGCACACGTGTACCATATGTGTTTACCTCTCATTTCTGTTTTTCTCTATCTCTTTATCTATCTATCATTCTCTCTCTCTCTCTCTCTCTCTCTCTCTCTCTCTATTAAAGTAATATGAAAACCAAAACCCCCAAGATAATTACTAGTCGAATGAATAATACACTTAAATGTATATATTTAGTAGGGTTGGTTAGTGTTGAAACCACTGGTACCGCTGTTATAATTGCTATTTTCTATTGTATAAGACTGGTCATTTATAGTTATGCTTGATTACTAATTAGCTTTAGGGTGCAACGCACTTTTGTCCTTAAAGTAGAATTGCTAAACTTGCATATCTTAATTGCAAATCATGTTTACAATCTTATTAAGGTTTTTTTTAGACGCTAAATTTATCCTTTTCTTTTCTTAATCTTTAAATTAACTCTCTTTTCAATTTTATAATGTATTTTGTAACCCCGCAATAAAGCTAGTTATATATCATTCTTTCTTCTTTATTCTTTCACTCTCTCATCTTATTCCCTTATCAACATTACCACCTTAACTACCATTTGCTAACGTCCTCTCTCTCCCTCCCTTATTCACTCATTCTATCTCTTCCTCTTTAAATCGATTTGCGTCGCTTCGACAATCGATCTGACTAATTAATTATAAAAAAAGTAGTAGACCTGCATACGAAAAATTAATTGTATTATTATTATTCATCCAAATAACCGTCTACGTTCAGTCATACTATGAAGCATTAATTTAAAGTAATTAATATCCTTTTGGAGTTGGCAGCGGAAGATTAAACGTGAGGAGAACGGCAGTAACTTTTTTTCCCTTTACTTCTTCTAAGAGAATTCCTTTACTTTCTTTTTTCCTGCTTATTGAGATAATTATATGGCTTTAATAAAAAGAACTAAACAAAAACAAGTAACATGCGCTTTTTAATACAAAAACAATTAAAAGATATAGTTAGACACTGCATTTTGCAAGAGAAGTTTCCTGTTCCCTTTTCTGCCTCTCTCTGTCTCTCTCTCTCTCTTTATTTCACTCCAATAAAAGGACAAATAAACTTTGTAAACCAATATCAAAGTTCATTGACGTTTACATAAATCTTATTAATAAATCCTCATGTAAATTCTATTCTCATATTTAATTCTTTTTATTCTCCTTTTCTAAAGCTTTATGTAGTCAATTTGATATAAATTTCTCACGACGTATAGTTAGACTTTTAAAATATTTATCAGTTTAACTCCGACAGTCCTGGGAAATGGGGTAAACAGCTAACAAAAAAAAAACAATTAAGACTTTTATTGAATTTCATGAAGAGACATGAGATTTTAATAATTAGGTTAATCTTGTTTATCCTATCTTCAAAGGTCATTTTTGACGTTCAATCTATCAATATAAATTCTACGAGTTGACAAAGAGAAATAAGGATATAAATAATAATAGGAAGAAAAATATAATCATTTTTTCGACCTCATCATCTACACCACCTTGTATTTAACAAGGACTCGACTTTACACTTTTCCACGCCTACGCTAGGTGCCGTGCGGATGTTAGCATTACCCAACAATCCGGTAGGCTCGCACGTGCTTCACAAAAACATGCCTCGTAGAACCGTTTTTCCTGATGCCGATAGTGAAACTGATGCGGAAGAGGAAAACCTGTTTGATCGTCAAGAATTAAGTAGCGACGAAGACGAAGAAGATGAAGCCGAATCGGCCGAGGAAGGTGATCCTACGCAAAATGACGAATCTTCGGACGACGAAGCTCCAGCAGAAGTGTCTAAAACTGCTAGTAAAAAAGCGGCTAGCGAACGTTTCGCAAATATTATAGAAGCACTCAAAACGTCTAAAAAAGCAAAGAAAGAGAAAAGGCAAGATCGACAGAAATTATTCGAAAAACAGAAGGTAAGAACATCTTAATTAAACTTTTGATTCATCATTACTCTAAGGATTTACTTAGCAAGCCAGTTGGTAGCCACTCTAGTAACTTTTATAATGAAAAATTTATTTTTTCTTTTGGGCGAGAAAAGAAAGCTCAAGTGTTTTCTTTCATTGCTATAGACTTCACCACAAGAGATGCTTAAAATTAGATTTAGAAGTATTTACCATCAATTATTTCATTTTATTAGGAAGAAAAACGAACCAAGTTAGTCGAGGCACTACCAGATGGTATTCTTGATGGTGTAGAAGAAATTGTTGAGGCGGACAAGTTAAAAGCTCAAAGAGGAGAAGAAACTGGAAAAAATAAAGAAGAGGAAGAGGATGAGGAAGGAGTAGAATCGCAAGAAGTTGAGCCTAAAAAGTATATAATTAGAGTTCTATTTCTTTTCTATTCATTCTAACACCCCCGCCCCCTCTACCTTTTCTACGTAACGCTGGTGAATAAATATAGAATAATAAGGGATTATATTTACAAGTATAGAGGCTGGGCCGTATAACGAAAAACCTATATAAAAATAGTTCTAGACTCTGTTACACTTTAAATGAAAAGAATAGTTATGAAGTACGTAGAATGCTTTTGTATGCCTTTATATATCTATATATATATATATTAATATATATATATATAAATAGATATACTGTATAGTATAAAACTTTGCAGCTTACTCAAAAAGATTCGACCTTTTATCAATTTTTCGTAAGAGAAAGAAGTAAGATGATAAAGATAATCTGTTGAAAAGAAGAAAGCAGTTATCAACTGATTTTTTCCCCTTTTTTCTCTATTAATAAGATATTATATAACAATAATAGATTGTTATTTGTTTTTTTCTTTTTCTTCTCCTTTTAGAATACAAGCTGTATTGATCGAGAAAGTGGCTGATAGAGCAAAATCGTCAATCGAATCTGCTTCCGAATTCCGCAATAAGCGCCTATACAACTCTGGAATTAATCGCTTAAAAAGTACTTTATGTTCTTACTTCTCTTAAGTCAACTTTATCGTCTAGAGAGGTTATTTGACGGTCCTAAAATACTTAAGTAAAAGATTATTTAGGACTAATAATGAAATAGTAAATATTAAAAGTAAACATTAGCGACCCGTTAAATAATCTTCTCTATTTTAATAAGATAATTTTCCATTAATATATTCTTCTTACATCCTTTGTAATCTTTCTGTCTATTTTCTTTCCATATAAAAAGACATTTAATTAATTTTAATCTCTTTTTTGTCTTTAAAACAATTGCTAGGAGGACAAGATGAAGATGCCAACTACAAACAAACTGTCAAACGAAGGTTTCAAAAGAATTTGTAATAAAGATATATAAATAAATATATATTTATATATGTATATTATAATATAAATGTATAGGTATGTATAAATAAAACGTCTGTTTTTTGTTTTGTTACCCTATTATGTTCATTATCAGTTAATTATTATTGGGTATGTTGAATAGGAACTTTTTTACTAAATCTTTGTTCTCTTCTTCTAATCTTTCGTAATATTGAAACTCTTGACTCATCTTCATCGGAAAAATCTTCTTCGCTACTCGTGTCAGATACATGGTAACGTTTTCTGCGTTCCAATTCTTCATTAACAGTTGTTGTAGTAGGGATTCTTTCTCCCATTACGGTCATGTCTGCATTCAGGGCTACCATCGTTTGATCTCCTATAGACGTCGGAGCTTCCGTTTCATTTGCCGCATCAGTTGAGGAGCATTTAGCGCTTATGTACATTTCAGCTTGCATCGGAATTTCAGGGTTAGCCTTAACATAGAGCGGGCTGTTCGATGAAAGAAAGACTAATTCTACTTGTCTTAGCTAAGCCCTTATAGAGGAGGGGAACGATAACGAGGCTAATTTATAATATATATTTTGTGCTTTATTTCAGAAATTTTTTTTAGCTATAGTTTTGGTTTATTCGGTTCCTAGCCTCCTCAAATAGGATAGAATATAATTTAATTTATATATTTATATGACTTACTTTCCACTGATAGAATTATAAAAGAGACTGATAGACCAGCTTATGCAGTATTTGACAAATTTCTGAAAGGAATTACTTCAAACATGAAATGTTGATCGTAAAGAGAAAATTACAGATAGGAAAAAAAAAGTGTTTTTCATAATTTTAGACACAATAAAGAGACGCCTGGAGAAATGCGGCTTATAAATCTTTAACAAATAAATTGCATTTCTGCGGTGTCAGTTAATTTCTTTTATGAATATTTCATTTTAAAATTAAAAACAAAATTATAAGTTGTTGCGGAGTGTAGCGAAAAAAGCATTTATCAAATGAAATTAAGGAAATATAGTAGCAACTTTGTACATCTATTTTTATACATATTCTCTAAATAATCGGTAAATAAAAACCTTAAGAAATACTGCTGGGAAGCAAATTGCTTTATTGTTTCTTTTCACGTAAGTGGTAAAGTCATTAATATTTATATGGCTCTTCGATCTAATTGAGCTAAAACGAGAATTTATAGGAACTGCAATAGAATTATTATTGATTAAGTAATGTTTACATTTCTTCTCCTTATAAATTAGCTTACTATTCGGTGAAATAGCGTAATTAGCTATAACTAAGCCATCATTATTCATAACCAAAGCTAAATCGTTAACTTTATCAAAAATTTCTAAAACATCTGAGAGAACTTGGCCTTGACAAAGAGTTAGTTGATTGGCTTCGTTGAAATCAAAGTCAGGTTTAAGAAGATCAGCGTTTACTGAATTCACATGAGTATTTCGTATCGATTCTGGCACATTATCATCTCCTACCAATGGTAAATGATAAAAGAAAGAAAACTAATATTCATGAAAGGAATCATTTATATATTTCCTCTCTTCCCCTTCATCTTACCTTTCGATTGATTAAATGCCCTAATTTTTAAACGAGTGTCATCTTCGAAGTTCATCTCTAATCTTGTATTAGTATATTTACTAAACTTGAACGCGGCTTTTACTGCCTACAAGGAGGAAAACAGTAAAGTAACAATGTAAAAAATGGAAAGATTACTCTTTATTCTCTTAACCCCCCTCCCTTCCCCCCCACCCCCACTCTTTCTTATTCTCTATTCTCTTTCATATACGTACTCGAGACGGAAGAGCTAATATACAACTCTCTTGTGTTTGGTGGGAAATATCAAATTGTTCGAAAAAACCGCAATCGAACGTTAACTTGATGCAAATAGTCTGGGATGAATTAGTCGATGAACAAATTAACTGCAAAACAATAAAAAATAGATTAATAGGATGTATATCATGAGTATTGTTTTTAATTTAAAAAAAAATAAAGTCTGTCCTTCTTTATTCATAAAAATTTAATTGGCCACTATACCTCTGTAGCTTTTAATTCCATATGAATATAATTTCCTAGGGACGCTAAAATCGATATACCCCTAGAGAAGGCTGAAAAATAATCATTTTTAATTTATTAACTATTTTTTCCCAATATAATTAAGCTAAAAAAATAATAACCTTGAATGTGTTGTTTAACAACCAGGGTTGGTTTATTCGGCATGTTTGCTAGATCATTTATTTTATTATATATATATTCTGTCTCGATCCTTATCTATATATAGATATATGTATTGTATAAATATACAGATGTATAATCAAGTGGTAAGAAGATCCTGTTGCAGAGAAATCTTTTTAGTTTAAAAGCATTATTGATTAGTTTAATTGTAATTGATCAAAAAAGATAATATTTCAATTTATTATTTAAAAATTCATCATTTTATACTTTTTATAGCATTTTTATTGCATAAAAACAAACTTTCACCTCTTTTTGTAAAAATTTCGTAAAAATGTATGTTTTACTTTCCGCCACCAATTCTATAAGCGTTACACTATTTTACCAAGAAGATCTTTTAAGAAAATATACTGGCGACATCTAGACATCATTCTTTTTATTTAAAACAATTAATCTTATGTTTCGATTCCAGCCGCTACGGGACGCCACAGTCAACGGAGTTGCTGCATATTTTTTATTCAGGCTAATAATCCTATATTCGGTCTTTGGAAATTTGCTTAACAGTTATCTGAGCTAAACTACTATTCAGCCTGATTATCTGTATTCTAGGATAAGTTTCTCAATGGAAAACAAAAGGAAGAGGTAAACTATATTTAGCAAATCAAATTTACATGTTTATTAAAATGTTTGAGCAAAATTAAGCGATTTGTCTATCTGTAACTTAAAAGTTCAGAGAACGATAATAAAGTTCACAATCAAAAGCACGTGCTCGTTTCAATTAAAGGACAATTACATAAAAACATAAAGATAGGCTCCCCTTGCTAATTAATCGCTTTTATTTCTAAATTAAAGAATATTAAAAAGCGAGAATTAATATTGTTTATTTTTTCGTTGGTTCATTTAGAAAGAAGCCTTCTTCGAAATCTAAAACAATCAATAAAATCAAAGAAAAAGATCCAGAATTCTATAAATTTCTTCAAAATGAGGATAAAGAATTATTAGACTTTGAAGATATTGACGAAGATGATAATGTTTCGGAAGAAGAAGGAGGAGTTCATGAGGTACCAGATAAACTAAGCGAAATATCTGACGATGACAGTGATAGTAATGAAGATGACGATGTCGACGACGATGACGACGATGACGATGATAATGAAGGAGCAAATAAAGTAATATTATCAAAGAAAACAAAAGCTTCTAAACAAAAATTGATCAAATCAAGCGATATACTTTCGTGGAAAAAAAGATTAGAAGATGGAAAAGACTCGTCCATCAATTCCTTCATTAAAGAAATAATAATGACCTTAAAAGCTGTTGTCGTGCACTATACATCAAACGAATTGGAAACAAGTTATAAAATAACAGCTCCTAAAGCAATAACATCGGTTCTAGATTGTTGTATTAATGACATTCCGGAAACGTTTAATAAGTTTTTGAAATTTCACCCAAAGAGGGATACTGATTTGGCATCTTCTTCTTCCAAATGGAATAAATTTAAAGTAACAGCAAAAACCTACATCAGCTGTATTTTACAACTAATCTCTGCCTCTCAACCCGATGTACAATTACAATTAATAAAGCATCTAACAGTAATGGCTCCATATATTTGCAGTACACCAAAAACAGCAAAGATAACCATCAAAAAGCTAATTAGCATATGGTCTAGAGGAGAAGATAGCTGTAGGTTGGCTTGCGTGCTCACCCTAGCAAGAATGAATAGAATTGACAAACGCCTAACTGATTACATTCTTAAAGCAATGTATTCTTCCTACGTCTCTAATTGTAAATTCATATCGGCTAACTCTCTACCCGCCGTTAATATGATGAGACGCAGTTTAGCCGAGATGTTTGCAATGAATCAAGAGAAAGCGTATAATTATGCCTTTGTATATATTAGGCAATTAGCAATTCTACTAAGAAATGCTATAACAAATAAGAAAAAAGAAAGCTACGAGAGTGTATATAATTGGCAATATGTTCAAAGTTTATCTTTGTGGACACTCTTAGTGTCAAGAACCTATCCTTCGACTATTTTAAAACCGTTAATTTATCCCCTAACCCAACTCATAGTTGGAATAATTAAATTACTACCCATTTCAAGATACTATCCATTAAGGTAAAGTTTCACATTAATATTAAAATTGCTTAGCTTCAATGTCTTACATCTTGCAGATTTCATATGATACGACTACTTAACGAATTATCATCCTCTACTGAGACTTTTATTCCCGTATTACCCTATATCCTGGAATCATTAGAGAATGTCGATTTAAATGCAAAAACACAGAGCAGTGGTGAATTAAAGCATTTTAACTGGTCTACAATTCTAAAACTATCTAAAAGTCAATTGAAAGAACGATCGTTTAAGGACGGTTTAATAGAAGAATGTATAGATGCTCTAATGGATCACTTACGGGTCCATTCTCATTCTGTAGCTTTCCCAGAGCTAGTTCTACCATTATCAATGCAACTAAAAAAATTAACGAAAACTGTAAAAGTAGCAAATTATACAAAAAAATTGAAAAGTATAATTGATAAAGTAGAAGAGAATTGTAAAGATATAACAAATAGAAGGAAAAGGGGAGCTATTGACTTGAGAAATGCGGAAGGTGTTAAGCAAATAGAGAATAAATGGAAGGAAGATGGCACAGTCTTTTCTAAGTATTACGAAGGATGGAGAAAAGTTAGAGACAAACAACTAGCTTTAAGATTCGGTAGCAATATTGAATTAACAACAAGCGAAGGATTAGCAATTGGAAATTCTAAGGATAAGTCTAACAATAAGATGCGAAAAGCAACAAAAGCTGAGAGAGAAGAATTTGAATCCCTATTCGCCAATGGTGATGAGGATTATAGGTTTGTACATTATTTCGAGCGAAATAGAACAATCGAATTCTAAAAATATTCATGAAAAGAATATATATGTAATTAAATTTGCCCATTCGCACCTGAGTCTCTTTACAAACTCGGCATTCTGTAGTTTTACGTCAGTTTTTACTTTTTTTTTTATTCTACCTCTCTATCAATTAACTAATCAATTGTTTCATTTCGTTATTTTTTTAATCTGCCTTAGATGGCTAAACATCTAGATTTTTTTTTATGAGAGAAATCTCATAAGAAAATCGATACAAAACTAAGGAAGGTAAAACATATACGATTCCTTCAATCCTCCCATCTCCGCTTCCAAGTCCATTTTATATATCCATATTTTAAAATATATATGCAATAAAGATGACTTTTCTAACCTTTTCTCCTTCCTATACAGTGATTTAGATGATGAGGAACTTGAAGAGTTAGATCAATCTTGCTCTGATGAAGATAGCGACGCTGAATATGACGACGGAAAAAACGTTATAAAAGCAAAGAAACGAAAACTTGACAAAGACGAAGACAGCGATAATGAGGACGATGATGACAACGGCGATGGCGACGACGACGATGATGATGACGACGATGAAGATGATATTGTTGAAGACCTATCATTGTCAGACGATAGTGACTAACCAGAAAATTTGCTTTATTATAATTTGTATATCGTAGAAGTTGAAGCACTTTGTGAAGGACTTTGATATAAATTATATAGGAAATAACGTTATTATTATGATTATTATCATACATTTATAAAAGTACTTATAAGAGAGAAAAAGAAAAAAGAGGCAAGGACATCTTGACAAAGAACTGTTATTGTAAAAAACTGCAAAAGAATAAAAAGTTGTATAGTTAAGCAAATTACTGTTTTGTAAATATTTAGGAAGACAATACAGTTTATTTTTATTCACTTAAAAACAAGAATATACTTAAAAAATAACAAACTGCCCATTCACGCTATCTCTCGATTTAAGAATGGTTGTAAATTAGACATATATTACTAGAATTAGAGAAGAAGAGTCCAATCTAGCTCGGTATTTATTTTTTGAAAAGTAGGATGAGGGAGTGGTAAAGGAAGATTTCTTGGAGAATAGCTTAATTGAAAAGCAACTCTGCTTATTTCTATTTTGTTTTGTTGTCTTTTATTTAAAGAAAAGAATACAAATACATTAAATAAAATCTTTCTTTCTCTGACTAACAAACTACTAAAACAGTAGAACAAAAAAGAGAGAACAGAATAAAATCAAACTAAAACAAACATCTATCTAAACAGAGATTCTTCTTAGAATTGACAACTGGAATACAAAACACGAGTAAAAAGAGAGAGAAAAGAAACGACGTCTCTTTTCTTAGTCGTCATTGTTCTTTCTTCTAGGCTTCTTCGGATTACGAGAACGGCTCTTCGCTTTACATAGAGGACAAATTGGAGCGTTTCGATGAATTTGTTGATGACAAGACAAGCAAGATTTCATCGGTGGGGGTTGTTGTCTGAAACCGGGTCTTGACGTCGTCGCAAGAGACTCTATACTATTTACTGTTCTATTGGCCATAGTGGACAGCATCAACGACGTGGGTGGTGCCGTAATTAACTCTTCAGAGGTAGTTGGAATAGCACCTTGACGTTCGAGTGTAGAAGCTACTTCCGGCTGTAGATCAGGAAGTATTTCCAAACCAAGAATTTTTCTCATTGAATCGACTGTATGTTTAAGTGGAACAAACTCCTCGAGGAGAGACCTAGCATTTTGAATAGTTCTTAACCTTTCCTCTTCAGCAGCCTTAATGGTAGCTTCCATCTGAAAGGATGTTTCACCAGTCAACACTATACTTTGAATGTAACCGCAAAGAAACCTACTAAATTGAGATCGGCGTGAATCAGCCTTAACTCTTCGACGTGAGCCATTTTCTCTTGATGGAGAAGCTCTAATTCCGATTTATATTCGGAAATGTTTTTTTCCTCGTCTACGACGCTTTCCAGTTCCGATTTTAATTTTGTTCGTAACTTTTCGACATGCATCGTTGCATTTCTATAATAAAATAATAGTAATTATAATCTGCACCGTCAAAAATCGATTGCACGCAATTTCTTATACAATTAGATTAAAGTACTTTACACTTGTAAATGAGGCGTATGATTGCATACGAAAGGTTTAGTATAGAGAATATAAACTAATTTACTTTATTTCCTTTACTTTTTCCAATTTTTCCAGGCATTGAGGGACGCTTGAATCTGTGTCGTCTGTCATCTTTCTCCGGAAGTGTAATTGAAACCGGAAGTAATGGAGAATAAACAACGCCGCGGTGAATTTATCTATAAGAAAAATAGCCCACCTAATGCTAGTAATAAAAATAGCGATTAAAAGTAGAATTTGCAACTGTTTAATAATTTAGAATGTTTTAAGAAGCGAAAAAAGTAATAATAAGATTACAACGGTTATATTTAAAAATATATACTGTACATATATATTATATACAGTATATGGTATAAAGATCATAATTAAACTTGATAATTCGTTAATTATAGCTTTCTTCCTCTTTCCTTTCGTTTTTTTCTCCCTCTATATTTATATATTATCTTTCTTTCTTTCTCTCCTACTCTTAGATTTAAACACATAGGAATAAAAAGTATCATATTACAAAGTTTAAAAGTTTATTTGTTAAAGAACTATACTTTTTCTCTTTCTCTAACTTCTTTGCTCTGTTTAATTTAACAATTTATACAATATAAAAAAGAAAACAAGCCGCTATATGTAAGAGAGAGAGAGAGAGAGAGAGAGAGGAGAGAAAATTTCTAAGGATAGCCTGCAATCAACCAATTATTTTTATGTATAAAATAAAGAAAATCAATAGGCAATTGTTTTATTGGTTTGAATATCAATTAATCATTTATCAAAAGTCAAAATGTTCTTTTTCTCATTTTCAATCCATTTTATTGGCGAAAGGTGAAAAAAATAGAATAAGATATTAAACAAATATCAATTTATATACCTGTATAAACTTAATTATACAGGTAAGGAGGATCTTCTCTTTTACAGTATACTTTTAACATTAAATTGGTTTGACGATCCGGAACATTTGATGGAATTATGCACGTTCCGTAGAATGATTTTTCATATATAGATTTATTATATATATTTATATATAGAATAAGCATTATACCTCTAATTGTTATTTCTGGTCTCCGTTTCCCTTGTTCTTCCCTTATGTCAATATCCGTTTATATAATATAATAGGTCCACCTAGTGAGTAAAGTAAGAGAAACGCACTATTGTCCAATTGTGTTTATCTATTGTTTTAGCTGATTCTAGCCTTAGCAAAGTGTAATAAAACAATATTAACGAATATATATATATATATATATATTACTCATATAGTCATAAAACTATTGAATGATATGCAGTATATACTGTATATACATATGTATTAAATATACTTTTTCAATTAAAATTCTATATGTGTCAATTTATACACACCAACGCTCCAAAGTATGTTTCCTATTTAGTTTGTTAACAGAATGAAGGGATTTTTTTCTATTTATTGCCTATAAACCTACTTTATGGAGAGAGAGAGAGAGAGAGAAAGGTTCAACAGCAAAGCAATGAAAAGTTACATGGTCATAAATAACTTTACAACTATAGAAGAGAAAGGATTGGCGGGGAAGGGGGGATGGAAACCATTCCTTTTAATGACTCTTTAGTGAATAGACTGGTTAATACTTCTTTTTATTCCGTTAATTATTCCGATAATAGTTAAGATAAAATACAAGAGGAAAAAGAAGGGTTTTCTTGGTTACTATAGGGAAAAATATGTCAAATAAACTGCTTTTACTAAAAGACTATTATAAAATATTTGTAATTGACTTAAAAAGGCTTTTCTCTTTAAAAAACAAATTGGTGAGTGCAAAGCTTTTAAAACTCTAACAATTAAATAAAATTAACGGCCTACTCGTTGGTAAAACATTACATTGTACAAGTAAAACTCTCTATTTATATGTAAAAAAAAACCCGTTTTGTTCCTGGAAAAGTTGGCGGGAAGATGGCAGCACAGTACTGATACCTTGTCAATTTGGTATGATTGACAACCGCTATCGTCCAATGGGCGGTCGAATGAATTTTTTACACGATTCAGAATTAATTCGCTTAAGCTAGGTAAATTATGGCGTAAGAATTATCGTTGAACATGCTTTTAGTAGTTTTTAGCTGTTTGCTATACGTTGCTCAATGTTGCTCGAATAATGAGAAAGCTATTAATTCTTTCTTATGGAAGATAGAATCGCATCATAGTGTAGTTCCTAGTTTTCTATTTGGTACTGTTCACGTTGCTTACACCGCTGTTTGGGACCGTCTTCCGGATAATGTTAAAGAAGCCTTTGCTAACTCGGATTCAACCGTCTTCGAACTCGACCTGACTGATGTACAAACAGTAAAATCATTGGCCAAATGCCAATTTCTATCGGGACGAAATACTTTATCGTCAATACTACCAGCTACGATCTATGGTAGGATTAAGAAACAGTTGGAATATGTCAGGAAACGCCTTTCCTCTTGGATTACAGATGAACAGCGTCGAAAAGGCTTATTCGCCGACTACCTCTATCAGTTGTTTACTAGAAAATGGAGACGGAAGAGACCAATTTGGGTGATATTAATGTTAAATTCGTTAACGAAGAATAACATAGCGGTGAAAGGCGAGTCAGTTCTTGACCTCTATCTCACCAGTAAAGCTCATAGCTTAAATAAGAAAGTTGGCGCCATTGAAAGAGTGTTTGAACACTGCCTTCCGCTCAATCAACTAGACTTCTCGCAGGTTCTTATTTGCATTAATTCTCCTTTTTTTCTCTCTCCTCCACTTCCTCTTGCTTTTCTTTCTTTTGTTCATTCTTTTCCTCTTAATTTATACCTCCCTCCATCTTTCCTTCCTTCCTGCATTTCCTTTTTAAAAATCCTACTTTTTACTTTCTTTGTTTTCTTGTTTATAAATGTTTATGAAGTACGTAAGACCAACCGCTGAGCACTCATTTCCTATGATTAGTTGCGTTTATATAGGACTATACTATGGTGTGTTAGTGAGAAAAGAGCGAGAGAGAGAGAGAGAGAGTAAGCGCTTTAGGGAAGTTAGCAATCCAATACCATAGTATAAGCATTAGCAAGTTGATAAGATAAGGAAGTAGAAGAGAGAAAAGATATATGAGAAAGAAAAGGTGAAATTTTTATTGTACTTAAAACGGAAGAGGGCAAAAATAAAGAAATAGTGAGATGTATCACCTATATCGACAGATGGGTGATATAAACGTCAGACAATCTTCTGCTTCCTATTAGGTAGCTTGCACTGTAGACTGTTGAGTTTTCAACACCCCGACCTTAATTAGGCGTAAAGTTTTACAAATAGGATATTTCTACAATCGTTCTAATATAAATAATGTTCTCGTATAGAACGAAGGAAAAGTTTTTCTTATTTAGAGAACAAAACACAAAATAGATATTTATTTCGTTCTACAATTAATGCAATTTTCACCTTGGCCGCGAAAGTCGAGGATATTAGCCGTAGGCGATTTTCAGCTCTTTCCACAATCCAATAAAATCTCTTGTTCACTTATTCTCTAAATATAGCATCCCGTAATTTTCTTTCTATTACGCACGCAGGTACTCTTCGCCCTTAATCGTACTTTATTCGAGCACGAATCTAGGAGGGATGGATCTCAGGAAACGTATTCGGCAAAGACTCTATTGAACAACTATCTTTGTGGAAATTTAAATGAGTTTTTGAATGGTCAAAAGTCTAAGGAAGATTCAACTTCGTATATCGATACGTATTTTAAAAAAAATTTGATAGAGAAGAGAAATCTTCGAATGACTAAAAGAGTTAACAGACTGCTAAAGAAGCACCGCGACGTCTCCTTCTTCTTCGCCTTTGGTGCAGGTATTACTTCTGAACAATTAAACTTATTCGATAGTATCCGTTTATTCGGAAATCAATCACCACACACTCGCAGTATGTGGTGATTAATGCCGAATGATTGACAGCTTCGGTACTTTTATTCAATGCTTCAATTAATACCCGCAGCGATGTTGACACGCGCTTGAACTCTCGTAGAAAACCAGTGTGAAAAGCTTTAACATATATAGGCAAAGAGAGAGAGAGCGAGATAGAGCGAGAGAGAGAGAGAGAGATAAAACATTGTATACACCGCATATATAAAATGTATTTATTTATACATATTTAGAGAGTAAAGAGACCAAATAGAACTCTTTTATAGATAGAGCGAAAGATACATTACACCCAGTACCTTGGTCTCGCTATCCTATACAAATAATATAAATATTACAAGTACGACTAGACCTAGAGTCTGTTCTACTCTTCTAACTAGTTATCTATAGAAATTTAATATCCATTCTATTTGTATATAGTTTATTATATTGTATATATACAATATCTGTATACAGTCTTAAAAGAAGGGGGTTTTATTCATAGAGAAAGATATACACTGCTCGTTAATCCATCTTTTGCTAAAATTTATTGTTTTTCGATACAAAAACCTTTTCTCTGTCAACATTTATCATTCTATTCCCGCTCTCTTTCTTCTTATTCGAAAAGTTCAATCAAACATATAACTTAAGGATCTCTTGAATGGGCAATAAATCGTTTCTCTTTCTCACTTCTAGCCCTCCTCCAGTCATTCCTTCTCTTCTTATAGAGAGATGAATAATCTATTTTTAATTTGTGAGGAATTTATGCCAGTTAACGGGGGGTGGCAGTGGTAGTGGTGAACTAGAAAGGGAGGAGGAGACGATGGGAGGGGGGCGGGTCAATTCATTCAGCTTCAAAAAGTATAAAAAGAAAGAAAATGCAATAAGTCAAGTAAAATATGGGGGTTTAGAATTGATAAATATAGCTATAAATTCTTTATATAGATATTAGGATATTTCATAAAGAGAGAGAGAGAGAGAGAGAGAAAGAGAAAGAGAAAGAAAGTGATAATCTTTAGTAAATAGCCATAGAAAAGGCAAATTTTTGGTATTAATTGTGTAAACGTATTAGGTTAAATATATAATTAAATTTTCGACAGTTCTTAACGTTCAATAAGAAATTGATCTCTTCTTCTCATCTAATTCAAAAAGCCTATTTAGCAAATTAATTAATATAAATTCTTTACTGCATTCAATTATCTAGGACACTTCCTTGGTAATAACTCAATTAGGAAACAACTGGAAAGGAAAGGCTTTACAATTACTCATATTCCCGCTAACGAAACTATCAAATTCGACTACCTTCAAACACGACATCTGCCGGATTTAAGTAGGATACGTTTCCTTAGGGAAAATGATGTTAAATATTCGAGGTAGTACGATCATTTGTAAACTATTAACTCTAATTTATAATTAATTATCAAACGCACAATTTGTATTACGCATGTTTTTCCAATTTAGGAAACAAGACCTAAATCACAGACGTAAGCATTATAACAAGCATCCCACAGAATTCAAAGATCTTTGGATCAGTTTGGATAAGAAATTGAGTGCAGAAACTGATCCATATTCAAACAAATCCATTCCGACTGTCAGCTGCCATCTCAAGTTTATTTTGCTTTACATATTTGTTTTCTTAATATGTAGATAGGATATTGATAAAGATAGGTAGAATGAGATGAAGGAGAAGAAGAGAGTGTGTGAGATAAACGAGAAGAAAGGAAGAGGAGCAAGAAGAACAAGAAGAAAGAGAGTAAGAGATTAAAATGTATGAGTAGAAGTAGCTGGAGGGGAAATTCTCTTCTTCTTTAACGAAAAATATGTATATATATTATAAATATGATATAATAATGTGCCTGCTGCTAAAATTTTAAATATACTATAAACATATTTTCTAGATTTATGAATATTCATGAATATTGATGCTATTTTTTTTTCTTTTGACAAACAATTTATTAAACGCTGCTTGTACAGTATAAACAATTGTTATTTTTTTCTTTCCTATTTCAATGACCTAATTTAAATATATTAAATGACAAAATATTAATTTAATCAGTTCTTTTATCTTGAAACAATAATATATTAGTAATTAAAAAGATGAAATCAACTAGGGTCTTTGTTCGCCATCTTTCTTCCTAGTCCTTTTTTTCCTCTCTTCCTATCCCTAACCCCCAAAGCTAACTTATTAATATATTAATATGTTTAATATTCCATCGTCTTCCGCTCTAAATCTCATTATAAAAGAATAAACAAGCTACAACATTAATCCATCATTTCCTTTTATTGGACGAGCGCTCCTATAGACATTTCCATACATATATACAGTGTATGTCTATATATACAGATGACGTCATCATCTGGACTAATTTTCTTCCTATTAAAGAATGTTTATGTTTTGAAAGGAAACGAACGTTAGTAAGTTCTATTTCCGTTTCTATCGTAATTTACCACCTTGTTTATTGATTTATAAGTACAACTACTTAAAAAGTATAAAGAATAAACATACTCAAAGCAATGAACTTTACAAAATTTAAGAAGGCAAAGAAGGTAAAGAAGGCAGAAGAAGAGAAATGAGAGAGAGAAAATGTAATTCGTGTACTTTTCTAATTCTAAATGAATAAATGTGACATTTCAATTTTTTATTCTTAGTTGATATTTTCTCTTTTCTCTTATTAATAGAAGAATTTATAGTATCAAGAGAATTCTCTTAGATACTTAGGAAGGTCCTTTTTTTTTTGCTTAAAAAATTTATGACACTAAATGAAATTTACGTGTTTTGTATCACAATTTCCTCTTTTTTGTCTAGTTTTTGTCTTCATTTTCTTTAGATTGTATCAATGGTAAACTTAATTAATTATGCGAAATAAAACTCTTTTTATGATGCTATTCTGTTGTCATAGCGTTCTTTGCGAAGGCTTTCAGATTTTAAGCTGTTTTGTTAATGCCGGGGGTTTTTATATTTCACGGACACCGTGAAAAAGTTCGATTCGAATACATTTCGATTCAAAACCGGTAAAATCTTGTGCGAAAAACTCAGAAATCTACTTTGGACTTGTTATTATATATCAATCTCTTCGAAAAACATGCAAACTGCCCATTTATGGTTTAACGATAATGTTACAAGATGGAGAAGGATAATAGCATCATTATTTTCTTGTCTTTTTACCAGCGTTGTTTTGATTTTACTCGGTTTCTTATTTTCGTGCTCTTTTTCCGGGCTAAATGGGATTTCTATATGGTTTTGTTCCAGATTGGCTGCTACCTCAGCAATCTCGATATTCCTATTCTATCATAGTTGCAAATTTTACAAGGGAGAAGTTAAAGAATACGCCAACTTTGGGGAATTTGCTAATTTCTTATGGGAAGGTTTAGAGCACGGTCTTCTCCATTTTATTCTTGCCCAGTTATGCTGTTTCACAATTAATATGGATTATTTGGATTCACTTCTCACCATTCTCATAATAGCTGTCGGAAATACGTTAAATTTCTTCTGCAGATCTGAATATCTACTCTTCTTTCATCCCATTCAGCAGGCAACATGGTTTCAATTAAAGTGCAGATTATTTCCCATTATAAAGAGGTATTTAAATAAATAATTTCAGATGTGTATAAATAGTTTATGCCTCCAACATATCAACTTTTGTACATAAGCTAATAAAAATTGTTATTCCTTTCTATTGATTAGATCATTGGTTAGAACAATCAGAAGATTTTTCGTATCGTTTCTTCTCTCTATCATGATTTTCTGCCTAATTGGAAGTTTTAGCACGATTTGGGGACTTTTTGATTTATCACGCACCTTCAAAATATTATCATTAATTTTTGCAGTTACAGTTATATTCGACGGCTCAGTTGTAATATTTAATATATTTCTAACTGAATTCTATCAATTCCCGATAGAGCATATGGAATCGCACGATTTCGTAAAGAATTTAATAGAAACTCCAGGATTGGGTAGAAATTTGTTTCTAATTTATCTAAGAAAACACTGTCAGAATGATTCTAACGTTCGTAAGAAAATATATAACCTTTTACCTCATCATGGATATTCTGCAATATGCAATATAATCTTTGAGAGCAGTCTAAGAAGTCTAAGTGAATTTATAGTAAAACTTGACAACAACGACAATAACGCTGAAGCAACAACGACGGTAAAAACAAACGGCAAAGAGAAGAAAACATTCCTAATTAAGCAAAAGAATCAGCTAAAGAAATGGCCTATTATTCAATATTTTACTAAGTATAGAAAGTTAAATTCTTTAAAGTCGGAATGTCAGAATTGCGTTCAATTTGTTGGAATTCTAGTAAATCTGATTTACTTTTCATACGAAGAAGATCAATATGGCGTTGTTAGAGCTCGTCTTTCGGATTCTATGAATTGTTTTATTAAACTTTCAAATAGTTTAGATAACTATAAACTAAGCTTGAACACTTCAAGAATCAATTTAATAGGTTACGAACTATTGGATTCACCTGATTTAACATCAGTTCTAAATTCGTGTAAATTCTCTATTCAATCTGGAATTTATAGAATTGCTGAAAAGTTTGGAAAAAGATTAAAAGATATTGAAGTAAAAGACGAAACAAGAAGAAGGTTACAATTGTATGCAGAAGGGAAAATTTGATATATTTTTTATTTTTATCCACATTAAATGTAAATAAAAAAGTACTGTTACATCAATACAAAATCAATCATTCATAATTCTTTCTCTCTTTCTTTTTCTCTTTCTCTTCTCTCCTTAGCAATAGTGCAAATGTTAAGAGAAAGAAAAAAGCGAAAAATTTGCTTTTGTTTTCTTCTTCTTTTCGAATTATTCAACTTAATAGAATTTCCTTTTTAGCCCATGAATAATTCGTATAGGAAAATTAAAGAATGATACTTTTTCTTAGGTTAGTTGTATAGCTGCGTCTATAACAGATGGAATGACGATCACCTTTTCATCAAAAGAGGCGCGAAAAGAAAAAAACAGTGATTGAATGTATTTTTGTTGGTTTCTTATCTTTTTGCATTGTAAAAATAGAATATTTAAAAATGTTTGAATATTTTAGCATACGAAATGATAAACAAATTTATCATTATGATAAAATGATTGTAATAAATCCAGTAACTAATATCGTTTGATTGTTGTTCTAACTATAAAGAAAGAAAGAAAAAGGTAATAGATTTATCTAGGTACTGCAGCTATTTGTCCCTATATTATTATTACTTGTCTGTTCGTAGTTGGGCGGTGGATATGGTGGAAAATTATTCTCTGTCCTCTTCTCTTTTACGACTTCAGAGTATGATGGTGGCTTTGGAACTACAGTGCTTACTTCAGGCACCATTGTCAAGGTACAATTTCTCCTAGGGTTATAAGTGAACAAAGGTATTGTCATCGTAGTTCTCGACGATCTTGTCGTACTCATAGGCCTAAAGAAGCCTAACGACAAGCCACTAATCGGCGCTGATCTAGTTTGGGCGAGAAGCTGTCGACGTCTCCAATATCCGCAACCACCAACGCAAGAGATGATTAAGAGCAGGAGAAATAGTAGCCTGTATAAATAATTGGCGTTTCTATTAATAAATCAATTAAATAGTCTTACCAGAAGTACCAGAGGTTCCATATTCGTAAACGAAGATTAGTATAATCGTGCGTAATGGAAGATAAGCAGCATCCACCTTCGCAACAAACTTTTGGTTCAAAACAAGTATAGGGTATAATCTGGCCTTCTGTTGAATAGAATAGGCTTATTGGTTAGTTAAGAGAGAAAAAAGAAACGCTAAACGCTTAAATAAGAGAAGAGAGGAAAAGGGGAGAAGAAGGAGGAGGAGGAGGAAGAGAGAGGGACTTGCATTCTTAATTTTTTTATTTTTATTTTAAATGAATATTTTCTGCTGCTATATGGGAAAATAATGAAAAAGAGGATTTACTCTTTGTCCTTCTGCATTGAACTGATTCGAATCCGAACACCTTTTAGGAAAAAATTCAGCATTTAGTAATTCATTTTCAGCTATTTTAATGCTTACATTGCTTAATATAACTAATAAAATGAGCAAGATGCTCTCGGCCGACATCGTTCTGTTTGTAAACTAGTGACGTCACTCACCAAAAATGGCGGGGAGGAATAAATTTAAATCGTCCAGAGGGCGTTAGTGTGTTTTTCTGACTCGCTCTCTACCTCTTTCCCTCGTCCTCTAAAGGCTTTCGAATGAGCCTTAGATAGAGAATTGACGACGAGAATGATATATTCCATTTAGGAGACGCCGCTGCGAATGAAAGCCGCTTCCTTTAAACGAATGTTAAGAGTTTTTCAGAGTCTGTATAAAAGAGACGACACGTTTTCCGTGTAAGGCGACTTGTTTCTTTAACAAAATAACGTAACAATATTATTTTCTAGCCGCCTTTTATTCTCTCCGTTCCTCTCTAAACAGATTTGAGTTGGGCTCCACCGTCAACTTGGTCTTCATCTTTATCGTTGCTATCATTGCAGTCGTGCCCAACTTGTCCGATGTTGTGAAAGGAAGGCGGCGTCAAATTGGTTAACTTGAAGCAGCTATGAGAAGATTGCGACGTTTCCTTCTCGTTATTCTCTTCTTGTGCTTGATAGGTGTTTCGATAGTTCTACATTATATAGGTCTGAAACGTGATATTGTACGGTGGTTGCATTCCGACTCGAAAGATATAGGATATTTTGACGCCGTCGACGTAAAGAGGTTGGTAGAAGACAGACCTATTCAGCTTGGTTCGATTTCCAGTATACGACGCCATTTAGGTAGAGAGAATGACGAGCAATCTCTGCAAAAAGAGATGATAAATGTTTTTGATTGAGAAGATAAGCATTTGGTCGAAAAATATAAAACTGCAATCCATCTCTTCTCGCCATCTCTTCATATAACCTATCACGACCGTTGTCGTCATCGTCGTCGTCGTCATTGTCCTCATCATGATCATCCTCCAGGCTTTATTTTCACGATATTCTTTCTCATAATCTATTTCCTCCCTCTACTACTTTGTGCTTCTTTTATGTTATTTACTTTGACGGAGCGTCACGAAATAGCCAAAGGTCTTCAATTAACCATTTTATAAAGAAAAAATTCAACACGGGTAATTTTTTACTTGATTCGAAAATCGACGAAGCGTTTCCATATTCGCTGGTGCATACGTCTAACTGGAATAGGAAGAGAATGAATAGTCCTACAATAGATATAATCCGTTCTGACACTTCTCATTTATTCTACGGTTCTGCTTTACACAATCGAAAATTTTAATTGGACGCTCGAAAACTGATTGTGAAAAGTTCTTGCTTCCACCTTGCTGTTACTTTCTTCCTATATACAATGTAATAGAACGCCTATAAGGGCCGTTGGATTATTGCGGCGGATAAAACCCTTTTACTGCAGATCAGTGGCTTCCGCGTCAACTTTGATATCGTTCTTTCGGGCGAAAGGCAATTCTTATACAAGCACCTCGAGGGGAAGTTAGGCGGAGCAGAGTTGACAATTTCCCACTTCCTGCCTATTAGACGCACCCGTTCCGCTACACGCTTGGTAAAATTCAGCCTCCAAAATCGCTTAATTGGCGTTTAACTAACAATTAGTTCGCTAGTCGATGAGGAGGCGAGAAAGTAAAGTAGAAACGGAAAGTACGCTAATGGATCCTCTTTCATTTGAAAAGGTTCCATTTATTGTCTAAAACCTAACACTATCGCAACGTTGAATGGGATTTCGCCACTTATAAGTCAGGATTTCTACTATACAGACGTAGTATATAGTATACGGTGGACAAGCAGCCACAGAAGAGAAAGATGGGAGATTGGCAGAGAGAGAGAGAGAGAAGGAAATAAAACAATATTTCTTTCCTTAGTCTTTTCTTTTCTCTATTTGATATTATATTATCCATTTTGTGGGCCATCAAAAAACTGCACTTAGTATACTGTTTTTGTGTAATAGACAACTGCACTAGTACGCTAATTATGGAATAATAAAACAAGTACGGAGCATCTTTCAAGTAGGAATAATAATAATAATCATAATCATAATATAACTACTAGAGTATACAGATCTGTAAGACGGCGACGCTTATAAGAAGCCGTTAATGATTCTTTCAGCGTCTAAATTTGATTAATTTATTTGCGAGTGCCTGAGTGATTCGTTTCTCATAACAAGACATCCCAATCTTTATAATTTGATTTTGGACGTTGCTTATTCCAATTGCCAGCTCATTTTTTATTCGATATTCCTACCAATTTTTAGCTAGAGCAGCAAAATAGTTAAATAATTAGAATAGGAAAACCGAATTGATCAAAGTCAAAAAAAAACCCTCTGCTAATCCATGCAGAAAGCAAGGAAATCGAAATTGAAGACCTCTTCCAAATTCCCTCTGTTCCAATATATCATTTTCCTCCTCACTTCATGAATATTCATTAACCATCCTCCCTAATTAATTATCATCATTAGCACTATAATAGGCTATTGGAAATTGTCTTTGTGCAAGACGAAAAAAGCAAGTGTAGTGCGCAGAAAGAGGCAACAAGATTAGTTTTTGAATTTAAAAAATAAGGCAAACTGCTACGACAGTGCCTGCAACTGAATGCGTCTTAAACCAAATGACACTAAATCCTAGCTGGACTATATGCTTATGGGTATGTTAATGAGGCTCGACCGAGCGATCGTACCGTGCATCGGGAACCGACGAATGAATGTGTATGTGGAAGAACGATTCTAAACAGATCTGCCGTACGCCCTATAGGTTATCAGCGATCGATGTTCAGACGTCCCGTGGACACCACGCATTCAATAACTATATCTCAATCCTTCCGTTTATATATCCCCCAAAGTTTGATGGCTAGCCGACTAATCTAAATTGGTTGTATGCTAATAAGATAACGTACAAATACTATTTTCTATTTAACGGTTCTAGCAAACGTTGTCTTTCTAGCATAATTAAATTTGGATACAAGATATGCTCCTTTCATATTCTTTAACTTTTATCGAATTTACGCCATAAATCGGTAAATTGAAAAATAAATTTCATTACCATCTTCTCTATTCTATATAACCCTATATTCGTGTAGTGTTTTTATTCTGTAGCGCCATCTAGCGAGCTTTACATTGAAAAAACAAAATTCTCTCTCTTAGTAAGGTTACAAATTCCATTCATTTAGTAAAAGATATGGCTGACGTGGACGGAGAATTTAAAGAGGTAAATAGTCTTATTAAAGTAACTGTCAAATAAATTTTAAATTCAATTAATACAGTTTTAGAGTTCAACTAGGTGATAAGACTATTTCTAATGAATTTCCTAAATTATATATTATTTTTAGAACCCTGGTATTTCTGTTGATTTGGAGGGTGATATAACAGTACCAGGAGCACCTGATGAAGAAGATGATTTATCAACATTGGATGAACCGGTTAGAGTAACAGTAGTAAGTAATCAAGATACATTTTATTTGTTAAATTTGTTTTTTTTTGTTTTTAACTGACCAAAATATTTTCCAGCTTCGAGATGTTAAAGCTGTTGGAAAGAAATTTGTTCATGTTTTATGGCCAAAAGAAAGTAGAGCTTTATTAAGAGAATGGGATCTTTGGGGGCCATTGATTCTTTGTATCTTTCTAGCAATGTAAGTACAAATAATCTTCTAAATTATAAACGTAACGTGCAAAATGACTAAAAGAAACATTTAAGCGAAAATAAGGAATCAATCGAAAAAAATCATAACCAATAATAAAATTAAATTAAACAGGATGTTGCAAGGTTCAACTAAAACTATTGATAGCAGTAATGATGGAGGGCCTCAATTTGCCGAAGTTTTTGTTATTTATTGGGTTGGAGCATTTATAGTTACATTGAATATAAAACTTTTAGGAGGATCTATAAGTTTCTTTCAGTCTGTTTGCGTGCTAGGGTATTGTGTTCTTCCACTGGCTGTCTCACTAATAGTATGCCGAATAATACTATTAGCAGAAACACAATCAGTAGTACTATTTATAATAAGATGTGTGGTTGTTCTAATTGCCTTTGGTTGGTCCACTTTCGGTAAGTAAAAGATTGAACATATGAGAAATAATATAAGTTATATATTATATATAAAACCCATATACAGCCTCAACAGCTTTTCTATCGGAAAGTCAACCGCCAAAAAGAAAAGCGTTAGCAGTATATCCAATTTTTCTTTTCTACTTTGTAATCAGTTGGCTTGTTATATCTCATACTCATACCTAAGAGGACTTATTATTTATTATAAAAACTATCTAAATTGTAATTTGTTGTGTATTTCTCATAAACAAAACAAAGCGCTTATTATAAAATATTGCTTAATATTTTTTTCCTTTTTACTTTCCTTTTTTTCTTTTGTTTCATTATTTTTATATAAAACGACGCGATTGTTTTTATGCATTAAAAAAAAAGTCAACCTAAAAAAAAGAGAATTTTTTTTTTCAACAAGAAAGCGTCATTTCCCCAACACACAAACGTAAAAAAAAGACAAAACAATTAACTGTTCATTGAACGTTTTAATACAGTTCAACAAAGGAGGGAAAGAAGTTCTTACAAGATAAATAGAAATATATTTTCCATACACATTCTGTCGCGTTTTATTTCGTTCGCGAAAAAAAAGTTTATAATTTTTGCATAAAAATGCGTCTCTAAAAAACGCTGCAGGAAAAGACACTACGAGCACTTTATGGTTCGTTTTCCACCTCTGAATTACCATTAACTAGTTTATTAGGAGGAAAGAACGCACGAGCAAACGGGAACTTCTCGTGGCACAATTCTTTGTAGTCTTGATACATCTTTTCGCATTTACCTAATTCATCTCCTTCCAAGGCCTTAAGGACCTCTGTGCATGACTGAAATTTAAAAGTAAATGAAACATCTTTAGTATAGGTTGCTTTTGTTTTCTTTTATAGTAACTATGTATTAGGCTACTACTCTCTTAACTTGCAAATTTATATCTCTTACCTTAATGTTAACAGAGGTTAGATCAGAATTTAGCCCAATTACTAAAGATCTAGCGCGTTCACCAGTCTCTGTATCGAGCAAAAACATCATCTTTGCGGCTGCTAATAGGTGGGGTAAACTCTTTGGGTAGTTTTCTAAGAATTTATTGTTGACTACAACTGGATCAACACCGTTTGGAAAGAGAGAAGCCATTTCCGACTCCAATACTTCCTTAACAGCTGGGTTGTCGTGCTTGGTACTGGCGACATATTTCAAAAATCTAATTACGCATGTATGCAAAACAGGATCACAGGTATCAATACTGAGTCCCTTTTTAATTGCTTGCAGCATCAGTAGGGGTTTACTTCTTCGGAAATAAATCTCAAAAGCCAGAATATGCGTGTTCAAATCGTTTGGACGTAAGCTCAGCAATGGTTTTAGGAATTTTATTGCTTCATCCAAAGGCTTCTCTGTTCTTTCTAGTTTTTCAGGATCTAAAGTTTCTTCTGGAACTCGGTCTATATCAGGATCGGCAGGAGGTAATTTCTTATTATGTTCTTTTTTCGCTTCTTCAGCTCTTTTAGCTGCTTGCTCAGCAGCAGCCTTCTTAGCCGCTTTTCGTTCCTTATTTTTACGTTTTTTTAATTCTGATGCCGATAAGCCAGAATCGTTGTCGTCTTTCTGTTTCCTATCAGCTACAGGGTGATCGTGCAAGTGAACATAAATAGATATAGCTATAGTAGCTGTTTTCACGTAAAACTTATGACATTTCAAACGATCTTCAAGTCTCAATAGATCAATATACGCTCGAAGCGTCATTTTTCTCATGCAATAAGTATGAAAATCAAATTGATCATCATTAATTTGCATAAAGTGCCGATCGATTTCGACACATTTCTTAAGGGCTTCACCATAACGGCCCTGGTTCATATAAGAAGCTGCACATTCACTCTGATACCACATGCATTGCATTTCATTAAGTGATTCGGTAGCGGGCATTCCTTCCTGTAAAAGGAAGAGGAATTTCAATAAACAAACTTTCTACATCAACGCCTTATTTACTATTTAAATAGAATCAAATATTAACTTTAAATTAGGTGATTCAATTATATATAGATATATATAAATATATATAAATATTATGTAAAAGTAATAAAAAAAATACCAACTTTACTTACCCTTGTAAATTTTGCACACATAACTTCAGCTTTAGTCATCCATCCAGCTCTAATCATATATTTGGCACACTTAGAATTAATGAATCTATCAGCAGTGTCCAAACTTTGTGCTTCATCCATACACTCTGCAGCTTGAACAACATCGCCAGCATGTTTGAAAATTTTTGCTTTGACTACAAGCAATTCTATGAGAGTGACAGTATGATTAAGAGCTTCATTTATGTAATCTAGAGCTTTCACAGTATCTCCGATTTGATCGAAATGTTGAGCTAGTAAATGGTATGTCCATAATAATACGGTTGGATTTTGAGTTTCATCGTCTGTCAAACGTAAACATGAGCATATAAACAATTCATTTAGGGTACTATTAGTTTCTTTACCGTCATGATGGAATTTATTGCAACTTTTCAAATTATTAGCGTATTGCAGAATTAATTCTTCCAAAATGGTCACCTAACAATTGTTAATAATTAATTAATAAGGTTAATTAATTACTAATAATTCAAAGAGTTTACTTTTTGAGCGTCCTGATAGAGCGGCTTTAGCATGACAAATAACGGTGGGATGCCCTTTTGCAAAGATCGCCTCAACAACGCATCTGCGTATTCCTTGAAACCTTGGCTCGCTGTAAAGGTTATCACCACGAGTAATTATTGTTAGTAATTTGCAGTTGCCCAAACTGCAGTTTACTTACGACTAGCAAATATTAGGGGCATTCTTCGTGGAACGGATGCCCTGGGATACTTTTCTTTAATTTCCTTATATATTGCTAATTTACTTTCAGGTGTTTCACATCTCCTTGCAGCTGCAACTCCTTCATAATAAGCTTTGTTTTCAGGATTTCTGTCTATTAGTTTCAAGTAAATGTTTTCCGCTTCTTCAAACATTTCTAATTTTAGCAGTAGAGAGGCTTGAAATGATAGATAAAGGGAAAAAAACTATTATTATATAATAATAAATTAAATGTAACTTTTTATAAAAAGCTCACCTCGGGTTTCGAACAAAACTAACTTATCCAAAATATGTGTTTCGTATTTATTAAGATGATCGAGTGCTGCCTGCAGATTTCCAGCTTCTGTCAGCACGTTATTTTGGTATAAAAGTAATTCCGAGTGTTCATAATCCCAAGGCTTAACGTCGGATTGAGTTTTACGAAACTCTTCCAAAACTTGAAAAGCCATTTCGTAATTCTTTAGTAGGTGATGAGCCATGGCGTAACCAATCCATGAGGCACGTTGAATCGGACGTAAAACCAGTAATTGATATCGAGTTTCCTAAAATTAATGTTATCATTATATGTAATTTTCTTCAGCATAAACTTTTCGCCAGAAGAAATACATGAAAGAGAAGTAATAATAAATTTATAAAACTTACCCTATATCCCTCTAGATCTCGCATTTGAATTTGTAAAAGAGACAAATCCCGAAGAATTTGCAAGTTATCTTTGTCCCATTTCAAAGCATTTCTATAACACTTGATAGCTTCCTCATACTTTCTATCTGACCTCTGCAAAAGACCGTATACGTGCCAACAAACATGGCTCTTTAAATCATTCTTTAATCCCTTTTTAACGTAGTCGTAAGCATCTTCTTTCTTGCCTAAACAATTTAAAGTCAAACCTTTCATAGCAAGAGTCTCTGCAATGAGTAATGTTCGTTGAAAAAAAAAGTGATAAAGGTTAACGGTGTTTCTGTTTACCTCCATGTTCTGAGAATTTGGGGTTCGAGAGAATTTGTTTTGCGAATTTTAGACCATTTTTGTACTGTTTCTGCTCGTAACATTTCTTCAAATGGTTTAAATTAATTAGAAATTAGTACTGGCACGAGACTGTTGCTAAAGAGTAATAAAATATATGCCGGGAACATACTTACTAGGACACGTTTAAAGAGAGCATTCTCCTTAGGATCTAGTTGATTATTAGATGGCATATTTGATTGCTATTTAGCCTAATATTTCCCGCCAGCTAATTAGAAAAGGCAATGATTTTCGCGTAAAACCGCGTGGATTACTAGTATTTTCCAAGATGGCGTTTTACATGAAAGGACAGCACCAAAATAAATAGATTTGGTGAGCGATATAGTTAAAAAATTCTATTAAATTTTCAATCTTTTAATCTCTTTATTTAAAAATATGTTATTGTACGAAAATAGTGAAATAGACACCCAAAAATGAGTGCTCAGTTATAGTACACTGCTGCCATCTATCTTATTACAAGAGAAACTAACAGTAATAAAATGATTTATATTTGATACTTTCTTATTGTTCCATCTCGACAAGACGAGTATAAATACGTTCCGTCAGACGACAAACTATAAATAGGATCACATTCGGATCCTGTTAACTCGGCAACGTTTTCGAATTGTTCATTAATACCAAATACACTGCCGTCCGAATTAGAAAAGAACATATTTTTAGAATGGAGTTTAGATGCTAAAATAGAACCTCTTCCACTGTATATTTTTCGTAGAGGGCTATTCAAATTTCGCAGATCGTAGAATACAATACTTCCATCCTGAAAGCCACTGCAAAGCAAATTTTCATTGAAAGTTGAAATGCAATTTGATGCAGAGTTGTGCATTATATCGAATATTTTCTCTCTTTGAGCCATATCATATCCTACAATTCTCCCATTTTCTCCACCTACAAACAGTAGTTTGCCATCTGTCCCAAATTCTTTATTATCTTCCGATATACTTTCACTCTTGGGACCGCAAACAGTGCAGGAGTTTACACATCCTCCTTCTGGTTGAAAAGAGTGTAATATAGTCTGTGTGCCTACGTGCCAAAGTTTAACTGTCCCATCTCTAGAAGAGGAAACTATGTTTTTCCCTCTCTCTACTATGGCCGTGTCAAGAACACCGGCTTTATGTCCTGTCAGCGTGGCACCACATCTACCATCTTCAATTGACCAAATTTTAAGACGAGTGTCGGCTCCAGCAGTCAGTAAGACAAGGCCAGAGGGAAAGAATTTACAATTATTTATATCTCCAAAATGGCCATCTTGCTCATTCAGTGATCTTCGAATATCACCACTCTCTGTTGTCCATACAATCAACCGCTCATCATCATCTGTGGAGACTCCTAGACCTCCTTCAGAAGTATCAATACTTTTAACTGCTTTTTTATGTATTGAGAACGTCTGACTTGCGGCGTAGAATTGTCTAGAAACTATACCTTCGCTTGATGTGTATTGCACCACAATAGAACGTTTTGATAGTTGAAGTACCTCGAAGCCGGTAGAGGCAGTTACTCTAGGGTCTCCTTGGGCGTTAAGACCTTCACTTTTAATTTTTCCCTGGATAGATAAATTACCATCGGATTTATAAGAAACCCATGTATTCTCTCCAATTTCCCGTATTGATTGATTCCAATCGCTTTGAATAAGTAATCTTCCAGACATTCTTTAATCGAAACTTGTATTAAAGAACTGAACGAAGTTAGAGAGAGTACGTTTTTTTTAAATTTCACACAGCGCCATCTATTTCATTAAGAACGAATATTTAAAGTAAGTAAAAGTTGAATTTTTTCAACAACGGCAAAGAAGCAATAAACAAGGCTAAAGGTAAATTCTTTATTAGTTAAATAATTAATAAGTATTATTATGATATTCTAATTTAATAATGAAAACATAACTCAATAGCAGTCAGATATAATAAATAGATAAAATCTGATTATTTTACATTTGCATAGTTCAATATAATAATTTTTTCTACGAAGTTGTACCATCACTTTCTTTATTTGCAGTAGAATAATTCGTCATTGTATTGTTATACTGTGAACACTTATGCTCTAGTATATCAATACTCGTCTGAACCATTTGAACGGCTGCTTTTCGACAAGCCCTAATTGTATCGTCCCCTTCCGAATCTATATTATCTAATTGTATAAGTTGTCTGGTTAACATCTCTTCAAGATATAGATACTCTTTATCGCTCTTCTTTCCTTTAAATATTTCAACTTTTTCTTTAAGGCTTTTAACTTCATCCGTAATCTTGTTAACTTTGTCCATTGATGATAGTGGCAAAGGTGAGGGTGTATTACGTGAGTCCGCACTAGGTTTGGAAGTCTCTAGATGAGTCGAATTTGATGTAGCTGGTGTCTTAGTCATCGATGCAGTATGTCCTTCTCTTTGGATTGGTATTTCTTTTACGATTGGATTATGGGGAGCATTATTGTTTGAGGAAAAATTCGCTTGGTTATTTGGATTAGTAGCAGCGAAGTTAGATGGATAAGGTAAATTACTAGGTTGAGGATGCTGATAATTAGGATGTGTCTGCTGTTGATAAGCTTGATATGGGATATTATGTCCGCCATGTGGCTGTTGAGGTTGATACTGAGGTTGTGGCTGTTGGGGCATCCTCTGTTCGTTCCCCACTCGTTGAATAGGGATGTTTATCGAATTTTGATGGTCAGACTATTTAAAACGCAAACTTTTAAACCAGATTTAATAGGAGATCAATGAAATATTACCTTTCTTAAACGGGGATCTTCCCACGTAGTCGTTTGATCGTTGTGGTTTATGTAAAAAGGCCAACCTGTACGTTGATCGATCATCATTTGCCAACCAGGAGGCAGTGGTTCGTTATTGGACTGATTTGCCGAGTGTCCGTACATATTTACTATATATATACAAATTTGGTGAACAGTCGAGGTACTTCTCGAAGTTTCTCGATTTATTTTGTCTGTAGATGGCGCTGTTATCTAGAAGTTTGTTATGAACATTTTTATTGGGCGGCGTGTTTCATTTTCAAGAATCTTTATCCAATAGGCATAAATGTCTTAAATAAGTCTCTCGAATATGTTTCTAAATATATTTACTACATCCATAGTCCTTTATACTCATCGGTAAGTCTTATATTTAGAATCATTATTAGAGCCATAATCAAAATTATTACTTCTGCTAAACGCCTTATTTATTTCAATATTATTTTTGATGTTATGATTACAGCACATTTTTTTGGAATTTATAAACTAGTGAAAAATTCTGAACTATATATATACTTTCTGCCTGTTAACACCTAACGATAATACAAGCTAGAATCGACTATGGATCGACTTTTACGTTTAGGAGCAGCAGGAATGTCTGGATTAGGAGGGGTATTTATCATATATTTATTTTATTATTTGAGTTCTACTAGTGTAACTTTTTCTCTTAGGGGAATAGTATGCCAAATGATGGACCTGTTGTCGATACAGCAGAACAAGTTTATATCTCATCTCTCGCACTTTTAAAAATGTTGAAACACGGCAGAGCTGGAGTTCCTATGGAAGTTATGGGTTTGATGTTAGGAGAATTTGTCGATGACTACACAGTCCGAGTAATCGACGTTTTTGCTATGCCTCAATCCGGAACAGGAGTCTCTGTAGAAGCTGTAGATCCCGTATTTCAAGCTAAAATGTTGGATATGCTTAAACAAACTGGAAGACCCGAAATGGTTGTAGGCTGGTACCATTCTCATCCTGGTAAATTCAATAATCTCATTTAAAAGTGAACACATTATTAAGATTTATAATTATTTAAATAAAGGTTTTGGATGCTGGTTATCGGGAGTAGATATCAATACCCAACAGAGTTTTGAAGCTCTTTCTGATCGAGCGGTAGCAGTTGTCGTTGATCCTATTCAGAGTGTTAAAGGAAAAGTTGTGATTGATGCTTTTCGATTAATCAGTCAAAATATGATGGTACTAGGTATGTGTATATAATTCAAATATAAATTTATTTTATAGTCTTAAGCAATTTCTTAGGACAAGAACCTCGTCAAACTACATCCAATCTTGGTCATTTAAACAAACCCTCAATTCAGGCTCTAATTCACGGGTTGAATAGACATTACTACTCTCTCGCTATTAATTATAGAAAGAATGAATTAGAACAAAAAATGCTGCTTAAATTGCACCAACATTCCTGGATGACTGGTTTAGAACTCCAGGATTATGAAGACCATTGTAAAGTAAATGCCGATACTGTTAAAACAATGCTGACTTTGGCTAATAACTATCACAAGGTAAAATTTTTCGTAAATAGTTGGATTAATGTATCTAATACAATTTTTTTTATTTTAAGGCTTTGGAAGAGGAAGAGAATATGACACCGGAGCAATTAGCTATTAAGAATGTTGGAAAACAGGTAATACTAATTCTTTGGGCGTTCATGATTTGAAGTACAAGAGTATTTTAATTTTTATAGGATCCAAAGCGACACTTGGAAGAGAAGGTGGATGTTCTAATGAGTTCCAATATAGTGCAATGTTTAGGAGCAATGGTTAGAACGGTCGCTTTTAAATAATTTTTGTTAATGTTTTAAATAAAATAGAAATTCTTTGTAAAATTGAAAGTATGTTTTACAACGAAAAATGAAATATCCATATAATTCATTATATCGAACAAATAATTTACTTTAAAGTTTTTTTTTCAAATATCTAATCCCTGTCTGACATGTCTGATACCGAAGCCCATCCTCCGTTTAATTCTTGCTTCCATACACTGACTTTATTGTCACCTAAAAAGTAAAATAACGGTATTTTTTAGTACAGTACGCTTCAGAAATGGAAAATTTATCAACCTCCAGATACAGCTAACATATTACCCATCATTGACCAACTAACATGCCATACAACATCCGAAAATGTATTTAAAGTCGTTGAGGTCCATGAATCTCCTGGTTTTAGAAATAAAACATATTTATTATTTGGTACAAGCATATAATACTATATACCTTCATTTGTCCAAATCAACACTCGGCAGTCCTGTCCACATGAAGCGATCATATCTTTTCCAATTCCTATAGATGGGGCCCATGCTACGTCTCGCACCCAGTCGCTATGACCATCTAACTTGCACTCTTCTTCCCATTCGCCGTCGTGTTGCCGCCAAATTCTTACATTATTATCGCAACCTCCGCTTACAATTCTTTTAACATAACTCTCTTGATTTTGACCTCCTAGTACACTGTTTGGCGTAAGCGCGGGTGCCCAACTAACGGTGTTACAACCGATTGTATGGGCATTATTAATTTTCTTCGAGTCCCATGCTCCATCTCCCGTGGTGCTAATAATTGAAATACTACCATCTGAACTGGCACAAGCTAACATAATGCCTAATTCATGAGGAGCCCAACTGACGGAGTTAATTGAACTATCGTGAGAGCTATATTCATGCAGTTTCGACCAACTTCCATTTGTATCTTTCCAAACAATAACCTTACGATCGTATCCACATGAAGCTAAAAGAGAGCCAAACATAGGATGAGACCAAGCTACTTGCCAAACCGGTCCATCATGGCCAGATAGGGTAGCTACAAGAGTCTGTTGACCTCCTCGAACTTCAAAAATTTTGACATTTTTATCAGATGAACATGTTGCCAATTTAGTACCATAATAATCCATCTGAGCATCGTGCTATTGAAAAATATATTACAAATTATATTGGAAATGTTATAAACATGTTGATGTGAAACTTACTATCATATCCTCATGCGTCGTATCAATCGTGTTCAAAACCGAAACCTACGAGATAATCGAATATAAGAGTATAACAAAAAATATTTTTCAATAATATATACCATTTTGGTGTTTCTTTCCTGGGATTTCAGTTGTATAAAACACTGTTGGATTTTGTCGCCGTGTCAAATAAGAAAATATTCCTTTTTACCAGTTTTCATTTATATTCTCTGACGCTATTTAGAGTTCTCGAACAGGAAGTAGTTGAGAAGTAAACTAAACAGATTTTTTAGGACTAAAAAATTAATTTAAAAGTGTTGGTGAATACTCTAATTTGAATGAGCAGTTTTTAGGGTAAATTTTAGTAGAATTTTTATTTTTATTTTATGAAAAAATTAGGTTTAATCTAGGTCCGCTAGGTGAGCCACTGTGATTTGTATAACGAAACTTTCAACGAAGGTATATAGTCTTCTTAACAGAATTTCGAGTCTTAAGGCGCTAATGCCATCTGCATTGATGGGTGTCAAAATGGTGAATCGCATATTTGATTTTCAACCCACTTAATGGTTTTTTTCATGAAAAACGCATTTTGTAAAGTTGAAATACAACGAGCTAACTTTCAATTTTGGATCTTTTTCTTACACGTATCCGTATAAGTTCTTGCTATTATGCAGACGGTGGAAGGAGCCATTGAGGCGTCAATTGCTCAATCTGCCATTATTGAGAAACAGGGACAAAAACGTATATTCAAGATTATTGTAATTGGGGATTCAAATGTCGGAAAGACTTGTCTTACATTCCGTTTTTGTTCTGGGAAATTTCCAGATAAAACTGAAGCAACAATAGGCGTAGACTTTCGTGAAAAAGTTGTTAAAGGTATGTATTGTTAACATGTTACATTCAACTTGGTGACATTAAGATGAACAACGTTTACTTCACAGTTGAAAATGAAACGTTAAAGCTTCAACTTTGGGATACAGCTGGCCAAGAGAGGTTCAGAAAATCGATGATTCCTCATTATTATCGAAATGTACACGCTGTTGTATTTGTATATGATGTTACGAAAACCTCAAGTTTCGATAATTTAACTCACTGGATTAGCGAATGTAACCAGCATAAACTTGGAGAGGGAATACCAAGAATCCTTGTGGGGAATAAATGCGATGATCAGCGCAATGCAGTCGTGCCGACGAATACCGCCCAAAGGTTTGCTGATAATCACAATATGCCGCTATTTGAGACTTCTGCAAAAGATGACTCAGAGAGCGACCACGTTGAAGCCATTTTTATGACGTTGGCTCATAAACTAAGATCATCAAGACCCATGATGCCACCAACTTCAAATAGAAATAGTTTGAATATGAGCCGTAACAATAGTCAAAGTGACCAAAATTTAAGATGTTGCTTTTAAAAGATTGTGTGAAATCGATTTTCAAAGTAACTGATTTACTCTTAAATCTTTTCTTGTATTTAATGTTTTTGTGTAACAAACTTAACGCGCAGAAATTTCTCGTATTGTCCAATGAAAAGTTAAAGCTCCAATGGAAAATTAATTAACAATTTACCGAATAGAAATAGACAACTTTAAGTACAGTTTTAGAAACTTTCGGAATGAAAATTACGACTGAGAAAAAAATTAAAAGTGATCCAATTAAAAGCTCTGGCTTGAATATTACTCATAAATAATCAGGATCATCCTCGGAACTGTACGAGTTCTAATAACATCGTTTTGAATCGCCACCGATAGAAGGTTGAAAGTTAGGTCTTCTTCTTCGGAACAATAGTATATGTGGTTCTGTACAGAACATATAATTTTAACAACGAAACAAACTGAGTTAGTCTACCTGGTTCATGTATCATATAATGTTCCCAACCAATAGATTGTTGAATGCCCAAACTTCTCCATTCAGTTTCGGTCATAAGTTGCTCTTTCGGTATTCTTGACCACCAGTCTTTTGGACAAATCACGTGTCTATAAAATAGAAAAGGTTTTTTAAAGTTAAAAGAAGCAATTCTACTTGAACTCTTTTTCATATACCTATATTCGTATTCTTCATCGTGGTATCTATCCGAGTAATAGGGTTCGCTTGAGAATGATTTACTCTGCATGTTTGTAACTTTACGAGATAGTATACAATTTTTTTCAATAAAACAGAATAGAAGGCAAAACTAAAAAAAAATTTAAAAGCTTTCGCTTTGGAATTGTTTTAAATTCGAACGAAAGTTTTAAGATGATGTAATGTTCATTCCAAAATGTTCGATTCTGGAAAATAATGTGGTTTCCTTTTCCAATTTTAGAATGTTCTTGTTTCGATTACGAAAAAGTACCGGATCAGTTCGTATGCTATCACTGAAAAGAGAGTGATTTTTGAAAAAACTGATTTTAAATTGTTTTAATTTAAATTTAATTTGTAAATTGTTTTTATTTTATGTGCATTAATAAATGTTCGAATCGGTAAACTTCTTATTTACTAATTTTGTGAGAGTAGTGCCTCAAGTAAGAGTCCGTAGGGCCTATCGAATAACATTCCAAAATATTGAAGATTGATTAAAATTCGGTGTCCATATTGAACAATTGATACTAATGGTTATGCTAATAATTAACAAAGGGATACTGATTTTGCAAACAATTTTATTGTATGATTTTGAAACATGGATTTTTGATTCATTTATAAATATTAATGCTAAAAAATTAATATTTATATTTCGACAAAATACAGAACTATATAACAGCCAACTAAAGTGCTTTATAAAAGCTGCTATTTGCAACAAAATATTTGTATAGAAAAAAGAAATATCAATAACGTTCACGTTAAAAAAGGAAAAATAAATAGAAGAAAAACAAATAATTAATTCAAAGTACTCTATATATATAGCGTAAATTTTACGGGAACATGTTTCCTTTCGATACTGAATATCAAGGGCAAAATAAAAATTTATAACATTGCCACTAGGAAGTTTTGCAACATCTACTCTTTACTGAATCGATCAAAGGCTGTGCTGAAATAGGCCTGCTACCGGATGAGAAAATTGAGGGAAGTTCAGTAGCAAACATACTCCTATTGGCATCTTTAGTAAGTTTTTGGGCGATTTGAGAAAATAATTGATCAACGTTATCGCATTCTTTCGCTGAGGTTTCTATAAATACCATATCGTGCCTATTAGCGAAGTCATCTGCCTTTTCTCGAGGTATTTCCCTGCGAGTTACTTTATCGCATTTATTTCCTGTTAGGAAGAGAAAAGAATTTTTCATTTATTTTATCATTATACTGAATATGATAATGTACATCACTTACCGACTAGATAAGTCAATACGTTATTTCCAGCATATGTTTCAATCTCACTTAACCACTGAGGTAAACAATCGAAAGTTGCTTGTGAACTTATGTCGTAAACAAGTATTAAGGCGTTTGCGGAACGATAGTAAGACTGTGTTATCGACCTAAATCTCTCCTGACCGGCTGTATCCCAAATTTGGAGCTTAACTTTCTCTCCATCAATTATTAAATTTTTTATCATAAAATCCACGCCAATTGTAGATTGCTGTCCCATGGGGAAGATATTCTGTCAAGAAGAAAGAAAGCGTTTAGCATTTATTTCTAAAAATTAAAACATAATAATTACCTGAGTGAATCTTTTAACTAGACTAGTTTTTCCTACTCCTGCATTACCAATTAGTACCACTTTGAATAAGAATTTATAGTCTTCCATACCCCAATCGGCCATGTCTACAACTGCAACGTGCTTGTCGACTTTACGATGCGTGTAAACGATAGTTTCTGACATGGTAGGAACGTTAATAACAAACTCTAAGTATAAGTTTTAAGATTATATACTTGCTCTTTATATAAAAAAGAATAATCTATTACGCAAGAAGGCTAAATGTAAAAATTTCCAGGTTGGTATATAAACACGATGATTCATGTTCAATATTGACAAGAAACTACTTACACAATAATAATATAGAAATGAGTATGTTAGTCGGTCCCGTAGAGTAGTGATTCACAATAGAAATTGTAATAGATCTACAATTTTTCAGCATTTTTACTACTTAGTAGTCAGATCGGGAAATTACCTCGGAATTCCGGATATAACGGGGTAGGTGAAGTGTCGCACTGAATAATGAATTTTCCACTATTTGTTGAAGAAAAGTAGTGTAAAATTACCGATCTTTGCAAAACTAATCAATCAAAAATAAGATAAAAAGAGAAACTGGAGAGTTTTTTGCTAAAAAATAGCTTTTTTTATTGATTATTTTTAATTTACATCTTTGAATGAAAAGAAAGAAAATGTCAGTAAGGATATTTGAAAGTTTATCCATTCATCAAATTATCTCTAATCCGAATGAGATCAGCATATGAACACATCTTTTACACTCTTCTTATGATGCTTGACCGAGAGTCAATACGCAGTCTTTGCGCCTTAGTTTCTCTAGAAGTATACGACGATACTTTTCTTTATAAATATTAAAATTCATAATGCCCGGCTTGTCCTTCAACCAATGCTTGTGAAAATCATTAAAGATACAAATGTAAATATTATGAAAATCCTCAATCGTTGGTTCTCCCATAATACTATTGTAGAAATGATTTTTCAAGTGATTTTTCAATAATAGATCAACAATCATTGCAGTTATATTTATTCCAACAATAGCAAATGAATATTCGTGAGCAGGATTTCTAGATTGAAGCAAGACACTTCTCGCCAGATCCGTAGACTCTTTAGAGAAATAGACAAGATTCTCAAGACCTAATAAACCCATACCACGAAAATCAGTTTTAGGATCGGAACCTTGAAAACCAATCGTTGTCCATTGTTTCGTTACTCTTGCCTCTAGCGGTTCGTCGGGTTCCAGCAGATTCCACAATTTTTGCAACTTTTCCTCGTGCTCGTTGTTTTCACAAAGATAAGGAGATTTACGTAAAGTCGTAATATCATCTATCAATTTCTTATAACCGCATATTTGCGAAATACAAATAGTTATGGTTGATTCGAAACTGTAAGGAGAAAAGATATCAGATCGATGCATAAAGCATCTTCTATCATTGAAGGAGAGCAGTATTACCTCGCATGTACATAAACGTTGATATTCTTAGTGCGAATTATATCTTTAACCGCTTTGCCAATGTTTATATTAGGAGTTGAGGGGATAAGTCGTAAGTCTTTACTCTTAGACTTTTTCAAAGAGAATTCTGCAAAGATAACAAGTAATTAAGTACGTGTTTATGTTTTCCTATCTGATTTATTTAATTCAATGGCGAGTGGTTTGTTAAATTAGGTAAAGAAAATTATTAGCAGACCATTGACCATATGCAACAAGAAAATAATATCAAACCAATTTTCTTAGTTCTCTTTGAGCCTACAGGTTCGTTATACGTAATCCGTAAAAGTTCGCACATCCCAGTTATCTTTGAAAGAAAATACAGAGAATGATTTCTAGGAAATTTTCAGGCAAAATAAATATTAAAACCAAACATTAGTAATACCTTTCGAAGAATGAATTTCCACATTGGTCTCAGTACATAGAAATGGAAAAAAACAGAAATATAGTCGATATACGCCTTCATGCTGACTTTTCCTGTTGAAGAATAACAAAATAAAGTTACTACGTAATGAAACAAATTTTTAATACATTAGAGAGATGAAGACAAATGTTGCAGAGACAAACTTTAAGTAAAGGATTACGCTATCGACGACTATTCATTTATCTTTTTATGAAGAGTAATAACGATTGGGTATTTATGAGTTGTTATTACATAATTAAGTTCTCAAAAGCAATCACAATTGAGATTGTACTATAGTACAACAGTATTATTGTTCTCATTGGGTTAGTGTATATACTGTACATTAATGCAAAAAAATCACAATATCAATAAAAACTGCTGGTTTAGTGCTCATGTGATTTTTAGGAAAGACTAAATGAATAGTACTGAAATCAATGAACAAGTTACAATTCTGTTACAATTGCAATTATAGATATATAAAGAAAGTAGATAAAATTAGCTATAGGTTGTGAAATAGTATTATGAAACGTGGTGATAAATTAAAAAGCATATTTTGACGGTATACCATTTTCAGCCTGCCGATTAAACAAAGCTTAATTAATATCATCTATAATATATATTGATGTACTTAAATATAAATTGTTTCTCGTAAAAATTTGACTTGTTAGTATCGATATAAAAAATTAATTTTGAACTATGCAAGTGCGTTGACATTTGCATTAATGCTATTACGAAAATAAAGAACCCCTTATAAAGCTACAGAAAAGTGTTTTTTTTTCATTCTTACCTGCTTTATACACTTACACCAAATTTAAAGTTAATTAAAAATTAATAAATATAAGGAATGCAAACAAATAGTCAATCAAATATAAACTAATTTGTGCTTAGAGGAATGAATAATTAAGCAGTGTCCAGCGCATCCTTGACAACACCTGCAAAGCTCTGATTGGTCCAGGAAATTTTTAGTGTCTTATGTAATTTTTGGAAAAAAATTGGATAGCCTAACTACAAGATAGATAATTTCCCTTTTTTAAACCTGACTTCAAATTAAGAAAATGATATGCACACTATTGCGCCATCTATTGAACGTATTTTCTATCAAATCTAGTATGGCGGGCATGCAGAGGATTAGAAGGCAAAACATGGCTCGCAAATTCTTACAAATATTTGTTACAGTCAATTCGCTCAACTTAATTATACATACGTTTGCGAATATAGAAAGTCAAAATCAAGGTTTGTTTCTTAAATTATTTATTCAATTGTCGAAAAATATGATAATTCGTTGCGAAGTAGATGTTCTGTTTGTTTACCATATCTTCGAATCTCATCTTGGCGGCCTTTTCTGGTTATATTTAAAACCAAGATGATATATATGACCTAAAACGACTAGAGGATATTTAAATCTAGCTGATGATCTATTTTTGTCTTTGGATAGTTACGCTGAAGGAGAGTGTACTTTGTCAATGTAAATCAAATGCATCGCTCTGTCTCGTTTGTTCCCTTAGATTTAGGGGCCTGTTTAGGTTTTTACCTAGTTACTTTTTGGCGTGCTATTTACAACCAGCTGTTAACTTATTCTATACTCTCTTTACGGTTCAAAACCAGCACGCGTTGTATATCATATATTGATTGATAATCAAATTGTTTTTTGCAGCTTTCATTCAAACAGATAGCGAACTCCGTTATGTGGTCGGAGGTGTTGATGTAAGTAGTACTTTTTCAACAATACTGTAACATATCTATGTTTTTACTTTAGGTAAAGAGTTATCAAGAAGTGGGGTAAGTATTGCGCGAACATGATAGCTATAGTATATGTATTTACAATGTCTTCGTATGGAACAATAAAGTCGATAACTGCGGAAGATATTTCAATACCTTGTATAATAACTCCATATAAGGATATTATTCTGCGCGCGCTTTTTTTTTTCTCTCTCCACTAACCTCTAAGCTTTCATAGTAGCATTTTACAATACTAAAATACTTATGTGAAATAGAATAGGCGTTCATCGTCTAAACGTTGTAACGAAAACGCCAACGTGTAACTCCGAAACGTCATTTGACTGGTCACCATGACGACTAGCGTCACTGAGCGTCTGCACTCTTAATCATTCGTTTAAATAATTGTTTATCTGACCCACTATAGTTGAAATTAGATTGTAGTGTTTGTAAAGATAAGCTCCCATAATTTTTGACGACTGTTTACCTTGAAGCCACATCATTAATATTGCAAGGGATCTAGGAACAAGAATAAAATGTAGCCATCTCTCATATCGATTATTGTTCGTGAGGAGTTATATGTAATTGGACGACAATCACAGTCATTCTTTTGATTATTATTTTTAATTAACTATAACTAGAACCGTTTTAGAAAGCTTATATGTAACAAAAAAAAGACAAGAATTTTCTTTTTCAGTAGCTTTAAGTTTTTGCAGTTTTAAAGGAATTTTGTTTAAACAGCTTGACTTTGCTCATATTTATGAATGATTAATAATTGAAATTCGTTGCGTAACTAATTTTTTTTTTATTAAGAAAATTTTTTAGTCTCTTAGTTCTAATATCATGACCGCTAAACACAGCTTATCACCTTAATAAGAGATAGTTTTCTAACTGTAGATAATTTTTTTTTTAAAGCCCTATTTCTTTCTTATCGTTATAAAATATGTCATTATCAATATCTTCCGGTTACACTTTATATGTTATTGGGTCTTTTTATTTGAGAGGGAACCGAGCTGAAATATTTACGCTCAATTTAGGCGCATTCGATTACTGCACTGTTTGTAGGCTGTATGGCTAGAGTTTTGTATGTGTATGTTGTGCGTGCTACGTTATTTATACGCGTTATTTCTACCAAGGTCGAACAAATCTCAAAACGTAATTTATTACTACGGTTTTTAAAATGGAAAGTTTAGGTTGATAAAAACTATATTTTACAAGGTCAATTTAAGATATAAAGCTATATAGTAATATTTTAGTTTTTCTTCCCAGCTTGATTTTAATATTGAATAATAAACATTCAATATTTGCTTTTCTGCAATTGAAATGAAAGATTATTTATAATATGTCAAGTTTTGTGTCGATAACGAATAATAATATGTAATAAACCGTTTAGACTTTGATCGTGAAACAACAGCTTCATTGCATAGATAATAATCATCTTAATCAAATGGATCGTTTGGAAACAGGAGTGCATGAAAAAATATAAACAATTAAAGTTCGCTTACAAACATTGCCTTCTGTCATTTTAGTTACTTATACTACTTTGCGAGACCGTCGTAAAATCGATACTTTTTCGCTGAGATAATATATACGTTAATTCGAGCTGTTCGTCATTGTCTAGTCTCTTTCCGCTCTAGCTTGCAATTTCCCTCGGTTGATGAATAAGAAAATTTTTTAAATTCGCTTTCTTTTCCCCCATACAGCGAATTCGACGCGCCAATCAAGCTAGTTCCTCCAATGCTCGATTTCGGTGAACGGCCGGTGGGCATGCCTCATCAGATGCAAGTAACGCTCGTCAACAACGACCAGCAGTCACCTTTGCATCTGTCCTATATATCGGGCAACACGCCGCATTTTCATTGCTCATTCTTCGAGAGTAAGGTAAATCGCTGTTTAAAGCAACTATCGATTAATTACCCCGTCTCTTCGCTCTGACGGTTTTCGTGCACTTCCTAGCTTTTACTGTTTCCTTTTATCATTTTATCCCTTTTTTGTTTTATTTCTTACAGACGGTACAAGCCGGTGCTAACACAACGTTTGATGTGGTGTTTCTGGCCCGACATATCGGCAATGTCGAAAATACGCTATATATCCATACAAAAGATGGAGCGATCTTTAAGTACAACGTTTTTGGCGTTGGGACGCCTAATCCTTACAGAGTGCGTCCTTTAGTGGGAGCTCGACTACCTCTAAATTCATCTTTTTCTCCGCTCATCCACATGCATAATCCGCATTCATGGCCATTACAAGTCACCGAAATGTACTCATCTGGTGGTGATCTTCATTTAGAATTACCCACAGGCCAAGTAGACGCTCCAAAGCAATTTTGGCAAATCGAGCCGTTTCACACAAAACCCGTCATGAGGGCAAGTTTTGTTGCACGAACGGAGGAGAAGCATACGGCTTTCATTCGAATAAAAACATCACATATTCGAACCACAAGTGGAACCAGGCGTGTTGCCGGAGAAGAACTAGTTTTACCTGTAGAGGTAGAAGTTTCATCAAAGTATGGTATTTATTCACCTGTGGAGATGCTTGATTTTGGCTTGATTAGGAGTTCCGATTCGCCGAAGTCTCTAAAACTATCACTCCTTGCTGCGCATAAGGCGGTTTACATAACTAATGTTCGATTAGAGTCACCTAACGATGCTGTTACAATTGATTTCCGACCGGTGACTATAAAAGCAAGAGTCAACGGACCAACACATGTAGCAACCGTACACTTTGCAGCCTCTAAAGTGCTAGATGAACGGCAATTTAGTGGCAAGATCATTGTGGAAACGAAATTGGAGAATTTGTCCTTAATAGTCCCATATCAGGCTACGGTTATGCAAGGTCGTTTAGAATGGAATTTGGACAATACCCTTTTTTATACGGGTCACCCAATAACGCCTAATACAAGCAGCTGGCTGTCGTTAATTAATCATTTTAAAACTCCCTTGGTCATCTATAATGCTACTATCAGCGATCCTCAGCACTTCTCCGTCGCAAATTTCTCATCGCCTCTTCTCTTAGAGCCTGGAAAAAATATCACAAAATCGATGCGAATACTTTTCCATCCTGCAAGCTCGAAATTAAAACTCAGATCTGATTTAGTATTGCACACAAATGCGTCGACTTTCAATGTTCCGTTATACGCTTACAATGGGTGGTTAAAAGTAGTACATCATCGCCCTGAAATCTTTAAAGGTCAGCTCGATTTTGGAACGTTGGGAATTAGTGAGAACAGAGTGATGACATTTACACTGAGGAACGACAATCCCGTCAACGTTGTGATAAAGGAATTCGGTTCGAATTTTAACCGAACTGTTGTTAGTTTTTTAGGTTTGGAGAAAGGAAATGGAACATTATTACGAGGAGATAAGAATAACTCGGATATTGAGACAAATCCTTTAATTTTACCATCTCACCACTTTGCTGTGTTCAACGTTAATTTAACTGCCCCACCTTATGAGGGCACATTCGCTGCTGAAGTGATTCTAGCTACCAACTTTCAGAATCTCTACATTCCATTAACTCTACGAACGGCAGAAGGATCTCTTTCAGCTATTCCCCCAAAGATTGCTCTCGATGATGTCTTCCCTACAAGGGCGGCCTCTCATAGCCTTCAAATTCGTTCGACTTTTCGCAAATACATGCAAATCAAGAGTATTCGCTTTGAACCGAACGACACTCGATTTTATTATGAGCCACCTAGAACGGGGAATAAGTATGTTATCCTAAATTCTGGGGCGACTACTAATGCCGGAACGATTCATTTTGACGCCCTGCGTTCTTGCCGAAATTCGTGCTATTTGGGTTTACCGACTAATACACCAGCTGGACATCAATGGTTAGTTGGAGCAAATCTTGATAAGGACGTAGCGGATGTAGATCAGTATTTATATACAAGATTCAGGCACTTTTGGAAAGATATTAAACAGTCGCATGAAGATAGTGTAAACGTAACAGTTGAATTGAACACTAACGAGATTCGGGGCTTTCTATATCCCGCCGTCGCTCATATGATATGGCCCTCTGTAGTTAATCGTAAATTTATCAAATTTCCATTGACACAGTTGGGTAATACATCGTCAGCGCATGTTGATCTACATAATCCCTCGGATTTACCAATATTATTTCAAGTTCTGCCATTGTCAATATATCCATCGCCGCATACGGTGCTTAATGTATTATCAGAAGAAAACGGCGACATGGACTTTTTAGACCCGAACGCAAATCAATTCTCTTTGCTTGATTTAACCTATCCAGGAAATGAAACTGCTAATCAGTTACGAAAACAAGTAGAACGGACTCTAGGCGTTAAACCACATCCGCAGACGTTAAGCGCTTTGGTCGCACCTCGTTCTTCTGTTCGTGTCCTGCTAGGCTTTCGTCCAACAGATGATACTGAAAAAGCATCTTTAATCCTCATTAGGAATAACCTAACAGTGATGGATTCCGTTGTTGTTCAAGGACAAGGAGCCAGTGGCTATTTGAAACTTAGCGGTACTAAACAAACTGATAATTCACTGCAGTACATCACCTTCGATTATACTGAACGTCAATTGAAAAATTGCGATCGACGAAAGTCTAATTCGAAAGCGTCAATGTCAAATTTTGTGTTACGCCGTACCACTACGGCAAAAAACACAGGCTTATTGCCGTTTTACATAAACTCTGTACTAATAGATGGCGAACCTTGTTCTTCGGGAGGTTTTTCTGTAATGGATTGCTCAGATGGTGGCTTTAGTATAGGACCGAATATGTCGAAGAAGATAGAAATACTCTTTACACCAGATTTCACGATGTCACGGTTAGATAAAACTCTAGCCGTATATTCATCAATTCAGCCAAATGTTCCACATTACGTTCACATGCATGTATCAATACCACCACATTTGTTATGGAGGTGTGCATTAGCCCTTCCAAGACCTCCGTGGGAAAGAATGCTGTATTATTTTGTTCTAGGAACAGTAGGAGTTATGCTAGTTTGCACTCTCTTATCTTCCTATTTTGATGCTGATCGACTCTTAACAGCTGATGTTCAAAAGAGAATTCGAGTAAACCCAACAAGTCTGCATAAATTTGATTTAAATAATTTTCATCAAAAACATGTCAATGGAACAAATCAAATACATTTTAGCCATCATAATGAAACTATAGCTGATACTCCTAGAATGCCACCACCAAGGCCGAAAAAGCAACAGCAGACATTTCTTACAAAGTTTCTCTCTTTCTTATGGGGGAAGAAGAAGTGTATTGTAGAATCGTACAGATCGACGGGTGAGGAGGATTATTGCCATTCGAACGAACAGAAGACCAATAATATTCACGTATCAAAAAATAGAGAAGTGAAAAGTAAGAATGAAAAGAAAAAGGAAACTGCGGATCATTCTAGAACCACTTCAAATACGCAATCAAAGCGTAGTCTTCCTAAAGAAGAGAAAAATCCTGATCGTACAAAAGTTACGACAGACCAAGGATCTCAGATTTCCACATCAACTAATGGTGTATTGGCTAACTCGAATAATATTAGTAAAAAAGCTAAAAAAGCCGTTCGAAAGAACTCTAAAACTCCTCCAACTGGGAAACCGAGAGAAACTTTTAATTATGATGCTGACAAGGACGAAACAAGTTCAACAACGACTGAGACGTCTAGTACTGATCCGGAACCTCATCAGCGCGTACCTACTCCTGAATTGCTCATGCGTAGAATGGATTTAGAAAATGCAAAAACTGAAAAGAAGATAAAATCAAAATCTCTGCAAGCCAAAGAAAAGAAATCAGCAGTCACAAGTGTACCAGTGGTTTCTGCTACTCCAGCAGTAGCTTCTGGAGTTGGCGCAGTCGCTGGACCAACCATAGTTCGAAAGAAAAGTAAAGAAGAAACTGTCAATGAAGATGAGTTCATTCTTACTGGTGCAAAAGCCAGACAAGCCAGGCGAAAAGAAGGTCGAAATTCGTCAAAATCTGACACTGCATCTACCAAGGAAACTACAACTACACATTCAACAAGTACAGATAAATCTCACACAGGTGGGCAACAACGTAAGAATACTGGACAAAGTAAAGATCGCTCGAAACGCGGCAGAAATAACAGAGGTACGTGTCTATTTGTTAGAATTAATTAGTTTTCAGCATAATCTTATTACTAATAACAAAGATTAATTAGCGAATAATTAAGTAGAGATTGCGCATGGTGTGTGTTAGTGTACCCTGTGTTTGACAACCTTACAGGTAATGGACGTTCATTAACCGCCACATCGTCGAGTGAATCAACAAGTATGTCTGTATGGTCGACGTTTTCGGAAAGGCCAAAAGAGCCTGATGCGTTCTCTGATACTACAACTCCTGTTTGGGAAATGCCGCAATCTTCCTCTCAATTTACCCCTGGTTTGTTAATCTTTTCTTTTGATTTTTTCTGCACGATTTTTCTTTTTTGTTTAAAGTTTTTGGAATAATATTTTCTAAGCAAAATGAAATTAACACTAATTTTCTTTTCTGATTGAAAAATTATTAAAAATTTCCAGGTGAAACTGGCGATCTTAGTGAATTGTCAAATGTTACTGAAATGTGGGATAGACAACATCATAATCGGTCAACTCTACCAAAAGCATCTAGTCCATCTGAACAAGGTGCCACTTACAGTCAGGTTGTAATGACCAATAATTGTTCTCAACCGAATCGTGGAATGTATGATTCTCAGAGGTCGAATACAGCTGTTGGACAATCGATTATGTCTTCAACTTCGCAGTGGAATGGAATTGACCGTCATCAAACTCACATGACTCAATCAAATGGGTTTGTTGAGATTTATTTCCAAGAATTTTATTATACTTTTACAACTACAGTACAAATAAATACTACGTTTTTACAATCATTTAAGTAATTTATCTAATATAATTAACGGAGACATAAATTTTAAAGTAATACACGTAGTTGATAGAAGAAGGAATATAAGTAAATGAAATATTAATGTAATCCTCAACAATTCTAAATTAAATACACAATTAATGAAGCTATCAATTCCTACTGTTAAGATCGGATCTAGTTTTAATTAATTAACTTTTTTGTTCTTACAGTTTAAGCCATGGAATATTGGAAGATGACAGTTCGCCATTTGACTTTGGGAATAGACCAATCATGAGGAGCAATGCCGCTCCAGGCGTTCAACCAAGAACGGAATGGTCAGACTTCCCAACTGTTATAAATGCAGAAAATTTGTGGGATGCCGATAGAAATCCGAGCTTATGGAGAACAGAGGAAAGACAATCGACCTCTACTTGGGGATGTTCAGAAGGTTGGAATCCGATGAGCAACGATGACAGTGCTTTACAGAATATATGGAAAAATACTTCTTCAGCTGCTGAACAGAAACAAGAACATACACCAGCTACTTTTGATATGTTTCAGTCATTAGGGAACATTTGGACACCAGCATCAACTGCATCAGAGCAGAGACCGAATTCGGGAGGCTGGGGACAGAATGATTCTAACTGAAAAACAAAACAAAACAAACAAAATTCGTTACATTTTCAGAACGAATTCAACTATTTTCCGGACTTGACTTTTCTTTTTGTTTTAGTGGATGTCGTAAAATTCATACGCATGCATTGCGTAAATTGGAAACTGTGTTTGTCTCAATCTCAGACTATTTGTCGTCCGAGAACTGCTGTCAACGATCGAAATACATTTATATTAAAAGAGAGACAATCATTAACCGCTATATTGCTTTATAATTAACAGTATTAAAAGTTGCTTACTGAAGCAATTTTTATTAATTTTACATATATTTAAATTCCTTTCGCTATCTAATTTTAACAAAAAGTATTTTAATCATATTTCTAATACTTTGAGATACTTGTGAAAGATAAGCCTGACAATTTCCTTATTCAATGGCGCTCTTGTTAATTTAACAAGGCTTATCTTTATAAAGTAATTTTTCGTATATAAAGATAGCTAACATTCTATGTCTGTCGAACAGAACTATATATATATATATAGTGTTTATACAATTTTAGGCACGTCCCCAACTTAACAAAAGTAATTATTGTTTGTTAAAATGATTGTATACTGTATAGATACAAAATATACATCATATTAGTATCTTTCCTGTTTTAGTAATATTGTTAAGATTTAATAAGGAAACGCTTTCTATCTTCTATATATAACATTATGTTCAATTATCTTAGCAAGTGATTTGAATATAATGCTAATTAGATTCAATAATTTTTAAGTATTGATATAGCTTTTTAAGTATAGAATATTCTTTTGTACAGTGTACAATAGATCATAACTTTCATTTGTACAGTGTCATAACAATAATAAAATCATAAATACTACTCTAAACAGATGTATAGATTTTAATCAGAATGTTTGTACTCATTAGCTAAATTAATGGAAAACATAGTTTTTTTTAGGATAAGCATATGGCTATCAACATAACATTGCATTCTGATGATGTATGAAAGAGTATTTCACATATTAGCCGCTCTTCCCAACAGTTGATAATAGGCTTTCTAATAGACGGGATCTTATTCAACTTATATGTCTAGTATAAACTGGTAGAAAAACGCAAGTTGAATTTGTAATATAGCTGTAATTTCGCTCATCTTTGGAAATTCTACAAAAAAAGTATCACCAGAGAAAGTTTTGATAATATTAGTATTGGCAAATGAAGTAAAAATTGACCAGAAATGCAAAGTGCAAACGCTTCGTCTAAGTATAGTGAAGAGACAAGTTCTAAAGAAGAAATGAACGAATTGCGAAACGCACCAGAATTGGCGGCTGATGGTTCAGCAGGTAAATTAATCTGACTCTTGCAATTTAATTTGTCGTGAGTTATTCTAGATGTTTTAGGAAAAGTTAAGGACGAAACAAAAGGTGAAATCCTCAAACACGGTGATGAGAAAAGTATTCTTTTAGGAGCTGCGGATTCAGACCGTTATCGCCCAAGCAATAATATTTTTACATGGACTGGGAGGGATGGAGAGGCATGTTTTCAATTTAATTAATTATATTTTTTAAAGAGGATATTTTATTGCAGGTTGCCTACCTCTCCAATAGGCATGTTCTAGTCTTAAAAGAAGAGGATGGTGAGATCATTACAAGATTTAATGCTTTCCTTATACAAAAAGAGTTTGGGTCTTGGATTGGTCTAAGCTGCCATTCCGAAAGGGATATTGTATATATCTGTGTAGCTGCCGCTAAAGGGATAGTCATTATTCAATTAAATGAAGATAATAGTTGGCAAGTTATTTTAACAAAGACATTCTCAATATCAACGGTGCGTATAATATCGCTCAAAAATATTGAATTGCACAATAAATTTTTTTACAAAATAGTCTTCTGAACTTACTTGCTTGGATTGGATTCATGAAAAGAATGCTATAGCTTTTGGAACGAACTGCGGTAGAATACATTTTTTGGACGTATTCCAATCATCAACCATATTTGAGAACTTTGGTAAAGGTTGGATAAGAGCTATTAAACATTGTCCATACGTCGTCAAAAATCAACTTATAGCTATATTGTTAGTTTATATACAATTGTATAATGTTAAATACTTAAAAGGATTATTTTGAAACAGATGCAATCGCGATTCCATTCATATAGTGAAATTTCCGAATCTTCATACTTTCTTTTCATTTAACATTCCTGCAGTAGTTTGTTCAATGTCTTGGATTCCAAAGCTAACAACAAGTAATGTCATAGAATGTTACTTATCTATGAAAAGACCTAATCCAAATATTAACTTTTACCATATTTACAGAGGAGAGCGTAGCGCAATTGGTCACTACTTGTGAAAATAATACATTGTATGTATGGAAAATGTTCCATCATTCGCCAGAATGCGAATACAATCTCCGTAACAAAAAAGGTCCTTGGTTTCCTTCTCTTGTTATTCATAACAAAGCTTACGGATTTATTATACTTGTTGGAGATGCGAAAAGGTTTTACATATATCTTATATTTGTTTTAAAACGGAAAAACATAGCCCTCTATATTCATTCATATTCATTTTTTTCAGAACTCTGTCTGGGTTTTCTTATAGGTCAGGGAGTTTAAAGCCTATTAAGGATATTGGTCGTTACTTACATCAATCTAATCCAATTAAATTTATTATCTCAGCTGGAAATAGAATAATAGTTAATCGGATGTTTGATAAAGTTTGCTATTAATTACTTTTATTAATAAATATTGTTTTATTTATTCAACTAATTTTGCAGATATCATTTTTTGATACAAATGCCTTAAAGGAAACTAATTCTCTTATGACATTCGCTGGATTTCCATATGATTATAGCTATTGCCCTAAGAATCCAAGTTTGTTTAATTATAAATAATAATCTTTACTTTTGCGGTTTTTTTCTGTCTCAGTGTTTAACTAAGAGATTAAAGGGGTCTTTAAATTGACTCATTCACCGCCTGTCAAAAGAAATGAGATGAGAAATTTTATATTTATATAAACTATTCACAAAGTCAATATTTTTATCGAATACCTTTCCCTTTGGAATCTTAGAAAAATTTAACGATTCATTTATCATATGTACAGTATTTTGTTTTTTACTAGGTAAATTGGCAATTGCCGGAGGAGATGGTCATATAAGAATTCTTAGAATGAATGAAACTCGGAACGAAAAGTTAGAGTCTAAGTGTCCTATTAAAAATAGAATAATATCGGTAAGAATGCATTTTTAACATATTTATAATAGTTATCAAAACTAATGAAAATATTTTAGATTTCTTGGCATCCTGAAGAGGAACAATTTGTAAGTTTTTGTACTAGCGACAACAGAGTTGTACAATATAATCTCAAAACGGAAAAATCTATTATAATTTACTTGGAACAAGAAACTATCTGTAATATTGTTTCATGGGCACCATCCCAAGGTTATACAAAAAAAATTAATCGATTTCTCTTCGTCTAATAAGGATTTTTCTACTTCAGGGAATAAATCTAAGAAGATTCCTCTATTTTTCGCTATCGATGGTATACTACATTCTGTGCCATTCAAAGAGCAAAAATATAAGAATATTATGACCGAATTTAGAGCTTCAGGCCTAGATGATGTATGCTTTCAAGTTAAATAAACATTAAAGTTTCATCAATTAATTTAATTGCTTTTAAATTTAGGACACAGAATTCAACTGTAATTGTTTAGCATGGAAGGACAGAGATTATTTGGCCATCGGTAGTACTACTGGGTATTTTAAATCAATGATTCCATCTTGTAAACTAGTTACTCAATTGTTATTTTCTCCACTAAATTTCTTATAGATGTGTCTATGTTTTCGATTATCCCGAACTAAAGTTTAGAGCAAAGTATAAGACTCATCGGCAATGTATAAACAGTATTGCGTGGCATCCTACAACCACTAGTCTTAATGTAAAGTCACCGAACTCATATCTCCTTGGTTCGGCCAGCGAAGATAAAACAATATGTATATACGATCTTAAAGATATACTTGAATCATGTAAGTATTAGATAAAAACCAAAAATGTGCTCTATCGGATAGTAAACTTATAATATTTGTTTTTTATGACAATTTCAGGTGGTGAGAATGATCCCAAAACATTCACCGAGGCAAAATATAAATTAGATTTACACAACGCCGGAGTAAATCATTTATCTTGGAGTATTTGGGACGAAGCAATGTTTGTCAGTAGTTCAGATGATAAATCTGCGCAGGTTTATAAAAATAACTAACTATTATGTTCTCAAATTGCAATATTTTCATTATTCTCCAAAGGTGTGGCAACTTCAAGAAAATAATTTTGAACCAACTGCTAACTTTCGTACTATGCCTGGCCAAGCCCTTTTCTCAGTATTCAGTCAAACATGTAAAAATATGATAATAACCAGTTCTACTGACTGCTTGTTAAGATCTTGGAGACCATCTCAACAATCTCATAGGAATCCGCCCAACAGTTAGTTTGTAATTTTACACGTCATACTTATATATTAAAATAATTTTTGCGTCTGTAGCCTTAGAAGCGTCTAAATTGAAGATTAAACCTCCAAAGCCAGTACCAGAGTCGAAGGAAGAGTCCGAAACGGGAGCACAGCCAGTAACCTCCACAAAAGGTTAGTTTGAAATAGTCACTTGAATATAACGGAAATGTAATATGGGTTTATTTCAGATGAAAATCCACTTGAGATTCAGGCTAGTGACGGCTTGGGAGAGAAGCCCGACGCTAATACTCAAACGCAAGTCGACGAAGACTTCATTTCTGAATTGGAGAATATCGTGGGAAAACAGGCGATAATTGACGCAAAGAAGTATCGAGGTAATTTATAATCATTAGACCGCAAAAATATTTCCTTCAGCCTAATATTAACCTACATTCTTATATAGAATTACAACACAAAGAAGAGTTGGCTAAAGGAACAAAAGAATTTAAAATAGAGCCAAAAGTAAAATTTAGGCTGAAATCTCTATTACCAGAGAGTGGAACGAAAGAAAATAATAGATCAAGAGTTGCTAATTTAGAAGACTGCATTTATTTGGCCAGATGCATTTATTTGGGTTTGTTTATAAATACTTGATTATAAAGGAATAGATAAAAATCTGGCTTTTTTTTCTTTCTTATTCATGTACAACAGGTGAAAATTTACCGAAGCAATTAAAATATCTGGGTCTTTATTTAGATAGACCATTCGTTATAGAAGCTCTAAGAGAAGAGAGTAAGAATTCTTTACAATCCACTATTACACAATGCATACTTTGTACATGCATACTGTTTATACACTTGTGTATACACGAAATGCTACTCAATTCTACGCATCTTTAATAATTCTCTATCTCTTTAATTTTTGTTTAATAGTTAAATATCACATCAGTCAAAAGAACTGGGATCATCTTTGGGCACTTCATGCTTTTAAAGGTACATTGCCCCAAGCTGTAGCTTTTGCTCGTTCCAAAGAAATTCCACGGGAAACTTTAATGTTTTTGTCTTTAGTCAGTTAGTAGAGCAAAATATTTTGATAAGCGGAATGTATTGTTAACCGTGTTTCCCTTTATCTATTAGACTCCTCGAAATGGTCTAGAACAGTTATTAATGATTATTGCAAAGATCTGAACACTCAAGGTTCCTACTATTTAGCAGCTGCATTTCTCACAACAGCTGGTTTAGTGGAAGAAGCTGTTAAAACCTTATATAAACGAGGACTTTTCAAGTGCTTAAAAAATACCTTAAAATAATTATTGACTTATCTATTTTATCTGTTTTTATTTACATATCTAAATTTGACAGGGATGCAATATGCCTGGGACGACTTCAATGGTCGAAAAACAACTCGAATTTTATCAATCTGATAGATAATTACGCTCAACAATTAAGGAAAGCAGAAAAATACGAATTGTCCGCAAAATGGTAAACTATAATTTGAATATGTATATTTATGATGTCTAAAATTTCGGCTTTTTTAGTTATATAAGCTTGAAACGACCAGAAGAAGCGGCTTGTATGCTGTCAAAAATAGGAACAGTGACTTCATTGAGAATTGAAACTGTACTGTTTGGTTTGAGCGGCCATGAGAAGCAATATGCAACAAGGATAAATTCCTTAACACAAAGTGTAATGACGGAATTCAAATGGAAAGAAATGCTTCAAGTTTACCAAGTTCTTCCTGAAAAATGTTTTGTAAGTATTCAAAAAATGTTTATCTGGAAAATCCATAAGAAAATAAGCGGATTTTATTTTTGTTTCCAGCCGCATATTATGGTTGTTTCGTGCCATGAAACTATTTTAAAGGTTATGCATAGGGAAAATGCTTTTAAATTAAATGAGAAAAATTGTTCATTTACTTTTGAAGTTGACGAAAATATAGGTAAGAACATTGAATAAATAGGTTAAAGTTGTAGGGCAATTTGAATAACCTTTAAGCTTGTTGAATTACTTTTTATATTATACATAAGCAGATATGACAACATTTGGTTTGGAGGAGGGCAGTGGTTCGGATGGAGAAGACAAAGGGTGCCTTCCGGCAAGACGTCTGTTGGTTGATAAGGACGTACCATTTATTATTCACGTCACAGCCATATGGAAGAGTTTATGTATCAGTTTCGACAAGCTTACCGATGCATATACAATTTTAAATGAGCTGGCCAAAAGCAAGCAGGCGTTCGGAAATGAAAAACAGGTCTATTTCAGATATAAGATATTTTCTACTTAAATCTCTTTGAAAAAAATTAATCGAGCACAATAATCCTCTTCTGAACAGTTTAATAATATATCTTTTTTCTTAAAAGACTTTTTTCCTAAATAATCCCTTTAATGTGTCCTTCAGACTCTGGCTGCCATTGGACTCTACACAACCCTAACGATATTGGCCCTATTAAGAGACGATAAGCCTTCCGCTTTCTATTGGGTTTTAGAAAGCGAACGCTGCTGTTATAAAGCCGGCTGCACGCAAATATTGTCCGTTTTAAATCGTTTGTTGTTTATCAAAGGTAAATAACAGTTAAAAGTGTCTTACGTTAAGTTAAATAACGGAGAAGGGGGGTAATAAAAACGTTGAAGATGCCGGTATTCGAGTTATGCCCCATGCTATTCTGAAGTATTTTACGGCCAGCATTTGCAATATAAATGTCTTTTTTTTCCTTCTTTTTATTATATTATGAACGTTTGAAGGATAAGTTATATATGTAAATTGTATGTTTTTGCAAAAGATCACACCCTAGCTTTGTCTATTATTTATGCGTTCTGGCTATTGAATTGTATTTGATTTCAGTATTTGTATGTGACTGCATATTGATCAGACGTGAAAGATTAATTTTGTTTTTTTTTCGATGCAGGTTACGAATTATTTTTTGATATAAAAGATTCGCTCTTGAAGATTATAAACGAACCAATAACTAAAGAGAATGAATCAGATTATTTAAATCCGGACGAAAACGCCAAAATAAACCAATTAAAAAAAGAATTATATCCATTTATCGCTTTTACGAGTCTGCTCGATGAAGACCAAAAAGAGGACTGTGACCAAAACGAACCGATTTGGTTAAAGGGCAATAATCAGAACCAATGCATTATTAAGGCTTTATTAAATAAGAGAGATGGTAGACTATCCGTCCTTAAGAAGTATTTAACCCAAATTGAGACAGCTATTAGAAACCTTGTCCATATGCACAAGCAGCAAAACCAGAATGTGAACGATCAAGATGAATGTTTAACGGATAGCGGGGCTAGTGAATTTGAAATTGATAAAAAGGAGAATGCTGACGATAAGCTAATTGACCATACTAGATACGAGCATCTGGAGAAGAGCTCGACTGAGGTTAATTCTGTCAAGGGGCGTAGTCAAGTTGATAATGATCTAGAGGGTGCCGTAAAAATTGAAAGCGGAAACGATAAGGGAGGCGAGACGGATGTAACGGTTGAAGAGAAGTTTATTGGCGAAGGAATGGACTATGATAACAAACCAGGTGTTGACGCTTTGAAGAAAAATGATACAGATTACGCAAAACCTGAGGAAGTTGTTAGAACGATTGAAGATAAAAATAATGGTGAGAGTGTCAAAGCAGAGTGCTCTAAGATCGACAAGTGTGATAAAGATGAATTAAAATTTGAACAATTGCCTAAAACTAATCGCGAAGAGGGTTCGAATAACGGAGGTCGACCACCTGTCACTACAGATAGCATAGATTCTTTAGCACGAAGAGATAGCGCAATGAAAGATGAGAGTGCGAATGAATGTAAGACTGTACCAAAAGAAAAAATACTAACAGATGATGTTAAAAGCGAGAAAAACTGCGAGATGGATAAGTGTCCAATAAAAATTGAAGAAAGGGAATCGAAACCCTCGGGTGAGAAGACTACAAGCGAAATTGAAGATCAAACGACTACCGAAGTTGTTAAGCAAACGAAGTCCGGTGCTATTGATGAGAATCTTGACGGAAACCTTAGCGGACTTCAAGAGCCTCATCAAAGCGTAAAAGAAAAAATTTCGTTCGAAAAATACCTCGAATCCTGCAATTATTTCTGTTTGTGCAACAACCAAAAGAAATACGAAGAAGAAATTGAGGAATTATTAAAGGTAAATATTAAGAATATTCTATTCAAATTAGTAATAAAGCGCTCTACATATATATATATCTATATATATATATATATATAAATAGAATTTTTTGTCATATCTATAATTTCTTCACATTGAACTGGCGAGAGACAATAAACGTATATAAAGTAATTAAAGGTCATTTGATTTGCCCAACACAAAAGTCAAAGAGGCAATTGAATGTCGTAAAATAATAGATAAAGTATTAGTCGTCGCTGTTGTTGGTACTTTATTTGTTTTTATTTATTTATTCAGATTTTTCTTTCTTTTTTTTTCATAAAACAAAAATAACAACAAAACAAAACAGGAACCACTTGAAAGCATTCCAGACTCTTTAACCAGTGCCACGATTCTCGAGAGGCTTGCTCGAAAGTTTGGTGATAGTCAACTGATGGACATTGTTGAAGCATGGCAGAAGGATGTTTATCATTTCGATCAAATTTAAAATACGTAAACTCTAATGTTTAATTTTTCTGCCCTCTCTTTGTTAATAGTGTATTTTATTGAGTAAAGACAAGTTTGTAGTTTGACCTTAATCCAAGTAACCGAATATTTGTGACGCATAATTTATTCAAATAGAGACCACCGTCAATCATTAAACCTAATATATACATGCATATACGGACATTAGGGCACCTTCACTCTTAACTCACTCTCTCCGTCACCCCCAACCCCCAACCCCCTGCTTATTTTTTCACCCCTCACACAACCCTGCCCCCTTACCAGATGTCTAGCTCGGTCAGTTTGACGACTGACAAGTAAGAAAATATATATACGACTAGGTCGGTCACGTTACGGTCAAACCCCTTTCATTTGATCGTTCCTTGGGGCTACCGGAAAGGCTGAATAGGCTGATTGAAAAGTCTGAACAACATTGAAAAGAATAGGAGGAAGTACGGTGAAAAGTTGAATTATTTCAATTGGGCGCGTGTCGCTATACAAGTAGAGAAAAAATAACCCTCTGAATTGGCACGGCCTTAACTATGCGTAATGACAGAAATCGTCTGGTCGATCAAGGGGAAATACGCCAGATTGAGGTTGAAAGGAGGTGTTGTAGGCCTAACACTTGAAAATTACAAGCAGACAGATGACGGCATTTGTTTGCGTTAACCGATAAAAATGGCTAAAATTAGTTTTGAAATAAATAAGTAAATAAAAAGCTTCAAAAAAATCAGATGATAAAAGCCGAATTTTAAGATAAACTTTTTTTTCTTTTTTGTTTTAAAATGAAAACAAATTTCATCCTCTAAAGAAAAAAAAATAGAAAATATAAGCGTATTGTACTCCTCCTCCCTTCTCTTCATCCCTTCTTCTTCTTTCGTCCATTATTTTTATACTAAAAGTAGAATAAGCAGCAGCAAGGAGAGACGCGAGACACATTTTAAAACAGGCTTGTATTTACATTGAAAACATTTCTCTTTTTCTTTCTCCCTTTTCAACTTAGGTCGTTTTTGAACACTGAATATATATATATATATATATAAATATATAAATACATATATATATATATATACAAAAATATAAAAAAAACACTCGACTTGAAACTTGCATAGGTTAGCAGAGAACTATTATTTTTTTCCCTTAAACATTGAAAAAAAATAATACAATACGAAAATATTCAATAATAAAATGATTGCTAATCCCATTCGGAATACCACTATTTTTACGGGATTTTCTTCAACTATATACACAAAATCATTCCATTCATATATTATCGTAGAAGCTTTTTTTTTTATAATACGCTTGTTAAAACTGGCGTGTCTTTTTTTTTTCTTGTTTTTTTTTTATCTAATAAATATCTCATTCATTATTACAATTACACTCATTTATCTACTGAAATACATTCTACAAGGCTTAATTCGCAGATTCGATAAAACAAAAGTAAAAATAATAACTTATGAAACATTTTTCCACATAAAACATCGGTTTGTTTGTTTGCTTTTGTTTCTTCTTTAAACAAAAAAAAGATAAATAACAATTATTTAGTTAGAAAAAAAAATAAAAAAGATAGATAGATAGATAGATAAAGAGAGAGAAAGAATAAAGAAAAAAAGAAAGTGAAAGAGACAGATAGAAAGAATAAAGAAAAAAAAGAGGAAGAAAGTAGAGAGATAGAGTAAGAACAAAAGAGAAAGAAAGAGACGAACACTATTCGACAGATTTTAGAAGGGCAGTAGTAGTAATAATGTCTTTTCTTTTTTTTCAAAAAAATTTTCATATGGCTAACACCTTGGTATATCAAAGTCGAATAATTCGTTCAAACCTTCCTCCGGTTCGAGCGAGAAAATGTAGTCATCGTCTGTTAATGACGGTTCGAGTTGTTCAAAATGAGCATCGAGGTTCTGCATGTTTTGATCGTCCGTTTGGAAGAAGAGGTTGTTGGTTGATTCGGGAGAGATATCTTGGGCTGATAGTAGAGCATTCCTCAAGGCTGGATCTGCGTCGATCGTCATACCCAAATTGAACGTTTCACCATCCTGTTCATCGCCATTACAGACTCCTACTAAGTTAGGCAGAGACTTTCGCTTGACATTACCTGGGCAGGCATAGGCCGTGGAACCATCTTCGTCAGGTTCCGGTTTTATATGAATAGGAATAACCGTATTTGTATCTTGAAGACAACTACCCAAATCGGGCATGGGTGATGGTTCTCTACATTCATCGGCTTGCGCTCTAATAGCTTTAGAATTACCCTCGGGACAGAGGAATACTTGAATTTGCCCTTTCGAACTCTTCAGAAACATTGAAAAACCGTCCTAAGGGTAAAAAATAGCCTTTTATTTAAAATCTTCAATAAAATGTCAATAATATGGCTTAGTAGGAATTTATTTCAATACATACCGTTGTTGGATCGGGAACTTCCAATTTAGTATTTGGTGGGGCTCTAACGGCAAATACAGTCTCGTCGTCAAAGCATTCGCATCCTCTTATATCCGGATACGTTATATAACTATATTGGCTTTGATTGGGATCTTCCGTACTCCTATCCAAATTCAGTTTACACTCGTTAAGAAGTTCATCTAGAAGTGCTTCCTGCTGCCGTAAACTTGTCAGCTCATTACGTAGCCGAAAAACGTCGGAAGAGTGAAAGTTATGATCGGCATTCGAGCCGCCATTATGCTGATTTTCGAAAAACATCAAACTGTTCAATCCACCACTAAAGTGTTTTTTTTTTTTTGTTCCCAATTGGCAAACAACAACAAGTGAAGAGAGTGGGGGAAGGAGAGAAAAAAAAAAGACAAATCAATCCCTATTCTCTTTTATATATATATTTATATATATATATATATATATATATGTACAACAACAATGTTATTCTATTTTTTTGTTCTTTCTTTCAATTTTTTTTTTAAAAAAAAAATTTAACTAAAAATAAAAATCATGCAAAAAAAAAAGAAACAAATAAATAAAATAATAAAAAAAATAATAATAATAAAAAAAAAGCCTCAAAATAACAAACTTACATCCACTGAATATTATTCTTAGATTTCTTGACGACCAGATTAACCCCTTCCAAAACATTGGTAATATCGTATATCCTACGTTTCTTGACGTCGAGCATACTGGACGCTTCATTTAAGTCGAGAATCTGTTAGAATTGTTAATATTTACATTTTACTTTTATTTTCTTTCTTTCTTTTTAACGGTAACATATAAAAGGTTAGAAGGTCGAATGATGTACGGTGTTGGGTGTATTGGGTACAGATGACTTAGGTTAACAATATCGGTTGCTTAGCTTTCCCACGATCCTCCCCCCTACCTCACCCTTTAAATCAGCCTTGTCAGCCCGTACATGGTCGATTAATATAGCATCTATGGGGCGCGTATTTTCTCGCATGCTACATTAATCTTTTTCACCCTTTAACTATGCTAGTACTATCAAACTAGTATTCAATTTTCTCCTCTTTTCTCAATCAATTCACTTCTAAAACACTCCTTCCCTTCCTGTTATTTTCCCTGAAATAGACTCTAGCAAAAGAGAGACCACAAAAATTCCTAATTCCTAGGTATAATAAAAATATGCCTAATCAAACAATTGCTTAGGTTGAAAATGTCGTGTTGACTATGTCCATAAAAAGCCTTAGGTCTCCTTTCGAGGCCGACAACTCTACCTAAGAGTTTTTCCTCTTATCAGATTGAAAGGCGTATATCAGTTGCGGTTAAGCTTTCTCAAAAAAGATAGGATGAAAATGGGAACAATCCTAGTTTTGTATATTACTCAACCTATTACTGAAAATGAAAAAATTGTTTTGAACAGTATAACCTTCTATGCTCTTTGTAGAGGATGTAATAGGTGGTTTATTTTGTTATGCAAGTTATTTATTATCATTGAAAACTCTATTCTAATAAGATAAAAATGAGTAAAATGAAGGGGGCGGGAGAGGAAGAGGATAGGTATGTGTGGGGTCTTTTTACATTTCCCAAGGCCCCACTAGAGTCAGCCGACAATTAACGAAAATCTGGCAGGGGCGACATTCCTACGACGGCCTAAAACTTAATTACGTACCGGCTATTGAAATCGTATATTGTAAAGAGGTCAGACGTTGGTCAAATTGTCAAATATATAAATATATACTGTACATATATATATATATGGATGAATATACTATTAGGAATTGCTCTCAATTCCTATTGAACATAAAATAAAAAATACTTACGCCATCAGGCGATTCGTGCAAGAGTTGAACGAATTTCTTGGTTAATAGGCCTAAAGATGTATCGTATCGCGACGTTCCAAACGGCGACTTTGATCCTAGAACAAAAGATAACAGAATCAAGTAATAATTGTTAAAAAGGAGATAGTGAGGAGATTTCGAGTAAACAATGCATACTCGTTTATATACATTTTTACTCTTATTTTTATATTTATATTTGCTATACTAATAGCTTCAGATATCATTTATATATAACGTGTAAGAGCATTGCGTACCCGAATAATATTTTTTCTCTCTCCCCCAATGGCCCTCGCCCTCTTTAGCTTCCCTTCCGCTTTTTAATACAATAGACAACAAAAAAAAAGGAGTACCAGCAGAGCGCTAATCTTTTCAAAGCAATGCTAACTAATAAAAGAGATCAAAAAGAATCTCTTCACACTGAACCCATGCTTTAACTAAACTAAAGTTATAAAAGCATGCCAACATATTCACTTAGAATCCCTTAAGGGTCTTAAGCAATGCGACAGAGCTTATCGAGAGCAGCTGACTACGTGTACTAATCTCAGATAATGCTATCGGTTTGTTAGGCCTATAAATATAACACTAATATACTTTTACACAGTTCAAAGTCGTTCGTACTTCCTGTCGTAAAGTATTGGCAGATACGTTTACGTAAATAAATCATTTTTCTCGTATAAGCACGAACAAGAGTTTGTTGAGAGTTGCGTGTCGATAGTTGAAGAGCAAGAGATAGGGCAAGGAAAAGAGAGAGAGAGAGAGAGAGAGTAAGAGAAATGAGACGCTTATACAAAAAAAAACCCTAATCGTTGAACGAAAGTGAGAGGAATACACTCTCGAGTTGCGTATGAAAAGCGAAAGTATTTGTGAAAAAAGAGAAAGCATTAAGACGCTGGTTCGGCGTCTTCAGTGTGGTTAAAAAAGAGAAAGTAGGTTAATCGGTTGCTTTGTAGCTATTAGGCAACTATTGAAGGATTAGCCGATACAACACTGATGCTTACTGTCATCCGGGTCAATCATACCTCTAGGGGAGGTGGAGAGAGGGCGGGCACGCTTCTTCTTAGGCGTAACATCGTCCAAGTCCAGATCGAGCCTTCGCTTTACCTGACAATCGTAAAAATCACGTCTTTATTCAGTACAATACATTTGTATATAAAACATTATATAACGAAAAAATCAGCTCTATGTATTTGATATTTAGTAAAATGTTACCAAGACTAGACCGAAGTGTCTATATAAGAAGCACCTGCTAGGTCAGGTTCAGGTCAGTGCTCAATATTAATAAAAGAATGAAAAACTACTCAATGTCCTACGTCTATACTTACCGAACGTGCCCATATCCCTCACGTAAGTGAAGAATGTGGAACTCGACTAATCGTTGAGCACCAATAATCTACCATTTAGTTTGACCAGTTCGAACACGTTCGAACAGACCAAAGGCGATTGGTTAGTTGGCTTACCGATCGATAAATTAACTATATATATATTATAAATACAATAATCTACATTTGGTATACGTACTTGTAAACGTTCCTGCGAAAGTGGTGTAGCAAACGAACTGTTCATCGGAGTTTGAAGGTTTGCGGGAACGGGCGATATTAGAAAATCCATGCTTGCAGCCGATTCATTCGGTGTACAAGGTGAAGGTGCTGTCGACTTGTAAGCCGGAGTTGCCGGTAGAAGTTGATTAGAGTTTAATTTCGTCCGATGTCCTAGTATATTCAAGACTTTTTGCCGTTGACCTGGCATGGTATATATTGTTGTATATTCACTGGCTTCCCGGGCGGATGTGATGTTAATTAGACGAACAGCGACATTATAGGTGGATTGGGACCCATTTCATCCGGTCAATGTCGACACGTCTACGCTACTGAAACAGAAACCTCCCTTTGACAAAGCTAGAAAGTGGCGCGAAATAGAAACGAGGCTATGATGGGTCCATCTTGGGATGCACAGTAAACAAACCATTTAAAAATCATATCAAGACTGTTACATTCTTGTCAATTTGATAAACCTTTTTTGTAATCATATCTAATAAAACAAATAACTTACGAATTTGAGTAATACACTTCACCGATTAAGAAAAAAATGCAATTACCAATAGATTTTACATCTCACAGTGTAAATAAAAACACGTGACCAGTTTAAACCAATCGGAAAAAGGCGTCCTTAGTAACAAGACCACGTTGAAAGGGCGACAGATGCGAGACGCCTGCGATTCTACAGGACAGGTGCAAGGGAACCAAGCGTGCCCGGACTTGTCTAAAGGGCGTTACAAATGAGCCAAGACGCAAACGACCGGCTGACACGCGTCCCATGATAATTATAAGACGTTTTCCTTATCGGCAAACATTAAACAATCGCCTGCTTTGTTTATTTGTCGACCGACGCCTTTCCAACGCGTTTAAAGCGTCGTTTCGCCTACGTAACAAATTACGTAAGTCGGGATGATTAAAGAGTCTCACATCAAACACTGTTTTTACTCTTGAACAATTAGACAGATTTCGGTTGGACGTTTCAACAATGCGTTTCTTCTCGCTGTTCAAATTTACATTTCGACCAACCGACAACCCTGAAAGCTGGACGTCGGTCAAGCGAAAGTGTGTCACAGCACGCTACCAGCACCAATCTCTTCACACCCTTCCTCCGATAAAAGCCAACCTTATCGCCTTGATAAGCGCTACAAACACGCGGCTGTCATAACGCGTCCAACGCTTTGTGTGGTCTTATAGCCTTTCTTTTTTTTTTATTTTATTTATAACGAATACAATTCGTTTATAAAAAAAGACCAATTTTCCGCCACATTCCACCAAACTTTTTCGTTCGAATAGCCTGCAGATAATTTCATACGGTTCGGCTTAACGCTTCGATTGATTCAACGTCGCTTTGATTCAACCGAAACGAGCCTAAAGGCGACGTTAAAATAAATCTAAAGACAGGTCTGAAAACTCGTATCAATTACGATTTTTAATCAACTCCTTTGAGAATTTAATAAGTCGTTTAGGAATTTAGTAAATGCATCAATCAACTTAGCACCAGATAAGCCAGTCGCCTTGAAATCGGGTCATCGCTATAGGCCTATAGGTTGACAACTCGCCAACTTGACCGTCGTTCAAGCTTTTCTCTTATTCAATGGCTCAAATTGAGCCGTATAATTGTGAAGAAAGTAGGTTGTCTGCCGATAGAAAAGCCCTTAGGGAAAGGCGAAGCGTACAGCCCACAAATGTGGGTAGTCTGACGTAAGAGATGGTCATTAGACAGCGTCAAACACGCTTCGAATTCCTTTGCCGGAAATGTCTAACCCGGCTCATTAGTCCTTTGCCTGTTATGTAATATTGTTCGTATTTGGTTTGAGAGACTTAATTACCCTCTTTTATCTACTTCTACTCATTCTTTTATAATTAAACCAATAGATGGCAGTCAAGTGTAGGCCTTTAAAACGGTGTCAAAGGGAAACTAATTGTTTAGGTGTAATTACGTAGTTTCTTATCTCGGAAAGAGGTAATAAGAATGAAAGAGAAAAAAACCGCATATCGCGTTAGTCGTTGTAGTTTTTTATCCAAAGGTCAATTTCCTCCCTAATCGGAAGTACTCAATCTCCTCCCTCCCCCGAGTAATAGGATATGCGATATTTTTAGAGAGAACGACCTGCGGCTAATAATCGCATTATTATAACAATTTTTTTAATTATTATTTATTAAAAAAAAAACGGGTGTTATCGCAGTTTTTCAAATTTTTTTTAAGCAATAGCTGTTGACAGCTGATACCACAGTCGATTAATTTCGGAATACTTATATGCACGCCTTTTCCTTCTTTTAGCAGGTGTTACCTATACAAACGTCCTACTTCCGCCGAATCCTTTAAATAAAATGAAAAAAAAGAAGAAAAAAAAAACAAATAATATATATTGCACGTTGTTTAAAGGCGTCATCCTGTGCAATTCAAAAAGAAGAAAAAGTCGTCTACTGAGGTCTAATTGTTAGCCGTCGAGCTCTATTATGAGCAGGGTGAAAAGTAGGTGGAAAAATGTAGCTGGAATTCTATAATAATAGCACTTAGCAAGATGCAAAGATTCGGCTTTGGATAGGTAGAAACACTTTTAGGCCAGAATCTGATCTGAACAGCCTCGGGCAATAATCCACTGATAATCAACCTGCCTTGTCCATACTCTTTACTTTGCGGCCTTTTAAGAAAGTTTACTATAGTCTGCCTATTGAAAGGTCCTATTGAATAAAACGACAGATGTTACATTTTAATTTCAAGTGGAGGCTAAATAGTTTTCAAAAAAAAAATACCTTTAAAGGGCATAAACTCTGACTTGGACAGATTTACTAAGAACAGAGCGGGATATTCTGTCCATTGGACCCCTAAGGCCTTTTCCAAATGCCGTTGCTGACCGGCGGTCGCCCAGGCCCAGCCCCATTCCCTTTCGGTAAACTCTGTTGACGCTTGGGCCATCATTTTCAAATAATCGTTTCGACATTCCTTGTCGCAAACCGATAGCTTTTGTAGAAAGACGAGCACGCAAGCAGTCACTCCACGTCGTCTACATTTACATTTTAGCACATTCTCGTTGATAATCTGCGCAATGTTACTCATATGTTGACAATTAGCCCATTTGATAATGTCATTAGTATTCATTAAACCCCTATAGTCGTTATTTTTGCTTATGGCGTTTTGAGAGAATTCTATATATTTGATAGAAGGATAAGATTTAACATCCAAGGTCACATGAACTTTTTTTGAGAGAGCATTCTTCTTTATAACTGGGATGATATTTTTCGCTTTTAGTTGATCAGCCATAAGAAGCCAGTAGAGTTCAATTTCAGGGTTTTGGCCCTTGTCGAAGAAAGCTATTAACAATTTAGTAAGGTTCCCACCAGACCGTAAAATATCTCTGTAGTTATAGTCATTAAGAGATGCGATAGTGTCGTTGCGAAACTTTCCTTGTTTCATAAAATAATTACTGATCCATTCAATAAGACCGCTATATCGTTTGCATGTTTTGCATAACATTGGCTTAGTGTCTTTTGATTCCGTATAGATATAAATGTACGGATATGAATTTCTAAATTTAATCAATGATCTAAACCTGTACCTGTTCTTTGGCTGGTTGATATGACCAAATTTAGCAACGCCCTGTCAGATGTTGCCCTCTTTTTGTATTTGTATTTATATAAAAAAAGAATAATTACGAACGATTAGCGTACTTTTAAGGCGGTTGCTGCTTTTTTATATGAAACGACGACGCGCCGAGAAAAGGTGCACCTGTTCACCAAAATGTGAATTGTATTTCACTGACACTTGATGGATAGCGCTTAAAAACCTACTTGGGACTGTAAAAACAGACGAACCATAAATTATTGCTATTCAAAACCCTCCTTTCAAATTGGGTAGCGTTTACTAATTCTATGACGTCATCTTTGAAATTGAACAGAGTCTGTTGTAATCCTGTGGGGAAGTAGGTAGACTCTAAACAGGGAAATATCATTAGTAATAGGGGAATGGGAGAGATAGACATATATTTTTTATATATTAATAAATAAATAGATGGAGATAGAGAAAAGGACAGAGAGAGAGAGAGAGAGAGAGCGAGAACGAGAGAAGGTGTACAAAAAAAAAACAGTAATTAATAACTATTAAAAACTTTTTTTCTTTACCTCAAAGCTCTTTAAAACAATAAAATATAATATAGGAAATGAACATAATTGCTTTTTTACATAATGCAACTAAACCTAAGTTTCTCTCAACCTATACTTATATCAAAGTATTTTAAAATGACACCGTATCTCATTAATGCCAACGTACTTTTCAAGTATGCCCTTTCTAACAAACAAATTGAGGCTATTAAGAAACATTCTAGGCGCATTTCTTTCCGTCTAAAGTTTCCTTCTTTTTTTTTATATATAATGTTCTTCTTCAGAAAGATTATCAGAATTACTTTGGCTTTCTTTGATTGTTCTTTTTTCTTGTTTTAATAGTTTATTTTGGTTAAATTTGAAAATTTACGGTCGTTGACGTTCTGTTTAACGGTTTTCAAAAGTTCTTAAACGAAAACTGGTAATGTGTCTTTTTTTTTTATTTAAAATTTTTTAGGTATATTTTACAATGACATTTAATTGTTTGACTTCTAATTAATTAATTATAGAGCTTTCGAATAAATTTTCTCTAGTGTAATACTAAACCAAACATGTTATACTTTCAATCAAATTTATCTGTTATACTCGTATAAGTTGACGATTAATTTTAATGATTAGAACGAAAGTTTATACATCTGCTGAAACAATATTCGATTAGCTCTCACAAGTCGTAAATAAAAAGAAAGTTATAAGTTCTTGCTCGCTGAAAATAATATCAATAGAGCAGAAACAGAGACAGAGAGATAGAGAGAAGAGTGAATAGTGAATGGACAGGTTGTTAACCTAAAAATTCTTTATTGTCACTATGGGAATAATCAAACAATTATTATCTTGTCTCCTTCTCCTTGTGCAATTGTTGAAGGTAATATTCTTAATTAATTTTCCGGATCGCGAGTAGATAAGGATTCCCGAGGGGATGTTGAGAAATACTGATGCAATTAAGGGTGGAGAGAGGAAGCTTGTCTAACTTGGTTATCACAAAGTGATGGCTGTAAAAACAGATGAGATTTACGAATGTAGTTAAACAAAGAAAGTTTGAAAAAAATGTTTGTTTAAAGGTTAAAATGACAAAAGATAAACTTACGAAATATTACAAGAAAAACGTAACAGTAATCTAGTGGTATTAGCGGCTGTAAAATAAAGTAATTAATACGTGCTAATTACTAAAGAACGACGTTAATTTCAAAATTAGGACTCGGGAAGGGATGTATATATACTAATATAAAGTGTTAGGAGAGGGGAATAGAGAGTATCTAAAAGAGTAATTATTAGAGTAAGGTGAATATGTCGATTTAGCTTGCTCATTAACGTAAATATTAACTCAATTGAAGGAATATTTTCAATGCACGCAACAGTTCCTGATAAATTCCTAAAAATGGAGGTTTTACATTACGGATTATGAGGCACACGTAGACGACGTTTTCCAAGCCTTAATAGCTTGGTGTAAAAGCAGCCTTTGGGAATACTCATAGAAACTTTCGTTGTATCACTCTCCACCTATAGCCTACAGTTATTGTAGTATGTAAACACTTCGCCACATAGCGTTTCTATAGTTACAGATTTTTTCGTCAACGTTATTCGTTATTTTCTATGAGACTTTAATTATCTTATAATTTATAAACAATTTCTAACTATGAAGGATGTAAGAATGTTCTACATTAGAAACTCGTTCGGTAGCATTCGTATACAAGTTTATATAATTATTATTCTTATTGGAATTAAAGTAGTTTAATACTCATCGGGAATAATTAATTTCTCATCGGCTCTTTCTGTAATAAAACTCCCAATTCTCATTTTTATTATGAGAAATTCACCTTCTTTTCCTTATCTTTTCAATCTGTAGTTTTTTTATGGGGTAATATAAAAATAAAAAGAAATACTTTGAGAAAGGTAAAGAAATGATCAAAATAACTGATGTATAAACTAATTAGCATATTGACAATTAGCTTTTTGCCTCTAACTCTTTTGTGATTGTAAGGATATTTTTGGGGCTTTTATTCAAAAAATAGAGAATTAAGGATACTGTTGCTAACAAGTCGAAATTTACCTTTTTATGCCCTTTAAGTTTATTAAAAGTTCATTATCAAGTAAGGACAAAGACTATTTTGTAAGTAAAGGTTTAAAGGAAGACTCGTACTCAATACACTACATGAGATGGAGTAGTAATAGAAACTGTTAATAATAATGCTTGTATACAGCATAGGTGTTAAATGAATATATATGTGCATTGTAATATTTTGAGCCTGCTTTAGACGACAGAGTTCATGAGCTTTTGGTAAATCAGAAAATTAGTCTGACGGCTTAAGCCAAGGAGCACTCTGTTAATTGGGGATTTAGAGGATTTTGTACGAAGGTTATACTCAGTTTTCAATGATTCTCGCAATATTAATGATCTATAACAGACACAATTTAAACTAGACTTACATGTTTAGTACAAACTAGCAAAATATAAATGTTTTGCTTGCTTATATCGAAGGTTAGTGAAGAAAACCAGGACAGTGTCATGACATGTAAAAAAACCCTCGATTACATTGATAACGAACGATTCCTTCTCATCCCTTAAAAGTTATTAGTCTAATATAGAAAGAGAAGCGTTAAACTATTCAAATATATACTCTGTATCTTCTCGAACAATATTCTGTATAGAATATACTGTACATATACTGTATATATATATATATATATATATTATTGTAGAAGATGAAGGCATACAATACAGTTTTTGTCGAAAGGAAGAAGAAGATAGAAAAAGCAAAAAGAAAATTATAATAGTTCTCATGACTGTTTAAATCGATGTTGTAATTGATCTGTAACTACTGAATCCCATGAGAAATAAATTTATCGTTTTTTGTATAATATTTCAGGAAGCAGCAGAAAATTTTTGCTAATAGAAAATAACTTTCATACTGAAGGTATCAGGTCGTTCGTTAATGGCTTCGACGAATTGGTTAGACAGACTTTTAGCAATGATTAGATTCATGTTCCATGTTTCCTCCATCCTTAGGAGATGAGGGATTGTAACCAGTTTAAAAAAAAATGTAATAAATAGACGAGGGAAAGAGATTGAGCGCATGTGTGTCATGAGTAAATAGAAAGAATTCTTAAAGAGTAAAAGCTTATTCTCTCCCTTCCATCTATCGATTTGGTTGAAAAGGTATCGAGATCCCTCCTAATTCTTTTCATTTTTTTCCCCTTTTCTAAGAATCATTCTATAATTTTCTTTTATTATTTCCTCCTTTAATATTGCACCAAAAACTTATTTGATAAAGTAAGGTTTAGATTTTTTAATAATTAAATCATTTTTCGTCTTTTACTTTCTCCCTCTTAGGTCCTTTTTTTCTTGGAATAGTAAACCATCTAAATAGGCAATCTTTCTTTGATGTCTAAAGATGAAAAGAGTACAGGATGTATATCTATTTTTAAACCAATATTGATAGACATATTCATAAAACATCTCAGTTAATACAAGTAAATCTAATATTTTTCGTGATTTTAGATTATATGTCGTGAATCAATAATAAAACTATGTCTATTGCCTAAAGGTAAAAGTCTTCGACTTAATTCACATTCAAGGTTGGGCCAGTTAAAAATAGACTTGCTAAGCTCTAAAGTTTAGGAACCTGCTGTCATCTGACTCTCCACTTTACTCCTAGCGAATTAAAGCTGATTTAAAATTGAGTACCATAATTCGTAAAAAGTTGTCTATCATAAAGTGGCGATGTTTATTAAAGTATAGGATAATGAAAATGTTTCAATATTCTAACCTGTTACTTGATGAGGAGTAATGAGAAATTGTTCTTTTATTGGTACATTAGCGACTTTCAGAGTTAAGAGCGCAGAGTACATTTTCACTTATGGGATTATTGAATAATGACAGCATTTTAAAATTGGTTCAAAGACCAATAAAAAGTCTCTTACTCTACTACACTTTACTTTACTTTTTCTCTCCCCTCTTCCCCCACCAAACCTTTTCCTTCCCTCCTTTTTTCTCTCTCTCTCTCTTTCTCTCAAAAGAGAAAAGAGGAAATAATTACCTGAAATTAATCTCTTTAATTAATCGTACTTTCTGACTGGTAATTCCACTTAAACGCTTTACTAGACATTCGTAATTACAATCTTTATACCTATGATTGAAACAATGTTTACAACAAAAAAAGATGGAGAGAGAGTTGAAAGAGAACTAAAATATCTAATAATTAATTTGAAATATTTGATATTTTTTCCTTAATTAATTATCATTAAAATTGTTATCTAATCAATTACTACACTAGAAGGAAATTTTTTTCTGTTCTATTGCTACGAGCTGAGCAAGTTTCCTTGATCTTTGATTATAGAGGCATGTACGATTTTCTAGTGATGATAAAATGGCGAACGTGATCTTTTTTTATACCTTATTCCATTACATGAATTATTCATAAATTAGAAAATTTATCATGCTATTTTTACAAATATGGTAAAAAAAAAAAACAAGCTGGAGAACATATATCTTTCAACATCAAAGGATAAAGACGGTTTGTAAAAGGAGAAAAAAAATTGTCTAGTTTATTTAGATGATACAGTTGGTTGTATTGTGAAGCTAAGAACCTCATTAAGTCTCTTTTCTCAGTATGCTTTGTTTGTTTTTCACAGAGAAATATAAAAGAATATACTTATTCTATCAGAAACAGAACATTATGTTTATTTTGTTGACGAAGAAAAAAGAAACCAAGGAGAGTAACACTCAATTAAAAAGGTCAATAAATCTATGTTCACATACTAATTTCATTCTTTACAATCTTTAGAGGATTTGAGCTAATCTCATTGATATTTAAAGGGATTTTTTGCCAATGGTGTACTAAAAGAAGACACGTAACAAAATGAAAATATACTTTAGATTATTGAAAAGAATCAATCAACCTACCTGCTCATTAACATTAACATAAGTATTAAGCAGCTTAAAACAGTAATTTACACAACTTAAACACGTTTATATTAACATAGAAAAAGAGAAGTGCAATAGGGTTTAAGATAACTTTCAAGCGTTTATAATAGTAATTAATAGTAATTTATAAATGAACTCTTTAGTAGACCAATTATCTGTAGACTGGTCTCTTTTTTTCCCCCTCGCAGAATGCGTCATTAATCCCATCTTCTTTTTCTCTCGGTATTCTTCTCTTAACGCATTTCCATTATTATAACAAATATATGAAACAAAATCTATAAACTAATCTTTTATCTTTATGGTTTTTACTCTCATTAAAAGTATTATCTGAAAAAGGATAAAAATTGAATTATTTGATGAATTATGAAGGAATTAGCATGAACAACTCCGAAATAATTGTTTGTAGGCTGCTTTCCTAAATGCTGGGCTACACAAACTATACAAATACAAATTGACAGCAAAGTTTATATAATATAGCAGTTGCAAATATCCTTGATAAAAGCCCGGCTCAGAGCTGGCGTTCTTAAATTTGAAGCCTGCAAGATCTATAACGAATCCGTGGATACGATAGGCGTGACATGGTAAGTTCAGAGCTACGAATACACTTGAAACAACTATGAGAGAGAGTGTTGTTCTTGCTTGAGTATTCTCAACAAATCGAGAGGAGGAAGTTTTATTGATTCTCAACTGTACACCACTGATGTCCGTTACGCGACTAGTTAATTGATGTGTTTCTTCTTTCTCCGTTTGTTGGCGATCTCTACTACCAGATGTTTGCCCTCGACCTTTCAAGTAGATAAATAGTTTGCTTGCAATGGCAGTATTTAAGATAACTATAATTAGAGATGGTAAGATCAGCGTAAGAACAGTATCAACGCTAGTAGCTATTCTTAAAAAGTTTTCGTATTTAGCAAATGGGCGGCATTGTTGAGTACTTTCTTGTTTTACCACGCCTGACGTCCAAACAGAGAATGAATAGGCGATAAGTGCGAAAATTGTCATAATTATTACACAGCCTTTGGCTTTTCTTCTCGTACAAAGTCTATGTTTTGCCAAAGGCAGGAAAACGACTATAGTCCTTTCTATTGTGAAGGCAGCTACGGTCCAAACAGATAGAAAACCAAATACGTAAGTTCCATATAGAATTATCTGGCACAAGCCTTGAACATGAAAGGCATGAATTTTCATATAACCCAGCCAAATAGGTATTAAGGAAAGCAGAAATCCCGAATCGGCAACAGCCAAGAAAGCGAGAAAGACGCTTGCACTTTTTCTTTTGTAGCGATTTGTCGTGAAGACGCTAAATGATAAGACGTTTCCAGCTATTCCAAGTATTGTTATGATAGGAAGGAGTATTTTGTGAAGTTGATGATTTAAAGCTATTGTCTGCAGTTCTCTATCAGTTAAATTTCTAGATAAAGTTAGCATACTCTTATCTATCGTAAATTTCCCGCAGCCTGGCACAGTCAGAGAAGCAACAATAGACGCCTTTGCGTAACAGCGTCACCTGCCTGGAATAAATGATTCGCTGCGTTCGACGGGGTCAGTAGGAAAGTTATGAAACCATTTTTAACCTAAAGTATCCGCCATAATTGTATTTGTGGCGTCATCTAATGGCGCCGTTAATTATAAGGATAATTATACATATTGGACAGCGGCAGAAGCATATAATAAAATGTATAAATAGACGACTAGAGTACCTTAGTAGGTGAGTAAGTAGTGAGAGAGAATTAAGACGAGAGGGAGAAAGACAGACATGTATATATATGCATTGTATGGACAATAGGTCTACATAATAATAGGTTTTTTACAGTGGTATTTCTTAGCATGAAGCTATAGAAGAACTTGTATTTTTTTGCTTATCTGACGACGTCATTCAGATCGAATCATCATCTGGTACATTGCTTTTGTCGTTGATTAAAGGCGGTATGCCTCTACAACTTTGGAATCTACCTTCTTCTTCTTTCCAGGCTGAATCCTAACTAAAGATTTTAGAAAATGAAATGAATGGCTCGACCAACCTAAACGAAACAAATTTACAGTAGGTATGATACTCTGTTTAAAGTATATCGCAGACGTCTATAAAAACGAAAGAGCGGCAATCAGGAGCGTCACCATGCGACTGTTTCTCTATGGTACTTTTTTTGCAGAAGGCAGCTGGACGTCTACATGAATAGGAACGTTTCGTCGTTGGACAATTCGTCCAGCTTCGTTGACGTTATACAAGTGACGTTACACACTTACTTCCTTCCGATTATCCTGTTGAGCGGTCTGATCGGTAACACGGTGACTATAGCAGTTTTCCTTGGTACTTATCTCGTCAGGCAAACAACTTCCTTGTACCTTGCATATTTGGCTGCAGTAGATTTTATATTCTTGTTAGGTCTAGCCTGTACAACTTTTCTTGGCCACTTGAATTTTCATATGCTACATAAGCAGGGGTTTTGTCAACTTTTCAACTATATATTGCCAGTGACAACCTATCAGAGTGTTTGGACGGTTGTTTGCTTTACTATTGAGAGATTTATCATAGTATATAAACCTTTTTTAAAGCATGAATGGTGCAAGAGAAAGAATACGAAGAGAATATTGCTTTCAATAACTGTTTCCGGTTTGTTACTTTACTCTTATACAATTTGGTCGAACGGCATAGTTGAGGAGAAAGGAAAAAAAATATGTCGACCTATTGCTCGTCACTTTCATATTCATAAAGCAATGATTGCAGTCGATACAGTTGTAACATGTATTTTACCGTCCTGCCTTTTGCTCATACTTAATATATCGATAATGATTAAGGTTGTTCGATTTGTGCAGAAGAGGAAGAAATTTGCAGATCCTACTCTTATTATAAGGTTTGAAAAGAAAACTTCGTCGTCAACATCATCCTTAAGATCAGAAGGTAGAAGGATAAGAGTACTTCGATCCTGCACGAAACTGCAATTGCGCACAACACGGACGTTACTTATCGTTTCTACAGTTTTTATAGCTCTCAATCTCCCTAGTCATCTTTATCGAATGCCATTCGTTTTTGGACTTTATTCAGAATCAACAGTTACGTCACAAGCGGTTAATTGGCAAGCTATTTTCCAGTTCCTCTTTTACACGTCCTTCTCCTTTAACTTTTATTTGTACAGCGCCTGCTCTAAATCATTTCGGACTGCCTTTCAGGCGCTCCTAGTAAAGATTCGGTATAACTTTACAAAATGTCACGTATCCTTCTCCTTCAGCAGACACAGTCGACACCTTGCTGAAGTTGATCTGGAAAATTTGGCAGCCACTTGACAGATTCATCACTATTTCTTTTTAATATCAATAAAACAATGTATAAATATGCTGCAGATATCCTTTTTTTTTTGTTAAAAAGGGAAGGTGAGCAGACTATTGATTTTTTTTTAAGTTTAAAGGACACACTATACTGTAACCTATTTGTGGACTATTTTATTCTTTTTCTACTTAGCGACAAAAGTAAAGAGATACTCAAACCAGTAGAAGCACTGGTTATAATAGTAATAATATAGAAAAAATCCCAGCTAAATAACTTTTTTTATTGTGAAAAGTGCACTAAATATCATACTTGATGGGTAACGCTCTTTCTCTTCCTTAGTTTTCTCTCTTCCAACAATTTTTTCTTAAAAAACAGATAATTGCTCCTATTACCTTGATATATTATAGACGAGACATTTTGAAATCCCTTAATGAATATAAATATTTACAGACAATTGCGATGGAGGAAAATATGATATATATATAAAACAGTATATACATATAAATATATATATGTATATACAGTATATATGCCTAGTTATATGTCGAGAAAATTCACTAGAGAACCAAACATAAATATTGCAAATTTTGAGATATTTTAACTTTTACCTTAGCGGAATTGCAGCTATATAAAATAAATTGGCTGCTGTAACACTGCAAAAAAAAATCTGTATAAAAAAAGCGCTGTATTGCAGTAAAAAAGCCCTTTATTTACTCTTCTTTTCTTTAGTACAGATTTTTTTGAAAGGTTTCTCTCTTCTTATTGTTTGCTATTATAAAGTTTTGTCGCTTATTTCCAGTTGACTCTTACGTAACTTAACGAAATAATCATTTTAGGTGATAATAAATGACATATTCAACATTTTTATACGTTTTTTTATTTGTATATCTATTACTTTAGCCTTATTGTTAGTCATGTTGATTTCCTCTACTATAATGCTTTTTTCACATGTTTTGTATTATGCGAATGTTGACCTGAAAAAGTGCTTGTTTTTTAATGTTTGTCAATTCTTTCCCGCTCCTCTCTCTCCCTTTCTCTTTCTCCGTCCCCCTACCTCTGTGCCCCACTTTTTGCTTTTATTTATTATCTATGTATTACTCAGTAAAAAAAACAGGGAAAACATATTCTGAATTATTCGGCTAAAGTGTGCAGAATGGCCAATGGTGGGAAATTCTAGAATTTAGGTGCTAAATTTGTATTCCATTTTGGCCTTATCCTTCATGTATGTCACGCTTTCTTTTGACTATCTTTACGGACGATACCGTCCAGTTTATTCTCAACTTTTATTTTCAATTTTTTTCCAACTTTCTTCTTTCTTTGTTCTTCTTCATACCTCTTTAATACCCTATTTTCCATCGTCCTTTTGTATGAAATATCTTTTCCTGTCTTTTTCTTCTTCTTCCCGTAGGCGCATAAGTTTCTTTGATTAATGAAAACTAACTCACTTATCTGGTATTGGTTTTTTTTTTTAATTTATCTAAAGAAATAGCCAATCTATTGGAATTTTGTGACATGAAAGTTGCTAAAGCATCTATTTATTACCTTCGTTAATTGCCAGGTTGTGTTATGCTCAGTCTTATGCGAAGTAACTTTTTCCAAAGAAATATTCATTTTACTTAGCATTACAGCATAATGAAGAGAAATACGGAGAGATAGAGACAGGGATAGAGAAGCAAAATAAAAAGAAAAAAAAAGAGAGAGAGAGAGAGAGAGAAGAGATACAGTATAGAAAGATAGGCAGACGAAGAGGCATAGAAAGTGACTTTCAAATACAGGTAAGTATCGTGCAAAGGTTAATAATTTTCTGCGTTCACTTGAATAAAATTACTATTGGGTTATTAGGTTGAAAAGCGGAAGTAGTGCATCTTATGTCAATTTCTTGCCTAATTAATGATGTAGAAGAAAGGAGATTATAAACGAGAGAAAAGAAATAGCAAATGCCTTTTGGATATAATTTAATTAATTGTGATGGTTTTTTAGTGATGACACCTCCACTTACGATGAACGTTTCTTACTTTGACTAATAAAAAAGTGTACTATACTTGTATAGTTGATTATTGATATTCTTATTGCGTCTCTTAATTCTCATCCTTTTTATTTTCGAGGAAAGAGGCAAGAACGACTAATAATTCTAATGAATTCCTCTTTCCTTTGTCTTCTAATGTCATTCGTTAAAACTTTGCAAATTTGCCAGCAGGTGTAAGTCGTATACTCTATAAGTGACTAATAAAGAGGAAACCTTATGTGTTATTGAATATCCTCTAGAGGGTTTATCTGTTACCGTAAATCATTTAATTTGCATCTTGTAGACGTTTTCATCATCTGTTAAAAGCCAAGACAAACTTCTGGGCAACACAGTTACGTGCTACCCAAAATCAATCAATTCTTCCTTTATGTCCAACTGTCGAAAAAGCTTTAAAATAGATTCTTACGTTACCCATTGCGTAATTTAATTGTGTATCGGTGACTTTAGATGGAAGGGAAGAAAGGCGAAATGAAATAAATGGGTGAATGAATGAATGAATGTTTAATTATGTATTCGTGTACATAAGCGCATATTGTTGTAAGATGGAATGTGTAATTTAAAAAGTAGAAGGGGGGAATTAATTCGGATTAAAGGGAAAAAGAAGCTATATTATGAAAGTGGTCGAGAGAGAGAGAGAGAGAGAGAAAGAAAGACAGAGAATCAAAGCTTAGGATATTAAAGAGATTGAATGAAGAAAGGAAAATGGTTTCAAGTAGAGTTTTTATTAATTCATAGCTCTATTTACTTAATAAAATTTATTATGGAAAATATAAGAAGAACAAGTAAAACATCCATTACGTAACTTATGGATGGACCTTCAATTGTTTCAATTCCTCTAATAATAAAAAGAAAAGAGAGAAAGAGAACGGAAAAGAAGCAGGAAGGAAGGAGGGAATACTGGGAATCTTTAGTAATCGGTATAATTTGTTTAATGAAAGTCTAGATGATTTGCGTGCTTTAGATTGCGACCGAGAAAATGATTTCGTGAGTTTAGTTTCGTTTGAAAATAGTTCACTATATTTCATAAATAAAATGATGGGAAATTGCGAAATATTTTGGCTTCGGATCGACTTTGAGCTATAATTAGGGGCGGCTAAGTCGAAAACAAGGTTCCCACAACCCGAGTAGAGAAATGTTCTTCCGCCCTCATAGGTTTTCTTTGGAGGGATAAACTCTGACAGTATAGAACATGTTCATCAAAGAATTATTGCATTTTCTTTTACATATGGTATATATTGCATATATACTGATATACTATTTATAGTATGCATGCTTATTTGTCTTTTCTTAACTTGGAAAAGAATCATGGATTATTTACGATGTTATATAGAGAAACTGCAATTACGGACTTGTTATATATAAGGAACAATAATGACTTTTTCGTGAGATAAACAGCCACTTAAAAGGTAGAATTCTTTCTTTTTCTTAACAATTCTTCTCAAACATTTATTCAAACCAATCTTTTATTCCACCTTCTCTTATGGATAATCTTTGCAGTAATTTACTAATGACCTTGAGCTTGTTTCATCCCCTTCTCCCCCTGCTTTTGACGGATTATGATGAATGGTTTACAGGCGAATAGTCATATAGCTACGATTAATGAACGGGAAGATCACGTAGATTAGGCCAAGGATAAGAAATGATTGGTGTTTCGATGTTCTTTCATCTCCTTATAGCTCTTAAATTTCATTGAACAGCAATCGCAAGAGAAGGGTGAAATTTCTGGATGCTTTTTAGCAATATGACTTGTCAAGTGAGTTTTTTGCGAGTATCTGACATCACAATAAAGGCAGGCATAGCGTTTTTCCTTCGTGTGAACCACCATATGTCGATGGACGTGTGCTGAAGATGGGAACCTCTTTAGGCATAGCTGACACGTTCGCTTATCCCGTACCTATATATATACAGAGTACAAAGTCAATATTTAAAGAGTTTTGGTTTTTTTGCTGTTGTTTTGTTTGTTTTTATACTTTTTCTCTTAGGTTTAACCCTAAAACGAGGACATTCTCTTTCATTCTATGCAACTAATTAATAAAGTTCTTTTTCTCTTTTAGGACTTAAAAATATAGGTTAATGTATATCTTTCATTTTTTTGATGTTTTTTGGTGTTTAGTTTATTATAGCTATTTTTGTTTTCGTATTTTTTTTTGTACATTTCGGTTATTTACACTTTTTTTTGACAAAATCAACTAAGACAACAACGAAGCGTCTGCTATTTCGGCCTCTCTATTATATTCTACAACCGCAATTTTCTCTATAAAACCGTCCGAATCACAATCTCTTATCATAATTGGTGTATTAGCATGAACAGTAGTTGTATGATGTTTAAAATCTGTCATCTTCTTAAATTTGGTCTTGCAAACCATACATAAAAAACGTTCAATTTGAGGATGTTTGTGAAGAACGTGTTCGTTTAAATGATCCGATCGTTTATAAGAATTTCCGCATACTTTACAAAGGAACTTTCTTTCCGAATTATGAGTCTTGGCGTGGCGTCTAAGTACTCTTTGACTTGATAATTCTTTCTGGCAAATTTGGCACTTTTTCAACTTTCCCTGCTTAAGAAAAAATAAGTTGTGCAAACTCCAATTTTTTGTTTGTTTTATTATTTTTTTTGTATGAAATCAAAAGAGTTTCGTCTTTTAGTTTGTTTTGTTTTGTTGTTTGTTTGTTTTTTGATGTTTTTGTTTACGTAAAAAAAACAGAAAAAAATGACATAAAAATAGAAAGAAAGAAAAAAAAAGAGACAGAAAGGTAAAACTAAGAAGACAATGAAAAACAAAAGGGATTTAAAAATATCACAAAATATCTTGAATGATAGGGATACGACTATTTCTCTTCATAGATAAGAACTTTACATCGGTTTTGTTTTAATTGCTGTTGAGATCATTTTATGATATTATTTGGTTGTAAAAATAATCTCAAATTCTATTTAATAATTTCTTCTCATTCGTTTTATTTGCGGGAGAACAAAAGATCTTCGCCAAAAGTTTTGTTTTAGTCTCTTTTTTTCCGCAAAATTCAAATAGTAATGATAAATAGTCAAGATGAACAAGCCAACAATATTATCTAAAGCCCACTTTTCTCTTAATATGAATAGGGCCTTTAAGCCTATATAAAAATCCGGTTGCAAAAACTGCCCACCCTTGAAGCTCTTACCACAATGATTGTACGGAAATGGCCTTTCACCCGTACTGTGTTCTCTCGGGTCGGGCAACGTTTCCATGTGAAGGTAACGGTGTATGACAATGGGAGTATTCCCAAATCTATTATAGGACAGTTAGCTTTATATATCATGAATATTTATGGAATGTTTAATTCAGTAAAGAGTAAAAAAACTAGAAAGAACATCATAAACTTTCCATTAATGCTAATCAACTTATATGATTTTATGTATTTATGATAGATTCTAACTCCTTAGCAAACTATTCTTCTTTATTTTGCTTTCCTATTAAAATTAACGTTTTTCAAAAACAAACAGTATAGATAGATTCTTTTAAATTCAATTCTCTTATTACTAATAAAAGCAATTATTCATATACCATAATATACAAATATACTTCTTTCTTGCTTTTTTTTTCTCCTTATCTTTCTCGCTTATCACATTCCTCTTAATTTTTCCACAATTTCTTTTTCATTTTCCTTCTCCTCCTTCTCCTCATCCTCATCCTCCTACTTTCCTACTCTTTTACCTTTTTCTTTTTCTCCCTTTGGTCAGCTTAACAGGTGGTCACGTTCTCGTATTCTCGACGCCCGGATATCGTTATACGAGAAATTGTTTAGTCAATATTTATGTGTATATACTATAACAAATATTGCATATATACATATATAGTATAATATTGTGAATACATATTTCGCTATGAAATATTATGTGAAGGTGTGTGAAAACACACTGAGAGATAAAAAAAAATGAGGATGAAAGATGACTACTAGACTAGAAGAGGTATTATAGATTAGAATTAGAAATGAGAGAGAGAGAGAGAGAGAGCGAAAAAGAGAGAGAGACAGAGTGACAGAATAAAGAGGAAGATCATACATATTAGATATATAAACAAAGATAGAAAGAAAGAAAGAAAAAGAGAGAGAAAGCATAATAGGTGTAGAGATATATACTTCTGTTCAGTAAATTTTCCGACGACCTCAGCAGCAAGAGGCCACCTTCGGCATGAGTAAATTTCAGAGATAGTTTTTCAAATATATACCAATATTGAACCAATTTGTTCTTGTATTATCATTCAATTATTTGAATATATACAAAAATTCTCTTCACAAAAAAAAACATAAAAAAAAGAATATTCCTAACTTGTCGGCAATTTAATTTGATCGTTAATACACTTGTGCCTGCTCAGATGCTTCTCGCTAACAAATCTCTGAGTACAAGAACTGCATGAATAACAACATTGTTCTGGGTGTTTTCGCACAACGTGCGTCTTCAATTCATCACTACGTGAAAAGCGACTTTGGCAAAAAGAGCATGCATAAGGTGTTTCGCCAGTGTGTTTCCTCATATGTCGGCGGACGTGCGCCCTGCTCGAGAACCACTTGCCGCATTCGACGCATACCGAAGGTTCCTTCTTTACTTTTTCTCTCTGCGTTATGAAAGACCGCAGGTCAGCACTTTTGCCTTATTTCTATTTTTTTTTATTTTCATTTTAACTTGTACGCGAAACAAAAATAAAAAAAAAAGCCTTTTGTGTTTACTAATCAAAGGATTAATTTTTTTTTCATTCTTTTTAATTGAGATGAAAAATCAATGAAAAAAAAAGTAATTTAAAACTTATTCCAAACAATTAGAGAGGAAGAGATCATGAGTTGACTATATAATATAATTCTTTGAAAGTGATAACATTCATTCACTACGAAACGTTCTTTCATTTAATTTTTTTCTTAAGCCTCAATTTAAAAAATTATTAAATTATCCAAGATTTCTTCTCATATAATCTATTATTCATTTAATTGATAAATTTTCAATTCGATTTCATTGATCTAATTGTTGTTAACAATTCAATTAATTCATGTTTTAAACATAATTAATAGTATAGATTTAGAAGGAAGATATTAGATTATTTTCTATAATTTAGTACAAGCATTTCAAAAAAAGAGAAGACCCTCTTTTTTTGAACGAAGCAGTCAATCTCTCCAACAACTAAAAGGTATATTAATTTATATAAAATATATAGTTAATTAATGTTTGTTAGGTATCTTTTTCTTTTTTTTTTACCTGAGAATATAAGTAAACTTATTACTTTTTTTTTGTTGATATCTCTAATTTAAATTTTCCCATTTAGAACATAAAGAAAAAAAGAGAAAAAGTATATTTTTTTTTAAAATAACCATTTCTCCCCAACTCCCCAATGTTCCCTTTCCCATCCTCACCCCTTTTTTTTTATTTTTAAATATATTTCAAAGTAATCGAAAAAATATGTCTTGAACAGATCAGTATTTGTATCATTCTCTTATCGTAATATCAATATAAACTGCAATTTATAAACGGATATTTGTATATCAGAAACAAAATAATAGTTGATTTTACAGAGATAGAGAGAGAGAGAGAGAGAGAGAGGGAGAGAGAGAGACAGAGAGAGAGAGAGAGAGAAGAGAGGGAGAGAGAAACGATAGAAAGAAAATTATGGATAAACTGTAATAAATGTGCAGATGTGCACTTTTACAGTAGAACGATTATAAAAGTAATACATTTCTTAATACATTCTATACTGTACACTATAAGTTGAACATATTTTAAAAAATATTACTAATATTAAATGAGTAAAAACGAAAGTGAAAATGTACTGGTTGAAAAATTGATGGGTCATCAACTCCCAAATATTTCTTCTTCCCTTTTACTACTTAATATAAAAATAATGACTGAGTGAATGAACGAATAAGTGAATAAAATAACAAACTAATAAACCTATCACTAAAAAATATAAAAGAAAAAATAAGTTATAAAAATAATTATAATACAAGGGTTGTATACATTTGATAACGTATTTGACTCATTTTCACAGATTAAGCAAAAAGGTAACGTCCTATTTTTTGTCATTTTTCCTTCGCTAATTAGTTATTTAAATGATGTTAAGATTAAAAGATTTAATTATAACTAGAATAGATCACATCTCTTTCTGATATTATATATCTTTTCTTGCTGTTGTGGCTGTTTTTACTTGATTTTTGTGCTTTGAATATTTTATATGTTTTACTTTTTCTTCTTCTTTTAACAGGTGACTATTTGTTCATTAACATGCGTATCTTATGAATAATTTATCTAGGGAGAGAAAGATTTACGACAGAAAATAACAATAATAATAATAACAATAATACGGTTTGTTTATGTTGAATAAATTAAAACTTAGACTTGACTAGAAGGAAATAGAGAAAGGAAAAGAAGCAGAAGAAGAATGAGAAAATCAGAAGTAGAAAAAGAAGTAAATAAAAGCAAATAAGGAAAATGAAAATAGAAAAGAAAGATTGAAAACTACGCTTTACTTCCTATAGATTACGTATGAATCTTCTAAATTAAGATTAAATATAGAATAAACGAAGGAAGCGTAATTTTCTTTATTTACTCTCAGATATTCTATTTAAGACTTTCTTTCGTAATTATTACTTTGGTATAGTGCTAAATTTTAGGGGCGAAGGGTGGGTTAAAGGCAAGAAAATGCGAAGTAAATATATGCGAACCTGCTTTGTTGAACCGGCTGATGTTACTCCGGTTGTTGAAAGAGTAGATATTGTTGACAATGGTGTTGCAACTATCTTACCAACTACAGGAGCACAAAATTCTGCAGAAGATGTCGAACTACCTGCCAAGCCAGGCCAATTGTTCTTTGGAGGTGTATCTGTCTGCCGGTCATCCTGAGAGTGGTCCTCTTGTCGATTATTATCATCTTCTAGTCGGGCTGTATTATCGGGCAATGTTTCATAATTTGGTTCGTCAACTTCCTCCTTAACTTCAATATCATGATCAGTTAGATCAACCCAATCTGAATCGTCTTCTTGTTCCCTCTTCGTCTTTCTTCGCTTAATGTCTTCAGAGTTTAATTCTTTCTCATCCAATGGCCTCTTTCGAACATGGCTAATTAAAGCGGTTTCATTTTCTACTTCCTTATGCATATTGATAAGGACAACGTCATCGGAGGATAGCGTTAGTCCCACCACGCCATCTAGCCTAAAATAGGGTTCTTTCTCAAAATGTGATCGACAAAGCATTGCAATTGTGTCGATTATCATTTTCTGCAGTATATCTTTGTTTTCTTTACTAATTGGAGGACTATAAAGAAAATAATGTTATGTAATTTTAATAGACGAAATTCAATAAACACAATCATGTCGGCCATGTTGAAAAAATTACAAACGCGATTCTTGTATTAGAGGGCCTTAGTCAAACAGTCAACAAAAAACGACACGTGAAAAATACTTGCCTCATTATATAATAGTGGGTGAGTTTGGTAATAACTGATAACAAGGCGTGTCAATAACTTTAATTCGACAATTTATTGGTTTCTAGCAAAATGCAATTTAGCCGATGAGCAGTCCCGCACTAACTGATCATACTGAATTTTATATTTCCAAATTCACCTTAAAAACGAAATAAATATACATAATTATTACTTTCTAATAAAAATTTATTAATTTTAACAATTTTCCATAGACTTATTAATGAAATGAATATAAACAATTAAGAAATTGTAATATAAAGTTGTTCATACCACAAATTAAAAACGATTTATTGAATTATTTAATATTCAATAGATATAATCCTTTCAAACAAATAAACATAACATTCTAATGTTATATATTCGTTAAAGTTTTATATATTTTCTTAATGTAAAAAATGAAAACTAACAAAAAACCCTTATAAAAACTCAATTAAAATGCTCAGCTATATTATTAATAATATTAATATTAAAAAATTGATAATTGTTTATATATTATGTAATGAAATAAATTGATTACATTTTTTAAATATCTTTCTATTATTATGTTTCTGTTTAACTTTTATCTTTATACTATTATCTATATAGAAGAAAGATAGATATCTTCTATATTCACTCGTAGACAATAATAAAAAAGTTAGTTTGACAAGTTTACCATCTCTAAGTGTGACTTTAAATTGTTACAAAATGCTACTAGAACAAAAAATCTATACGTTTCTCATATTATTTATTTGGCTTATTTTAAAAAAATATCACTTTTCTTTCTAGTTTTTCTAGTTTGTTGGCTTGTTAAAGACTCGCGTTCTAGTTTTTTTGATATTGTTACCAGTTTTCGCTTAGAACGTTGCAATTGAAATATTTGTTGTACTTTAGCCGACTATGGAAGACCAAACTATAGAAGAATTCCGCGCAAATCTCCGATCAGCAAACTCATTAATTATGAATAAAGAGTTTCGAGAATCCTTAGACATTTGCTTACAATGCTTAGACGTTCTTAAGACTAAAATAGATTCCGAAGAGTAAGTAGTTTGAGCGATAAATGGATACTGTATACGTTACTTTGATTTAATTTAGGAATAAGCAACTAATAAAAGAATTTTGTATATTGGCAATACAATGTTACGCTGAACTAAACGAATGGAGAGAAGCTTTTCCACTAGTAACAAAAATTTATAATGGTATTGAAGACTGTCCTAGTTTGATTACCTTAACATGGTAAGATATTAGATTTATTCTCTTTTTCATAATTAAAATAAAACTTTAAGAATAAATTGATTTTTTATAGCTTAAAATTACATTATAAAATCAAAGACTACGCAACTTGTAATGCCATTGCCCATATATGGTTACATAATAAGTCAAATTTTTCGTCTGAACATTATCTTGGAGTACTTGACAATTATATTGTTAATGTATTGGCACCTCAGAAAAAATTCAACGATATTATTAAACTGTCTGAGAGCTGTGGTCTAGATAATGATCTCAAGACGAAATATGTAATGAAAGCTAAAGAATTGGAAACTGCCGATATCGATTCTAAGAATAAGGAAAAGCTGCAAGAACTAGAAGAAACTATCGAAAAAAAGAAAGGCTTTTACGATATTTTATCTCGTTATATAAAATTACGATATCAAGTTTTAATCGCTTTCGTATTTTGTCTTGTTTATATGATTAGACGAAATAAAGATAGTAAGCATTATTTTATTCCTATTTCGTTCACTTTATATCACTTACTAATGTATTGTCGAAACCTTTTCAGCCATATTGATATATTCTTTGCAAACATTTGGTACAACAATTCTTCCTTTATGGAGAAGATTCTTTGGGCCATATAGGAAGAGCTCATAGAAGAGGATAGAGCTCGGATTAATAAATTAATTTACGTATACTTCTATTCAATACAAAGGAAATACGATTTTTTTTCTTTGTAATTACTATTTTGATTATACATCGTGCCAACAAGCTGAAAACTGTCTGTTTCGTGTGCAAAATTAGCTTTAAATTACGTAATTAAAGATTTTGTAAGGGCTTCAAAGAGCATTTGTCATTTTTATAATTGATTTTATGCAGGAAATGAGAGTGGGGATAACGAAATTAATTTAAATAACTTGAATATATCATAATTTCTTGTTAGATTTTCATTTATACAATTAAAAATTGAAAGAAACAAATAAAACTAAAATGCCGAAAAAAAGATGGCTAATCAAAATTGTGTTTATTTATTATATAAAGAAATAGAATATATATAACAAACTATATATGCATAACCTTAGGTTCTGCTAAGAATTTCTTTTAAGATGGCTTTAGTTCGGGCTTCGTCTTCAGCATGACCCTTTAAAGGCAGAAATGTCATTAAGCCAGTGGGGAGGATAATTGAAGAATCCTGCTTTTCTAAATAAATAATCTAGCAAAGAAAAATGTAGTCAGAATTAAACAAGAAGTATAAAAAGAACAAATTTCCTTAATAAATTACAACAATTATGTCAAAGTTAATTACTTGTTTTCTAATAAATTCTACAAGTTTATCTATTTTCGTGGCATCTTCACTTTTCATTTCAAAGAAATTCCTCCAAACAGCACCAGCTAATGTTTTATCATCCGATAAAAGGCCCTACAGGGAATTGGTATCAAAATTAAAAGGGCGGTCATTATTTTATATTTACTAGGAGAAATATATACTTCATCATAAGCAACAAAAGCGAATTTAAGTTGACCGCAAAGAATATCAATGCTTTCAGCTGTTTCATAATAACCGGTTCCCTATAGTTTTTGTACAATACATAATGTCAGTTGATTATCAAAAGATGAGTCAAATTAGTCATTTACCCCGAGCTTTTTCCCTCTTTTCTTGGCGTCAACCCATAGTGCTTTTAGCATTTCATTCCTAATGAATTTACCCTCAGGACCCTCAGAGGCCAGTCGTACAGTACATAGCCTGTCAAAAAAAAAGCGCCTTTGGAATCAATTTTAAAGACTTCCATTATATAACCAACCACATATGCAGTTCACTGATTCTAAACCATGAATTAAAGGTATCAGGTAGACTTAGTTCTGAAATAAAATGAAAATATTGTATCTGTATAGTTTGGAATCTTCAATCTTTTTTTTTTGATGAAGAGATCTAATTTTGACCTCAATTGTCTCTTCCATTAACAAATTTGATTTGAATTAATTCAATACATTTACCTTTTATAAATTCATCATAATCGACTATTTCAGCACAACATAAATATAATCTAAGGGCAGATTTCCTTAAAATCTTTAATTGTAATAAAGAAATAATTTTTTAATAAGTTTATGTTTTACCAAATATATGTATACTAACACCTTGGTTATACTTTAACTTTTTTATTCTAAGTTTGCTTTTTATTTTAGTTAACAAACTCTTTGGAGCGATAACGTCCGTTGAATAGTTTTTGCTTTGAATTGCATTGTTTGAGAAAGGAATCTGTATGACAGGTATTGCAGAAAATAAGGGTGTTGCTTAATATCGCTCATAAAATATGAAAACTACAATCGGAAAAAATTATTAATTTAAACTTGAAGAACATACCGCACATATTCGAAAATTTCTAGTTAAATGATAATTTGTAATAGAAAGTTTTATGAAACATTGGGATAACGGTCGCAGATTGCGAATAGAAAAATCTAAAGTTCGCAAGGCCATGTTACTTTTGGCCTTGACATTGAAACTTCACCGGAAGCTCATTTCGTAACGAAACATTCTTGCTTCTATCCAGGCTTTTGAATTAGATATTGTTTTTTCAAAGAGGAACGTGAAATAAATTGCTAACATAAAGAACTTTTCTACAAAGATGTCAGGTATAACTACACCTTAAACATGCACTTTAAAGAGAGTTCAAATAAATCATTTTTTACATTTTTTAAGAAGAAAACTTAAGAAGCACAAAATCGGGAGAAAGCTCTGTGGAACACTCTGCTAAAAAACCTCTTAAAGGCATTCTAAAAGTTATAAAAATAATTTGATATTACTTTCATATAATCATCGTATAATTTTTTTCAAATATTTGTTACAGAAGCCTAGTCAAAAATTTAAAGAACATGATAAGGTAATAATCGATTCATAGACATACTAGATTATTGACGTTTCTTCTGCCAAACCAGAATTTGAATGGTGTTCATCAACAAGAATATATGAACGTAGCTAGAAAATCAACAAGAAACGGGCCGCCTAAAAGAGTTCACTCCACACGCCTAAAAAGTCCTCCGCCGCCGCCACCCTCTACTTATGATGAAGACGTAATCGATAAAAGAAAAAGGAAAATGTCAACTAAAAAGCGTCCTTCGCCATCTTCGAATGCTTCTGTATTATTGAAAAAAAAACCAAGGACCCCGTTAAGAATAAAGTTAAAAACAACTAAGAAGGTTCCACGTGTAACTAACAAAAAAGTGACAAAAGTGTCGAAAACAGAGACAAAAAAACAAAATAAATCTCCAAAAGATGCATCAAACAAGACAACGAAAAAACCTTATAAATCATCTAGGTATAAAGGAAGCATGGCCAAAAAATTAGAAATTTCACAACGTGCAGATTGGCTACCAGCTGAAACTCCGGAAGGATGGAGACGTGAAGTTGTTCCAAGATCGTTAGGATCCTATATCATAACTAAAAGAATTGCTGATGTTTATTATTTCTATCAAAAAAATGATAAGGAAATAAAATTTCGATCTAAACAAGACATAAAAAAGTTTATTTTGAAAAATAACATTAATTTGGATGAAAACTTATTCTACTTTTCTGTGGGCAACTTTGTAGCATATGATTTACCAACTGAACCTGAAAGATTAAGAATGAAGAAAGAGATTTTGACAAGTTAACAGAACAATACTAATGGTAATGATTTGACTTCAGACTGTTATTTTTTCTTGTTTAAATAAAACTCTAAACGTCGATTAAAAATGATTGACTATACTTTATTGCAAAATCCTTAATCTTAATTTATTTGTGACGTTCTGAATGGTGCTAAAATTAAAAACTAATTGTAGCAAGATTTAATAATCAATAACATGTGTCGCAGAGTACCATTTCGTAGATAAGCTATTAGAAGTTTGACTGCCGTATAGGTGGCACCTGAGGAGCTGTTCAAAAACTTTTAATCTTACTGGTCTTTTAACATGCCGGTTAGGAGACTAAGTCATAGAATAATCTTAGTTTTGACTCTGCTATTTCTGATAATTATTTGTATGAAATTTACTGCTCTAGAAAGATATACAAAATATGGAAATCAAGCGTTAACCTACTTCAACTTTGAATCTCATGAAGGCTATGAATACAAGATCGAACCGAAAGACAGCGGCGAATGGCACATTTGGAGGAATCACAGCAATGTTATTTACATTCATAGAGCTATATATGATTCAAGAAATTTTTCACGATGGCAAACACCGGCTGTTACCTTAATGGTTTTAAGTAATACTCAAAGACATTCGGATTTAGGAACAATCATATGTTCGTACACCATTTCCAACAAAACTGTCAGCAGAACCGCTAAAGTTATATTTCCTGTTTCCGGTTTCCGTTATAAGCTTACTAATTTGCAAGAGTTTGCAATTCAATGTCCAGTTGATGATATTTATCCTATACCCACATTTATTACTGTTAGTCGAGGTGTTGATTCTGCAATTTTAAAAATTGAGAGACCCTATCCTGGTAATGAGGCTATAACCGTTTGCGTACCACTAGTCTATGGTTCATTCGATGCGGGAATGCTTATTGAATGGTTTGAATATCTGAAATTTTTCGGTGTTAGTATGGTTGAAATTGCTATGTGGGAAGTACCAAGTAGTGTTAGCCAAATTTTTGACTATTATGAAAAACAAGGCTTTCTCCTGGTGAATAAGATGGAAATTCCATTCAAAATAGACCTTTACGAGCCGGATAACGAGCGTCTTCCTAGTAGCAAACCAAAATTTTTAAAAGCATTTGTGCCTATTGCTTTGCACGAATGCTTAACGATGAATGCATTAAGATCTAGATATATTCTATCACTAGATTTCGATGAATTTATCTACCTAAATATATCGGTTTTTCCAAGTTTCATTGAACTTGTCGACAGTTATGTTGGTAACAAAAAAACATCAACTGTTCAAGTACAAACCGGAAAGATAAAATTTGACGTCACTTGCGGACGCAAACTATCAAGTCCTCATTTTATAATCTCTCATAAATTTAGAGAAGACTTTTCAGTAATGACATATAATGACAATCCAAAGTCATTTATGAGTACAAGTAACTGTCCGTTTATAGGAAATCATTACTGTATGTGGAGAAATGAACGTTTTCAAAAGCATTATTTAAGAGTGCCAACAAGTCATGCATTTATAGCTCATTTTAGAAAACATGTTTATTGTTTAAAAAAGGTTGCCAGATACGCAATGGACACAACTTTAACGGAGATTGAACCATTTTTAGTTGAAAATTTTAATAAAGCAAAAGAAAAGCTGGGACTTTTAATTAACAAAAATTGACAAAATGATAAAATTCACTTATAATGAAATATATTGTAGACAATTTATATATACTCTTTATGGACGGGGAAGGAGTTTTTTTATAAAACTATATATATGTTTATACACCAATATATGCAATACATTTAAATATTATGAATAAAATTGTCTAATCAATTAAAAGTTGGATAGAAAAGAAAGAGTATAGAAAAAGCCAAAAATTGAAGTAGCGACCATTTTAAACTGGAATTGAAAGAGGTATATTCTTTCAATTGGGCAACATATGCAGTTAGTCTCTGGGAATCATCTATGTATAAAATATAATGGGCAGAGTATTGATTCAAGTATCATAAAGACAAAACTTGAAGTCATATATTTGATAGAATGTAGCAAAAAACCTGCTACGAAACTGTTGATGTCTATAATGTAGTCTCCCATGTAAGAACATAATCAGTATTCATATTAGGCTATAAATTTCTTCAAATTTAGATTCTTCTTCGATTTTTTTCCGTCAGATATGTACACACGTTTCAGATATAGAGAATTAAGATGTGACACATGTTTCAGATCGACTACGTTCAGAATCTGTTTATGTACAATGAATTTTCCTAGATTTACAATAATCAGGCTAATTACTGTTTTACTTTTATTGTTTCTTTATTTTGTTCTTCAATCGGACTACTGGTTCTCTCAGAGAACATATATCTTGCCTAAACTTCACGAAAAGTCGAGTAATCGCAGCTCTCTTCCATTAAAGTCTGCTGAATGGCATATATTCTATTCTCAAGGTACCAGTTTATACGTTCACAGAGCAATATACGATAGTAGAAAATTTGAAAATTGGCAAAGCCCTTGCGTAACGCTCTATGTTCTTAGTAATGTGAGGAGGGTGAAGTCTATAGGATCCATCTTTTGTAAGTATGGGAATGCGAAGGAGGTTGAGGCGGTGGTCTTGTGGACTAACGAAGCGTATAGGTATCCTTTTACGGGCCTCCAAGAATACGTTATTCATTGCCCAATAAATGTTCAAATAGTACCAAACCGAATAAAAATTCGAAAGGAGAAGGAAGTGGCAGAACTCACTATTGAAAAACCTCAACCAGGTAATGAAGTTATATCAGTATGCGTACCAATTACATATGGTTCTTTCGATACAAAACAACTAATTGAATGGTTCGAATTTCTGAGATTCTTCGGTGTTAGAACAATTGATATAACTATTTGGAGAGTTCCTGACAATGTTCTCAAAGTTTTCAAGTATTACGAACAGCAAAATGTTGTCTTTATTAATAAAATGGAATTACCTTTCAAGGTCTCAATTGATTCAAGGCAGAATAAATTAAAGCCTAGCCGTAAGCCTTATTTAATAAAGGCGTTTATGCCAATGGCTCTAAATGAATGTTTTATTATGAATCATCTTCGCTCAAAATATGTTTTATCACTCGATTTCGATGAGCATATTATCATGAATTCGTCACATTTTTCAAGTTTTCACGAGCTCATTCAGAGCTATGAAAAACCAGGATTAGTTCAAGTGGAACTTTGCAAATTAAGATACGATGTCAGTTGTAATATGAAAGTAGACGATAAATATTTTATTTTTCAGCATAGATATAGGCAAAATATATCATCTGCTTCAGTTCTCGATAACCCCAAATCGTTTATAACTACTTCAAATTGTCCATATATTGGCAACCATTTTTGTGTATGGTATAACGAAAAGAGTCAGAAAGAGTTCCCAAAAGTAAAGCTCCATTTGGCTCATATAGCTCACTACCGAAAGTGGAAAACTTGCGGCGAGGAGCTTGAATATTTTGAATTGGATGATGCTTTACTTCCTTTCAAATCAGATTTAACTGCAAGATTCGATAGAGAGATGCGAAAATACCAAGAATTTTACAAGTTAAACTAAAATATATCAATAAATTTTATTGAAATAAAACAGCACTTTTTAAATATGTATTATTTCTTTTTCACTCTTACTCTATCTAACTTATTCATCTCTTCCTCTCTCTTTTTATCACATACTCTTCGTCGTTTGTTACGGCTTAACAACCTCCAACACGGTTGCAACAAGCTTGCACCTTATTCCAGTAGTTAATCAAATTTTTTCTACAACCAGTTGGTCCTCCGTTATGAATCATAGCGTAATCTTTGCAAACTGGTTCACGACCTCTGGTGCAAAACTTTCCGTAGCGATTCATATATCCTTTTACGCAAGTTTCTGAACAAGCCATTTGTTTTGTGCAAACCCTCCAGCCTAATGTAAAGTATATACGCCATTAAATTACTTAATTTATAATAGCCAAAGTAGCATACCGCCTCCGGGTCTGCCGCAATCAGTCCAATAACCTTCTTTTATTTGATAAGGTCCGCAGGAATCCGAATTTACGTCCCACCTACATTTTCCAATTTGACTCTCACAACCTTCAACCTAAGCAATAATAAAAAGCAAGAATCAAAGAGAATAGATTTGCAAGGAAAGAAAAGACTAAGGTTAATCACCTCGCAAATACATTTCATACAATTGTTTGTAAATACTGCGCTAGCAGTTCCAATTATCAGAAACAACAAGAAAATTGATGACATGTTGTAGCGAAAATTTCTGAATAGATAAACAATTACTTGTGTCTTTTATAGTTGTTGTTTTATCAATCTTTATCAAATCGTGAGATTCCTACCAAATGCTTATAAGCATGATTAAAAATTTAATCTTTTCCATTTCTTGTCCAAAGGTCACCTTATTGTCTATCATTTTATCTTAGATTACTTGTTAAACTACCTTCCATATATACAGAAAATTGTACACTATACACAGGATAGATTCTCTCGTTTTTATATATTTATAAAGGAGTTTTTACTTGAAAGTTGATAGTCTCAATTTCATCCCTTAATGGGGAAATATTTTCCCTTTTAATTGTAAACTATGGAGTCAAGGGATTTGGTTAAACATTGGTACAATCTAAAAAATGAAAGAGATGGGATGAAACTGATGTAATAATAGTGTTTTTTATATTTTTTGGGTAATTCTTATTTATTCATTCTCTTCTTGGAATTTAGATAAATTGAAAGTTTATCAATTTGCGAAGTCTGTTGGGCGGAAAGAATAGTAATTTTATATTATAGATGGCGTCGTATGCTCAACAATCTTAGATAATAAACATGCAAAAACAAAAAAATATAAGCCTATATATACTAGAAATAAATAATGATTAGCCCTTCCAAGACGTTAATTTATTTATTGACTAGCATTGGAAGTAGTCCTAGATACGTTTGAAGTTGAAAGTAAATGTATTCTATTTCTTCAATCTTCCCCTATTCGAAGAAAGAGTATTGGATTAAAGTGGTATACAATACCCAATAAAACAGTGGTAGTTGAATGCTTTGATAGTTGAATAGTAGAAGGAAACTCAAAGAAATGGAAGATAAACTAACATGCCGAAAAACTAAAATTACAAACACATTCATCGTCTAAAAACTGTAATTTTATTTTTCTACTGCAATTTTCCATTACCTATCTAAATGTTTAATTATTTTTTCTTATCAATTTTCTAGCAGTAAAAGAAAATACTTTACAGGAAGAAGTATATTCTAATTAAAAATATTGTTAAATTGATAGCAACGGCAGCGTGAGAGGAGAGAGAGAGAGGGGGGGGGGGAGAGAGAGAGAGAAAGACAGAGAGTATGTTTGCGTGCGCTAAAGACAAAAAGACAAGAGGAGAATATTTTCCTTTAGCTACTTTTCAACCTTTCTATTGCATAAATTTATTTAATCCCTTACTATTGGGATTTTAGGTTATTTGCCTAATGATTGAATGTACCCAAATGGTCAACGTTGATAAATTCTCCCAAATGCAACTAAACTTTTTAAAACTAGTCGCCTTTTTCCCTTGTTTGCTCGCTTTTCCTTATCTTAACATTTTTTTATTGTTCAATAGACGAAAGAGAGAAAATAATTTAGAACATTTGTACCGTTTTAGCATTTGACATTTTTGCCCACGTGATTAACAATAATAAAATCCAAATTGTATATGGAATAGACTGACTGATTTGTTGAATGTAAAGTAAAAGGACAAACACTTAAAACGCTAAATTAGTTTGTAATTTAAAGGTGAAAATGTTCTATGTTCTTTTCTCTTTGAGATGGAGGTCTTACTCTGAAAATTTAGAATATAAATACTATACTGTATATAAATGGATCAGGTGCGAAAAATGTCCCTAGTCTACTTTCCGTGAAGCTAACTAATAGTTTCAAAAGCGTAAAGAAAATCTTCAACGAGAAAAGAAGTTAGAGGAAAGGTAAAAAATTAAGTAATTTATCAGAACTACAAATTACAGCATATACCAGTTTAATGTAAAAGGTTAAGGTCATTTGATAGGGTAGAGAAAGATAAACTTTTACGTTATATCCTTTAATTCAACTAACTATACGGCAAAATATGAAAATGATTTAATTTATAATATCAATATTAATTAAACAATATTATAGTAGAATATCTATTAAATCAACCGGGTAATCAATCATTTTTATAATTGACTTTGATTAGAGAGATTCAATCAGCAAAAAAAAGGGATAGAGAAAACGGAAAGGGAAGTCAGAAACTCGTAAGAATAGATTAGGAAGAAAGAATTCTTTTATAAGAACTTAACAATTCAAGATAAAAATGAAAATTAAGTGATCTATCAGCTATAAAATCTCTCTCCGTCTCTCTCTCTCTTTGCCTCCGTCTTCAAAAGGCAAATGAAGCAAACGTTTGAAGATTACTTTCAACACTTTTACATAGAGAATAAACTAGATCTTCCAGTAGTGTAAGTTATCCGCAAAGACTTATAAGTATCTTGTACTACAGTTCCAATGCCTCTGGAAAATTCCAGTACAAAAAAAGAAAGCTTAAAGATTCCCTAATTAACCTTAAAATAATTGTATAAAATACGAGAAAAAGTTACATAAAATGATATATCCTATAGCATTTATAGATATAAATGCAGTATAATGTTTCTTCCATGCAATTAATATCATATATAATATGCAGTATATATCTGATCGTCTTGATGCCAACTGCAAAATAGTTAATAGGAGGTAACGATATCAAACTCAAGTATTTCTTTTAACAGTTTTCTTCCTTATTTCTATCATTCTGTCTTTCTTATTATCATTCTTCATCATTCCTATTTTGTGAAATTATGAAATAAATCCTTATTTTCAATTAATAATTCGTTTCTTATCTAATTCTTTGGATGCATGTTGCTTAAGTTGTCTCGAATTTCTCTTTAGCTTCCTTACTACTAGTTCTTGATAGAATGCGAGGAAAAATTCTTCTGTATGATAAAGAGATATAGAGAACGGAGGAAAGTGTGAGAGAGAGAGAGATAGAGGGAAGATTGTAACATTCTATGTATACACCTTCTAATAATTTATTTCAGTTATCGTTAAAAAATAGATTTATATGCATGGAAGTGCAAAATTATTCACACGTGCTTTGGTTGTTCGATAGTTTGATATAGTTAACTTATAAATAGTTTTTATGTGTATCGTTTGCAGCTTCTGCTAGACTATTTCACTCTGAAAAAGAAACATCAGCTTCTTTTCACGTTTCATTTTAGTCTTTTTATTTATATTTTGTGATTCTCAACCACCCACGGACTCTCTTTTTTATAGAAAAATATAGTTTTAGGCTACGTAGTTTTCTTATCGGTATAAAGATATAATATCAAACATATCAAGCAATAGATGGCAGTGCTCACCGCAGAGCGATGAACCTGTGAAAATATGTAAATGATGCTGGACGCGGAAATAACTAAGTTTAAGGAAATTGTAGATTAAATACCAATTCATTTACGGTCTAGTCGTCAATAAAATTCATTAGGTTACGTGGGCCTAGAGAAATATCGAGATTGCAGACTTTTCTAGTCTTCACTGGGGCAAATTTCTTGTCTAGACAGCAACTGACTGAGAGTATTGTACGGTTGCAGATTGGACAATAAAATTACGGACGAAGCTGGATAATCGTCTTTTAGCTCTTTCCGCTTTTTGGTAGGATTACTTTGTTAGACTATTACCGAAAAAGAAGTTTAGGTCTATATTGTATGGGTAACAGTAAAATGGCAATCTGTTGCAAAGTTGGGAGTCTGCTGCAGGGTAATAATCTATTTAAATCGCAGTGTAAAGACTGTAAAAGTTGAAAATAGAGTATCGAAAAATTGATTAGGAGTAATGAACTTTTTCAGAAGTAGAAAGAGAAGAGTGAAAAGATAAGATTAAAAGAGAGATTATACTAAGGGGATTGAGATTGAGATAGAAAATAGAGAGAAAGCAAAGAAAAAAGTTTAGTTTTTCAGAGCTAGTGCGTCCAATAGTTTAGAATATCGAATTTCTGAAAAAGCTTTTAAAGCTGGTTTTCATTTTTGAGGAAAAGGAATATATTCCTGCCTTTTCCTCGTTCCATCTCTCCATCTCTCTACATTCGATAAAAGTGTATTGGATTAAGGGGAGTATATAATGCATAATGAAACAGGAAAAGCCAATACAGTTGAATTGGAGAATGAAAAGTCATGCAACAGTGCAACTAGTTTCCTAATTGCAAACACATTCTTAGTCTGAAACCGAGTTTTCTTCTACTCGAGCCTCCTAAGAAAATGTTTAATTATTTTTTCTTTATCAATTTTCAACAGCTAAAAAACATTCGAAAGCATTCTAATTGAAACGTCAGCAAGAAAAACATCCAATAGCCTCTGCAACGACGCCCTCTAGACAATTCCTCTTCGCCACTTAATACTCCACTTTGGAAAGTACTAGAAAAGTTCTCAACCGAAAATGATTTTACTGACTCCTTTACGAAACTTTTTCAAGTTTCATCCTATAGATTGACAGCTTATTACAAGTAACTACATAGGCCAAGCAAAATCAAAGTGAACGTGTTTTCTTTATTGGGTTGGATTATTTATTTTAATATCAATAACTCTGCTCTTTGTATGTATTAAACCGGTATATATCTATTATATATATATATATATATATATATATATATATATATATATAATTATATATGTATCTATATATATACTATATATATGTTTCTGTTTACATGTTTCTGTTTAGATGGTTATATTTTAATGAAATTATTACTATAGCAGGAAGGTGCCTAAAACTTGGAGAGACGGTGACTGAGTTCTGTTTAGTTTACCCCCACCCCCCACCCCTCTTTTTTCGCATTTGGTTTCTATGAGAGAAATAGACGAAAGTTTCATACTGGACTAGACTGGACCCAGACTCTACGTGAATTGTTTATACAAGACTATACTTTATATAAAAAATAAAGAATAATAAAAAGTTCAGTTGTAATAGAAGAAGATGACCAAGCAGGCGAGTTGTTGGCTCAATCTGCTTGTTTTGATTGGTTCACTTCCAGGTAGGAGAATTTGATTTTTGTAGACCTTTCTAGTCGGCTTTAATTGATTATGTTACGTTTGCGAAGTAAAGAAACGCCCCTGGCCTTATAGCAAATGGAAATATAAGCTATGAAAGTATAGAATTTCAATTTATACCGGATTGACGATAGGGAAAAGGAAAATTTAATTGTATTGCCTTACTGATCGAATAGTCTTTTTTCTTGTTTGTTGATGGAAAATGCAGATAAAAAATATTGCTGTAGTGAGAGCAATATAAAACAGCACTTTCTTTTCAGTAGAAATAATTGACTGACTTTACCCGACCCTTTGCTTATCTGATAAACATATAGGAATCCAACAAGTCGGTAATTGTTTACGTTCGTTATTCAACATGGCCGAATTTTTTAGTATTTGGCCCAAATTTAAATAATTATTCATCCATTTACCGTTATTGTTCTATAAGAGGATAACAAAAAAAAATCTTCCCTCTATTTTCCCACACTCCTCTTTCTCCTTGTAAGCAATTAAGTGTAATTAGATTTTTTTAACAAAAAATCCACCTAGTCCATTATAGACAATTTCAAAAGTGTTGCCTAAATTTTGTTATCTTTAATATTTTCTTCTACTCCTCTCTCTCTCTCTCTTTCTCAATCATCTGATTTGCAGTTTTCTGAAAAATTCCTTATTCCTCCCATACTTCTCCGCCTTCATTCTCTCTCTCTCTCTTTCTCTGTCCTTTCTGTTTTCCACCATTCATTGACAGCGCCTCCTAAACCGATGACCAGAATTTTCGTGATTTACATGTTAATTATAGTCGGTTGCTGGACATAAGCCGATTTATAAATGGGAAAATAAATAGAACGTCAGCCCAACTGCTACTCTTTTACCATTGCCATATTTAATCTAATGCGTCAATTAATGGCAGATTATATAAGATATTGGAGGGCTATTGGCCCATGAACTGTAAATCATCGTATATTGCCTATTTTTGCACAAGAATGCGCAACATTTCCCAGTTTTCACACTTCTCCCATTATACTTTATGTTTATTGTACTCGTTCTGTCCGATTTTGTATATTTGTTTAGAGTAAAGGCTACAAGGGGCGGATATTACAATCTGAGCGACAAATAACATCCAACAGAGGATTTCAATCTTAGTATAATTATATGACGTCACAATTTTTCATTAAATTTACACCTGCTTTGAAATAAGCACTCAAGACCAGATATTCGTTTGCCTAGTTAAAAAAATTTGTCCTTTTACTATCCAATTCTTTTCACCTTTTACTGTACGTTATGTGTTTATTAAGCTTTTGGTCAAATAATCTCTATTCTTACAAATGAGACACTTACGTTTATTTAAACCCGTAAAAACCTCTATTCACTAAAAGTAATTATTTTGAAAAGTTCCAATTGCTCATACCCTTTTCTATTCTTCTTATTGTTAATGTCAATCTCTATTTATTTTTTCTCTTCTTCCTTTTCCAACATCATCATTCTATCATATTTTTCAACTTTTTTTTTGCCTTTTATTTTTCTCGTTAGGTGGCGTCTCTCATTCGTCAGTGCTTCTCACCCTTCCTAAACACTTTCGTTCTTCCCGTCTATCCTCGGCTTCCTCCTTAACTCCCTTCCTTTTAGTTGCTCTCTATAATGCCTTGGGGTAAAACCTATCACAGATATCGCTACCGGCGTCGACATTTCTTAATCTATCGAACTAATGTAGCACGGTTTGAGTAAACAAGAAACAACGATGCGCATCTTACGTAGGAGGCTAAACTTAGTGGAGGAGGCCATCTAGTGGCTTGTAGGAAAGTTGAAAGAAAGAAATTAAACTACAAACTCTCTACTATCTAGCCTTCTAGCTATCATATCCTACAAAGAGTTGTCATTAGGTTAGAAGACGAGCTAAACGAGTGCTTTCGACCTTTAATGTCATGGGACTAGAAGAGTACTCCTACCCTCCCTCTAATTTAAAGGGATGGTTTAGTAAGGAAGAAAGTATGTTAAGTAACTAACGTAAAGTTCAGGCAAGAAGAAAAGGGAAGATGGAATAGGAAGGGCAGAAGATAGAGAGTAAGAGAGAAATATTACAGAAAATATGAAGATTCATACATTTGTGTATACTCTCGTCAAAGATCATATTTAAAATTGTATCTAGGTGTCTCTTTCTTCGATAATTTTTTTTTGTCGATATCACAAATGTTGAAAATTTCTATCGATTAATCAAGATAAACATTACCCAAAGTGGCTACTTCCTGTTAAAGATAAAAAAGAAGAACAGTTATTGATTACCACGGACAATAGCCGACGAAACTGGCCAGTACATATAGTATAGTAGAAAGGCTCAATCAGTAAAATTTCCATAGGGCATTGCGATAGTGGGGAATCGCACGTTATATGGGTGAATAAATGTTGCAAGGCCAGGGAGCAGGTTATGATATCTTGATATTCTTTTGTCTTGATATTTATATATTGTAAACATAATAAAAATGACAATTTGATTGCAAAGCTAAAGTTCATGCTATAAAATAGGAAAAATTCGCTTCTCTTTATCTCCCAATCAAATAATAGAAACGTTTTATACCATTCCAAATGATTTTTTAATTATTCTATCGTTAACGGATCAAGAAAGATGATATCGGATATCTAAAGAAAAAATAACGGAGGCGTCGCTGAGTTTGAAAACAAGAAAAAAGTACGAAAGAAAGAAAACTAGAGAAAAGAAAAGAAAAGAGAGAAAGAATATTTTTTTTCCTTTTTGGTTTATATAGAAAAAGAAAAGAAAAAAAGTAAGAAAAGGAAAATAAAGGGCGTATATATCTAAAAGGATGTTGCTGAAATGAGTGCAACGTATTGTTAACGTATTGTTTGTGTAGAGTTTGCGAAAAGATATATATTCTATATAAAGTACATTTATAATATTATATGTACAATAGGGTTATAGACTGTATATATATATAGTATATATTTTTATATATATATACAGTATATAGATGCATATCATCTAGCCCTTTAACATACATTATACACCAAAGGAGGAAAAGTAATGTATTATATACAATATACGTATATATGTATGTACATGTATATAAATTTATATATATATATATATATATATATATATATATATATATATATACATAGCAAAAGGAAATTAGGAAAGCTTAGTTGGTTGATTTACTGTATCGTGTATAAAGACTGACGGTTGGATGACTTATTCAGAGAAATTACTCTAGGAATAAAATTTTCTATTGATTTCTAAAAAGCTTGTTTACCTCCAACCTTAGCAGTTTTTGTATTTTCATGTTTTAAACCGTTCAAACAGTACTCGTACTCTGGGCCACCTAGTGTGAAAATTTCTTATAAATTATAATATCGGTAAAGCGAAAGGGCGTCACTAGGGGGCATTGAAACTGACGTAGTCAGGCGTCTATTGACTGTACAAAAAACAGCAGGGAAGGGGAAGATGGAGAAGAAACTATGAAGAGAAATGTCGCGGATAAGACTGTGCGTGTTGTTGATTTTAGACGTTGTTACTGCAGTGATAAGTGAAGATACGAATTATCCCTCAAAGTATGAATTCGGAGCGGAAGATGATCGATTCGACTCGAGGAAAGAACGTAAGCAAAATATAAATCTATACAAAATATATAGAAAGTGTAAAAAGGAAGAAGGAAATTAAAAATTGCTTATCAAAATCTTTTTTGAGGGAGATAGAACAGGGAGACGCTTTATCGCTTTCCGGTATTATATATGTTATACAATATATACATTATATGTACATACATATACAGTATATATATATATATATATCACGTGTATCAATTATAGATACTCGTATATCCAATTTATCTCTAAAGGATACATTTTACCCTCGAAACGACTAATTATGTAAATTATAAGATTTAAATAATCAGCCATGTGTGACGTGTCAAGGTAAAATTTCGACCAGAGACGATTCACTTCGTAAAATTTTTTCGATTAACGACTCATCATCCACTAGTTTTTAGTAATCAATTGTCCATCATAATCGATTCTCGTCAATCTCTCTCTCACTCCCTCGTTCTCTTTATGATTTTCTCTTTCACATTTCTTCTTATATCAATTTTTTCCTGTCGCTCTAAGGGTTTATTCCTTCCTCTTAGCAATACTCCTTCGTTTTCTCTCACACCCCTTCGCCTCTTCCATCGCCAATACTTTTACCCCCTCTCCCTAATTAGTAAATCTACTTAAGCGTTACCTAAACAAGTGGCCATAGGTAAGGACGTTACGTGTAGTTGTTATTTTATTTAAGAGCAAACGAATAGCTTCGGAAAGAAGAACTTAGTAGTTCAAAAAACCTTTTTAGCCCTAAACTTATTCTATTTCGTTACTTTTTTCCCTCGAATTCTATCACTAAATTATTTACGAGACTTTGATGCAATTTTTTCCCCTCCGAAAAAATATCGATTCTATAGACGGCGCTTCGAGCGCAGTACTCATAAGACGAATGCCTGCATAAATCAATCCCAATCAGTGCAAAAGAAGGGAGGGTATGGGGGGAAAAACCGATTCTCTTCGATTTTCTCGTCTAATAAAGTATAATCAATCGGTCTAGGTAATCAATTTGCCTACTGAAAGAGAAAAAATATAGAAGTGAAAAGTTGAGAAACGACAACAAAATTGGAAATAGATGAACGCAAAAAAAAGGGCATCCTCGATAAATTCACTAGGCGTCTATGTAGTTTTATCTAGTGGAAATTGTGCTGTCGTATTCGCTTATCTTTCCGATAAATCAATAGAGACGCCAACTGCGAAATTCTCCAATTAGGATTCTTCCGAGTTCATTTTCCCCCATAAAGGCATCAGTACAGTGTTGTATTATTTTACAATTATGATGAAATGACTCTTCAGCGTTTCGTTGTCATTTTAACTCATTAGGATTTTCGTTGTTGGTTGCTAACGAAGCAGCCGTCAAATATTCTACTTATTTTTCATTATATTTGAATATTTTATGAATGTACTAGTTACATATCATCAATTCATTAACAGCTCAAGGAGTCACGATGTCCGAGGAAAAGAGGCTAATAAAGAAGGTCCTCGGCGATTACAAAGAAGTCGGTAAAGTGGGAAGACCAGTATTTAATACGTCCGAAACAGTTCGTGTCAGTTATGGTTTGGCTCTAATCCAAATTTTGGATTTGGATGAAAAGAATCAAGTCTTAACGACCAACGTCTGGAGCAGATACGTGAGTACAAATTTAATATTCCTTCTTTTTTTCTTTTATTCTATTATTTTTCATTTAAAACTTATAGTTTTTTTTCTGTTCCTCTCTTTTTACTTTCATTTTACAACCATGTAGTTTCTATCTATTCTATTCCCTCTTTGTATGAAACAACCAAACAGAGGCATATATAAAATGAATAATTAAAAGGAATAGGTCTTTTTTTTTAATATGTAACTAAGACAATTAAGAAGTGTGTAGTTGATTATATATATGCACAGAACAAATAAGCATATATACTGTAAATATACAGAATATATATATATATCTGGGTCTTTTTAATTATATGTATACAGTATTTACGCTGTATATATTGTATAAGGATATATTTGTGCTGTATACTGTTTAAAAAAAAACGCTCGCTCGCTCGCTATAACGCAATTCCGCCCTCTCTCTCTCTCTCTCTGTCTGCCTCTCACTCACTCTCTCTCTCTTGATCGCCCTCTTTTTTTGGTACGCGATTGAAGACGACATCCGATTATTTTCTTTTAAAGTTTTCTCAGCTGGGAGTTTTTTTTTCGCCTCCCGCAAAGGAATTTTTAAGAGCAGCTTTCGGTAAGTTACTTCTCTTTTTCCACTATATTTAGACTGTGGTCGAGTACCACTCCTTATTGATCCTCTAATAGCTGATCACGTGATACAGCAGAACATTTCCCCCAATTAATTCGATATACAATACGTACGTTTCCCTTTTAAAAAAAGGAAAATGAAAGAAAATATTTGTATTATGCCTTTTTATATATATGAAAATTCTTAATTTGATACTCTAACAAAAGAATTCTGGAATTACGGATTTCTTATTAATTAAAACCAAAAAGTAGATTATTGACAATTTTTTTGAATATTTAAATAAACTACTTAAAAAATAAACATAAAAGAAAGCAAAGGAAGAAAAAGTAGAAGAAAAAAAAACTATTACTTGAATTAATAAATACTTTCGTAATTCCAGAAAACCAGGAGATAATGAACCTACTTCTCTTTCTCAAGAAAATACTATATGATAAGAGACCATCGTTCTCTACTCGATCTTGGTATCTCTTCTTCAAAATGAAAAAACAAATATAAACAAAAAATAATAAAGAATAAAAAAAAAAGCACCAGTCTAATTAAGATAGCTGTGTAAATTTTTTCTCTTAGTTAATATTCTCTCTTTGTTTACTTTCGTATCCTAACTATAGGGCTAATCAATCTTATAATAATCTTAGTAAAATAATTACGATATAACATATATATAAAAAAAAGAGTAAAAAGTAAAAAAAAAGAAACATTGTTTATCTTTATTCTAACACGGCGTTCTATTTTTTTTTATAATCGCAATGTTTATTTTCGTAGAAAAAGTTTAATTTTGGATTTAGTATTATTAATAATATGATAACAATAATATAAATAGTTTTGGAGGATTCTGTTTTTAGTTTATTTCCTTAATAAATTAAGGTTTTTTCTATTTAAACTAAATTAAGACCTAATTCAATTGGTATTTGTTAAACAGTGCAATGTTTTTAAAGGTCGTTTTAGTTTCTCTGTCTCTATCTCTCTTTCTCTTACACTTTCTCCCTCTCTTTCTCCCTCTCTCTCTCTCTCTCTCTCTCTCTCTCTCTCTCTCTCCCTTGCTATGTCTCACTTTTTTACTCCCAATCTCATTTGTATCTTAAAAGACTCATTTTCCAAACCAAACATAGCATTAAGCTGAAATAAAATACTTGGTAGACGTCTCTCTAGATATTTAAAGGCGTCACTTTGGTTTTAGCTTTAAGCAAAATAAATTTCCCTGTATAATTTATTTGTTATAAATACAACAAATAGAAATAATAATTTTTTTCCAGAGTTGGACGGATGTTTTATTGAAATGGAACCCAGAAGAGTATGGTAACGTGAAACAAATTCGCGTTCCTGTTGAAAACATATGGACACCCGATATTGTGCTATATAACTAGTAAGTTCTCATTCAATAATGTAAACGAAAGGTGATAATTAAACATTATTCGTCTCTTTCAGCGCTGATACCAGATTAAAGGAACAAAGAGACGCCCTTGCGGTTGTAAGCTACTTGGGTGAAGTTATGTGGATACCCCCATCGATTTTTAAATCAACTTGTCCAATTGATATTACTCATTTCCCTTTCGATATTCAAAATTGTACACTGAAATTCGGTAGTTGGACTTACGATGGGTGGAAGCTCGATCTAAAATTCTACAACGACATTGAGGAGGTCGATCAGAGAGATTATATAAAATCGAACGAATGGCGATTGCTAGAAGCACCCGCCATCAAGCATACTAAATATTACCCTTGCTGCAATGAACCTTACCCCGACTTGACATTTATAATAAGGGTTAAGCGGATCGCTGCTTTCTATAATTATATTCTAATTCTACCCTGCGTTCTACTGTCCTCGTTGACTCTTGTCATTTTCTGGCTCCCCCCCGAATCTCCGGCAAAGATGATTTTGGGTTAGTTTTGTTAAAGAGACAAGCGGCATAGTCTCAGAATTTAATATTACCTTTTTTTTATCTCTTATTTTACCAGGAATGAACATCTTCGTTGCGTTCTTTTTATTATTGTTACTTCTTGCCGATTCGACACCTCCAGCCGCCTCTTCTGTCCCATTAATAGGTTGTCTTATTAAAACCAATTAGGCGTATAAAATATTAATATTAATAATAATAATAATAATATTAGTAACAATAGCTTTAATAATATAACCCGTAATTATCTTCCTGTTGTTGGACCTCCCTCTTCTTTTTCACAGGTGCTTATTTCTGCCTGAACATGGTCTTAATCACTTTGTCGACATTCTTGTCCGTTATCGTTATCAATTTATACTTTAGAGGAGACAAAAAATCAAGGGTACCAAGGTGGTTGAAAAAAGTAAGCTTCCTTTAAAAACATAATAATAAAACAACTACAAAATCAGTTAGAAGACTGGAATTTTTCAAAAAAAGAGGGTACTGAATGAAACAATTCTTTAACAGTTTATGGTCGATTATCTTGGCCGAATGCTATGCATGAGGGGAGAACTAATTCAATCGGAGGAGCAAAGCAAACACGATTTCGCTATTCATTTAGACCCAGGTAAAAAGTCGGACAAAAAGCGAATTCGATGCCCAGAATTGAAATACAATAAGTTCCAAGTACCACATCCGGACCAATCGAAGGAAACGACCACATTACGTGGAAATTGTTCGACTAGACAAGCTCATAACAATTTAGCGCAGACGACAATAATTGAGAACGACGTAAAGGAAATAAAACGTATTCTCAAGTCATATATGAGCAGAGTTCATGACAAAGATGCTCAAACGAAAGTTATCAAGGAATGGAGAATCGTTGCTCTAGTCCTAGATAGGATGTTTTTCTTTATGTATTTAGCAACAATCATTATTTCATTAGGAACGATTTTTCCAAAAGGTTGACTTTGTCAGTTGTCTGTTGGACTGTTTGTTTTTTTATTTGTTCGTTCGTTTGATTGTTTACGTTTAACATTTTTGGTGTAGAAAATGACACTTAAAAAGTCACTGTACAGGTGCTCAAAGCGTGAAAGACTATTGAGAGAATAGGAGAGAGAGAAAGAGAGAAAGAAGGAGAAATATAGAGAAAGAGAGAGAGAGAGAGAGAGAGAGAGTGAGATAGATAGATAGAAAGAAAGAAAGAGAAAGAGAGAGACAGATAGAAAGATAATACGCGAAGGAAAGACCAACAGAATGGCAAGACTAATGAAGACAAAGACACCCACTGAAACAAGTAAAGTGTCAATTGATTGGAATTTTGAACGAAAATGAATAGGCCGTTAAAATTTTAAGGGAGGGCATTAGACGAAGAAATAGTAAATTGCATATACAATCAGGAACAAGTATACACATGATTAACATTTTAATAAAATTGTTACATTGGCACACACACACTTTCTTCAACTTTAGAAGTTTCTAGACGTTCCCGTTTCATCATCCTCTTTCGTCTTTTTTCTTCTATTCGAAGATGTTTAAAGTGCTAATAATATGAATAATTCGTAGCAATTACCTCGTATTGTTGTTCTAATTCATAAGCATTGCTCAGGTTGTAATAGAACATTCCAAAATTGTAAATATGTTAATGCATAGATTAATATATATATATATATATATTAGTATATATATATACCATAAATAAACAAGTAAAAAAATGAACATCTGTTTGGCGTTTCATTCTATTTTTTGATATAGGGAATTAGGATAATGAAAAATAAAGCCTACATACAATAAAAGCATAAAAACAAGGAATTAGTTTTAATGTGTTTTTTTCACCTTTTAAAAACATAAAACAGAAACAAAAATTAAAAGAAATAGATTAAAAAAAGAGCTTTTCATAAATTTCTTTCAGTCTTGGCACGATAATTTTCTAAAATGGGATCCAGCAGATTATATTGGAAATATCAAAAAAGTTCGCGTACCTGTTGATACAATATGGACTCCGGATATTGTTCTTTACAATTAGTTTGTTTAATTTTTCTTCTATTATATATCTATATATTAATATTACAAAACAACACTCTATTTTATTGATATGTTGTATACAGTGCGGATGAACGCCTCAAAGAACATCGTGACGCTTATGCTATTGTAAATCATGATGGAAATATTATGTGGATTCCCAGAGGCATCTTCAAGAGTACATGCTCCATTGATATTAGATATTTCCCTTTCGATATTCAGGAATGTAGAATGAAGTTTGGGAGCTGGACTTATGACGGTTTCAAGCTAAATATTGATTTTTACGAGGGTCTAGAAGCCGTTGATATAACGGAATATGTGGCAAGTAACGAATGGATATTGCTGGCTCATCCTGCAGTTAAAAACGTCAAATATTACCCTTGTTGCGCAGAACCTTATCCGGATTTGACATTCGCTTTCAAATTGAAGAGATCAGCCGCCTTTTACAATTACATTCTCATATTGCCCTGCGTCCTTCTCTCCCTATTAACATTAGTTGTATTTTGGTTGCCTCCCGAATCTTCTGCAAAGATGATTCTTGGTTTGTTACAGTACATTGAAGCGACTGCAAAAAATTTACTCATTTATTCTATTATTTTTCTAGGTATGAATATTTTTGTAGCCTTCTTTCTCCTCTTAAGGATTTTGGCTGATTGTACGCCTCCAGCCAGCCACTCTATTCCATTAATTGGGGCCTATTTCTGCCTAAATCTCGTTCTTATAACTTTATCGACTTTTCTCTCGGTCATCATTATAAATTTATACTTTCGAAGCGACAAGCGTAATCGTGTTCCCCTTTGGTTGAGGAAGTTTCTAGTAGAATTTATCGGTGGATTTCTCTGTTTGAAAGGTGAATTAGGTCTTGGTAAACGAGGCGAGCAAATGATCATAATTGATTCGCCTGATGGAAGACAAAAAGTAAGATAAAACCCAGTACAATTATTCTCCCATCCCCCCTTTCAACTAATAAACGAATTCTCTATTATTCATATACAGCTAAAAAAAAGAATTAAGTGCCCCGAAATGAAATACAACAAATTCCAACCGCCACCAGGAGCTTGCGATAATAATAAGGGAACTTGTAACGGTAATATTGCTATGGAATCACCTATACATCAAAAAGGAGCTTTGGAGAATGAAGTGAAAGAGGTATAATTATATTCATTTCATGAAGTTAACCTAATTTTCTATTTTTTCCCTCTCTCTCTCTCATTAGATAAGAAGAGCTCTGAGGGCATTCAATAACAAACTTTACGAAAAGGACGTTACCACAAAGATTAGTAAAGAGTGGAGAGCTGTCGCATTGGTCATGGATAGAATTTTCTTCTTTATCTATCTTTTTATAATCCTGTTTGGTTTAGGATATTATTATCCAAGTTAATAAGAGAATATATGAAAAAGATAGAAAAGGGAGAAAAAGAGAGAGAGAGAGAGAGAGAGAGAGAGAGAGAGAGAGAGAGAGAGAGAGAGAAAAGAAAGAAAGAGAGTGAATGAGTAAGTAAGCGAGAGAAAGAGAGAGAGAGAGAGAGAGAAGAAAGAAAGAGAGCGAGTGAGTAAGTAAGCGAGAGAAAGAGAGAAGAAAAAAGAGGAAAATAGTGAAAAAAGAGAGAAAGCTAGATAGCGTGAGAGCGAGTTAGAAAGAAAGCGATAATAATAAATAGAAAAAAAATATGAAACTCATTTTTACAGGTAAAAAGTTATTTTAAGCACTTTGTAGCAGAATACGTTTTTAATGGATATGTTCAACAATAACATTGAATTTGGATGATTTAATAAAAACTGAAAAAATACTAATTAAGTGTATTATTTATTATATGTTTAGAGATATCAGGTTATTAATCTATTTTTTAAGAAATTTTCGTAATTTTCAATAAACATTCATCATTTTAAAAATTGAAATTATTCTGCCTTTTAGATTTCAACTTCAATGAATTTAATTAAACTTCATTTTAATTAGTACTTTAAATTCGAAATACAGCGGTTTTTTTCTTACTTTCATTTCTATTCATTATAAAGTGTTACGTTACGCTTTAATACGAAAGTAAGAATAGTGACACGGCTATTTATGAATTGCGCCGCCCGCGCTTGAACGTGTTCAGACAAGAATATTATGTAATGCACACTTGCTAGTGCTTTAAAATGGCACAAGTCCAAAATATATGCTCTATAATTAGAAAAAAGCGATAAAGTCTATTAAGAGGCAAAAAAGCTATTCAATAATAATCTATAAATTAAAGATTTCTATTACCTCCATGAAACAAGTGCATATTTTCACTTATTTTTAGATTTAACGTAGACTAAACCCTGTCATCAATACAAATAAACATGCGTTTTTACTGATTTCGAATATTAACTTATTACATATTTTATGAACTAAGAATATAATTACTTGGCCGAATATTCTGATTTATGGACTAAATCTAGATTATTGATAAGACTTAGTATTCTTAACGGGGTCTAGTAACAAAAATAATCGAGTTTTTTGCGTTCTTAATTATTTGAAATCCTTTTTGTTGCGCCAAGTTCAGTGGAACACACTAAAAATATACATTTTTGGCTTTCCAATATGGCTGAACTTATTGTTCATCTTGAGGTCGCCATTTGCCTACGATTACGGCTGCTATAATCTATAAGATGCACGTACTCTATTGGCTAAAAGTCTGGCTCTCAGTGTTTTTCTAACATTGAGCAAGTCTAAACTTCTCAATTTACACTGTTAAGACTTTCGTTGTGGACAAGCTATAAGAAAGCCGTTGGATAAGCAGATATATTGAGAAAAAAGAGAATTTTATTAACTATTAAGGTAGAAAAACACTTCAAAACCAATATGGACAACCTGTAGTCCCGATTGCTGCGTGTTGGAATGTTATTGGCGCGGAGCACAGAATATTTGGCGCGAAAACTACCGGAATCAGAACTCAAGAACAAAACCACTTCCTGTGCGTATACTCCTTCTGAACTGGACGAAAATCACCTAAAAAACCATCTAAAAAATGGTTCTACAGGACGACTCGGACCTGGAACAACGTTACAATGATCTATGTTCCGATTTGAATATGGATCAAAATACAAAGGAGGAGTCTTGGAATGCTTATGAAAATATACGATCCCAATATAGCTTGGAGGGGGAGCAGCTGCACTGGCTTGCCGTGGCCTTATGGAGTGAAAGCAGGATGACTGTTCTATCTACTGTTGATAATAATACTGTTCAAGGGAATTGTGTCAGTTTAACGAGATTATTACGATCTTCTAAACTGGAGGAATCAGATTTCTTTAGAAAGATGCACTCTTGGGCAGATATGACAAGTATGCCGCAGGATTTCAGAGCAAAAATGCAACAAATTGAAAGATCGTTCGATGTCACATTCGTGATTTATAAAAAGTATCAGACGCTGTTTCTAACAGTATTTCAAAAGCCAGTATGGGTACAAAGAGTTCAAACAAAAGGAAGAAAACTAAAATTACCATGTACTGCTAATGACGTCTATCAATTCTGTTGGTCATGTTACAGCCTAGCAAGGTTAGTCGATAGGTTTTCAACAGAGTGTACGAAATAATATTTACTTTTGATTAGTCTACAAGAAAATATATAAATATCACTTTATTGTCAATTAAGAATATTGAATAATTTAATGATTGCTTTAAACTTTCACGTATCAATACTTCAATAATCTTTCTTCTAGTACTTGTTAAGTCGACTTAATTCCGTGTAATATTTTTAGGTAATGATCGATTTTTCAAACTTGTTTTTTAAGTATTTAACTGTCCGCAAGTTCTTTATTTACATAAACTGATTAAAATAAATAGGTTTTTTTTTCTTTTTCTTTTATTCATTTCTTCGCAACAGATCAAAAATGAATGATGTTCAAGAAGATTTAGTGAGCAGCTATCATCTCTTAATTTGCTGTATAGATTGGCTATACTTGAATTCAATATTTACCAGTCGGACAGATTTAATTAATCCCAACTTTAGACAATATCAAGTGCAGTTTATGGAATCCAATCCTGGTTCCATCTCAAACAAGCACCCTGACGACTTTAATATCATTCATTGGTTATGCAATCATTACGATGGTATAGGTATGTGTGATTTTATTCTTTGAACTTTCTTCTTGTAGGATAAAACAAATCCTACAAGATAATATTTTATAAGCATACAATACCAAGATCAGCTCAGACTTGATTGGATCATACGGTAGATTTCGCGAAAACCTTCTTTTAGGATTTTGTTGAAAATGATAAATAGACGATCCGAACAAATTTCTTTTCAATTCAGTTCATTATAAGGCATACAATAGAGTTTCACAGGGGAGAATTCACTTTAAAATAGTGGTATAAAGCTAATATCTTAAGAAATTTGTTTAAATGGAATAGTTCAAACAGTATGAACACTAATCTTTAAATCGTAGTAGTTTCCTTTTATATTAATTGAGAGACAATAAATTACGAATAAATATTATTATAGGTATATAGTATGACAGACGATTGTGAAAGAAGGCACTTAAAAGAATGAACAGGCTAGACAAAATCTTTAAGGCAACTGAATGAAAACAACTTTTTACAATGTTATAAAAAGAGTAGACAGACTTAGACAAATAAACAAATAATCTTCAACTATTTTTCTGTCTATCTTTTATTTAACTGGTAAAAAAAACTAAAAGGGAAAAGAACCTAATATCTAGCTAGTATATGAAATAGTCATGAGAGTATTATATAGTAATTGTATCGGCTTTTTTTACAAAGACGCGACTGTTTTACCTTCGAACTATGACAAATATTTGAACCATAGAAAAGTTTTTTGTAAATATTCTCTATTGGAAATTAATAGGGATACAAATTTTTATAAAGTAGATTGAAAACAAGCTATATATATTGATTTCATTGATATTCTCTTTATTACCGTATTTCTTTCTCCTTTTTTATTCTCGGTGTTCCTAATACACCCTACCCCTCTCGCCTTCTTTTTTCTATTTATTTTATTTAAATACCTTAGGTTTTGAATTCCATAGTTGCAGTTAAATGCATTAAATATGTTAACTTCTCCAGGAATCGAAGCGTATAACCTTCGGACTCAAAAATGGTTGCCCTTTATCTATTCTCTATTCGAGAAAGGTCATCTTAGGGGTAGTTTGGATACATTAATGGGTGTTTTGGAACAAACGAATTTTGAATTTTCTCGAAAACAAGTGAATAAATTATATGACGAATACGTTCTGACGAAGGGCGATGTTGACGATAGAAATTTTGCTCATCCCGATACCGAATTACACGAACGCACCCAAGGTCCTCCAAATGCCGTTGTCAATATGGCAGAAGTCAGAAGAACTAACGTTGAGAAAACAAGAAGGATGGTGTAAGTATTCAAATTTATTTCTACTGTTCCATTATTTAGTATGTTATAGTAAAAGGAAATTATATATTCTCTTTCTACAGCTACACTCACACTCTCCAACCGAAAACTCCTTTAACTGGTCGACGTTACATGAAAGAAGCCACTAAAACGGGATCAGAAACCCCAGTTTCAACAGCAACGCAAACTGTCAACAAATTACATTCGCTATTGGCTGGGGAGAAACCGTCTCCATCTGAGAATCTCTTAGTTATATTCGAAAAATGCCAGAGAAATCCTAAAGAATTTATTGAAGAATTAGTTGCGAACCTTTCTTCTGAATTTTGTAAGGAATTTGGAAATGATAATTTTGCCATACAAAGAATTAAGCTGGCCAAATGCTTATTTTATAAAATTCTTCTGGGAGTAATGAAAAAGGAAAAAGAAGATCTGACAGCAATTCTAGAGAAAGAAACATTTCACAAATGTCTATTTGCCTGCGCAATTGAAGTGGTTTTATTTTCGTATAATTCGCAAAAAACCTATCCCTGGGTAATAGAAACATTTGAATTACCTCCATTCAATTTCTACAAAGTTATTGAGTTAGTGATAAGAGCGGAGGATCAATTAAGTCGGGAAATGGTTAAACATTTAAATAGAATTGAAGAATCAGTCTTAGAATCTGGTGCATGGTCGTATAATAGTCCGCTATGGAGTTATTTAGAGATATCTCCTGTTCCAAAATGTGAAGAAGTCATGCTTCCCGCCATTCCAGATCCCCCGCAACCTAAAAAGGTTACTGAAACAAGATTAGTGGCAAACGACAAATTTGCTAGCCCTCATGCTGGAGTGACTCCTAGTCGGGGAAATGATACATATAAATTAGTAACAACAAAAGACGGTAGAAGGTTACTGGTCCCTGTTCAATTAATTGGTAAACCTATTACTACTAAACCGGTAAATATTTTATTATAACTCCTAAGACTTTAGTAATAATTTGTAACTGCACGAATTTTTTCCTATAGGTTGTTCTCTCTGCCGACACTAAGAAAGAAGAGTATGATACATCAGTGAAGATAACCGAAGAAGACGTACCGCCACTTCCCATTAAAGAAAAAGAAAAAGAGAAGAGAACTGGTTCAATTGCACTCTTCTTCAGAAAAGTTTATTATTTAGCTTGTATGCGATTAAGAGATCTTTGCGAAAGATTAAGAATTGACGACGATCTAAGAGCCAAGATGTGGACAACATTTGAATTTATATTAACAAAGCATGTCGACGTTATGAAAGACAGGCATATCGATCAAATGATCATGTGCACAATATATGCGGTTGCAAAAGTGACTGGATGCAGTACATCCTTTCAAGATATCATGACTTTTTATAGATTACAACCTCAAGCTGATAGTCATGTTTACCGAAGCGTTCTTTTATCAAGACGCGGAATTTCTGGGTCTTCGGAAGACGGTAAGTCCTAATTGAAAACACGATATTTGGCATTTTTGCGATATTCGATATGTCGTTTTTATAAATAGTCGTTATAATTTTTTCTTTCTGACAAATAGATGAACCGGATAGAAAAAAAATGAGATCTTCCTCTACGCTTCCTGCACCGACTAGCGCCCCTCCAACTCCCACCAAGTTAACCGGAAGTTCTTCCGCTGTGTTCGATCGAGACGAAAGAGGCGACATAATACGCTTCTACAATGCTGTTTTTGTGAGTCGTGTCAAAGAATTTGCTGTTAAATTCTCACCACACATATCAGATGCAAATAACGAATCGACCCCTTTAACACCGCTTCCTACAACAAGGCCTTTTTCAACTTCTCCTCGTAGGGTAGGCAACCAAAAGGTGTACGTTAGCCCTATAAAGCAATCGAACGCAAATAACTTTACACCGAGACAAACGCTTTTTTATCATTTTCACACATCGCCAGCTCGTGACCTTGCAGCAATAAATGATATGTTACTAAATAGAATGAATGCAGTTGGATCAACAAAGAGAAATTTAAGAGATATGATGGATAAAGAAGATGAAACGAATGCAGTAAAGTTAAGCGCTATTATGACTAATAAGTTGATGAATCGTTAAAATATTATAGAAAATAATAATAATTATTACAAAAAATGGTGATAACACTTGTTTTTAGAGTATAACAGAATGCTTGAAAAGGATTTATTTGTAGTTATATGTACTCCTTTTTTTTCAGTGATATATACATGTCGGTTTGTTATGATAAGCTTTAAATTTCTATACTTATGAGTACTTATATACAAAAATATGTATACAGTTTATGTATTAACATATATAAGAAATATATATATATATATATTTAGCAACATTTATGCATAGCATGCTATTGAATTCGTCAGTGATCTCTAATAATATTTGAATAGTCCAATACTTTTAGTATGTACATTTTTTTGATGTATGTTTTAATACACTGTAAGCTTCATAATAATATTATTAATAATAATTATGATATAAGGTATATATACTGTATATATATATTCCTTTGTCAATAATTCCTTATGACCCTTTTTTTCTCATCGCCACAATTAGATAATATTTTTTTAGCTATGTTTTGTCTGGAATGGAAACTTCAAACATTTTTTCTTGTAGTTTATTGATATTTTTTCCAGTGAAAGTTTATTTTTTTCGGAAAAAAATAATGCAGAGTCTAATGTCACTAGAATAATATATATATACAGTTTTTTCAGTTATAACTATATACTTACAATTAACTTGTTCCTTTATTAAGCATTGCATAATACAAACTTGGATGTAGAAAGATTTTCAATGATTTCTTAACCTTTTTGCACATGATTTTATATTATGTATATTATAAATATTTCATTTAATATATGTTCTATTTATTCTCCTTTAAACCCTTCCCTACTCTACCCAAACCCTGGTTTTTTATTAGGTTAATCTCTAAATAAATCTATTTTTTATAATAGAGAGTCTTTAGGGTTTCTTCTGACCCATTCGTGAAAACTATCATGTAGATCTTTAATTTGTTTTGTATTATTAATACATTTTTGATTATTTCAAGTAAAATATAGGTATAAGAGGAGCTTGATACTGTCGAAAGATTAGCTCTTATAAATCATCACAAGGCGAGCTGCGAAATTTAATAACAAGTCGAGTCTAGAATTCGTAATTTAGACAGTCCCAATATGGGAACACTTGACAGGTTATTTACAGTGTTATTGCATAGAAACTAAATATTGCGTACTAATACCAAGATAAAAAAGAACATTGAATATCTTAAAATTATTAAATGTTATCTATAATATCGCTTAATGATCATTATATATTTTCTCTTGTCGCCTGTTTAAATAGAGGAAATTTTCACTCCCTTCTTAAACAAAATAACGACAATAAAATACTTCAGATGGCCCTACCGTATGCAGAAATAGGTTTTATATCCGGTCGTAATATTACTTCCGTTCGCTGAGCAATTTTTTGTTGTTCGTCTGAAGCTTCTCTTTTTCATTTAAAACACGGTTCGTTACATTAACTTCAGGATGTTACTGACAAATTAACTGTTATTGATTTTGCCACATCATATAATCTTAAAATATATTAAATATTAAATAACCGGCAACCAATACGATACATCAGTGGCCAGACTGAATGACCCACTTAATACGGTATAACATATTTTTCTCTAATTTTCAGCCAGTTTTGTATGAGTCAAAAGCAAGAAAAACCGGTTCTACAAGGCCAGCGCATAAAGACGCGTAAAAGGGGTTTGTTTTACAATTATTCATATGCGTAGTTTTAGTCATGCTTTCTGAGTCATAGCAAAATGTCTTGTCTTAAAGAAGGTCAACCGGATATTACTTAAAGAGAGAAAGGATGGCGCCAATTTTAAAAATTTTTTAAAATTTTGTGTATGATGCACCGTACGCGGGCAGAATTTAACACAAAAGCACAGATTATAGAGAATCTACACAGTCCATCCCAAATTTTGATATATGAGTACATAGAATAATTCGCTAATCACATTGAAAAACTAACGTCAATTAAACATACAAAAAAAAGACTGAGCCTAATTACAAGACATAGACCTTAGAAAGCTGTAAACAGGCGTATCATAAGAGATATATTTGTTGATAGATGAAAAAGAGAAGTACGAGCCCCAAGCTTTCCGTGATTCACTAGTTGCAGGACTAAAAGAAGCTGGTAACGATTTGGACAGTTTGAGTAAATTCCTCGATTCGGCCGGTAACAAATTGGACTATAGACGGTAAGTGATTGTTATCATATTCGAATTAGTGGGCTAATAAAATTCAATTGATATCAATCAGATATGGCGAAGTACTCTTCGATGTCCTCTTCACTGGGGGAATGTTGGCTCCTGGAGGTCATACCGTCGACGATGGTGCCGAAAAGGCCCAACGTTATGTATTCTTGGCGGAAACGGAGGAGGACGTGAAAGCATATTATTGTGTATTTTTTAAACTTATTCGCCGTTATAAATATTTGGAAAAAGCCTTTGAGGATGAATTAAGCAAGTTGATTATTTTCCTGAAGGCCTTTACTCCAGAAGCTAGAAAGCGTCTTGCACAGGTTGTTGGAATGTGCATGGCTCAAGGTCTTGTCAAACATAATTCATTGGCACCTCTTTTCAACACTGATGATCATTTGGCAAAGGACGGCCTTGCTCTAGATTTTGCTACGGATATGTTTGCCATTTGGATAAAGGAAAAAGACGCTAACAATGTATCCTCCAGCTTGCGTCGAGCATCGCTCGATGATAAGCTTTTAAACATCTTACCTTCGACTCGTCGAACTACGGAGCACTTTTGTGCCCATTTTAAAACTGAGGGTCTTCTTTCAATTGCCGAGATGCAAATCTCAAAGGCTTCCCAGGGACTAAAAAAACAGCTGGGGGAACAGTTATCCAATTTGATCGAAGACGAGGCCGATGCTAACGAAATTGTGGCATGGATCAAGGCAGAAGGCGCCCAAAGCGGTTTAACCGATGTCGAACTAGTTGGTTTAGTTTGGAATAAGGTTATGTCTGCCGTCGAATGGAACAAAAAGGAAGAACTTGTTGCCGATCAAGCTTTAAGACATCTAAAGTGTTACACTCCACTTTTAGCCGCTGCTTGCTGTACTCCAAGAGCTGAACTGTGCCTCCTTCGCAGATGCCAAGAGTACTGCTATGACAATATGCAATTCATGAAGGTATTCGGTCGAATTGTTGTCCTATTCTATAAAGCAGATGTTGTTGGAGAGGACTCAATTCTGAAATGGCATAAAGACGGACATCTTTCCAAGGGAAAGAGTGTATTCCTCGAGCAAGTTAGCCAATTTGTCGATTGGCTTAAGAATGCCGAAGAAGGTAAGATATTAACTGAATCTTAATTTCTCTATATTACTCTAAAATGCTAATATTTTTCTAATCTTGACAGAATCCGATGATGAAGAGAACTAGGAAGAAAGAAACGAATTATAATAAACTTATAAAACTTTAAAAACCTAATAAGCAAATTTGTAAATTGTGTAACAAGATGTTTAAGACACATTTCGGTTTATATGTACAAAACTATGTATATTTTGGATTAAAATTAAACGTAAAATACTTGAAATGCTCTTATATGATATATTTAATATTTATAAAAGTAGACACTGTATGTACGTACAGTTTAAAATTTCAATATCAACGAACTGGCAGGCCTGTTGGTCATTAATTAACATTCGAAAAAATTTCGTGATTGTATTTAAACTGTTCCCCGATAAACACAAACACGTATATATGTACAAACATATATGTGTAACATTTTACATATATAAATAGTAAAAATTATACACTTCAAAATGTCGGCATATCTTCGTAGCTTTCCTCTGGAAACGTTTCGTCTTCGTCAGGAAGAACAGTTCGTTCTGGTTCCGGAGCAGCCTCAACTTTCTCTTCAGCAACTGGAACAGATTGAGTGGTTGCTTTTTCCTTTTCAACAGGTTGTTCTTTGTCTTGTTGAAGAGAAGTAATTGGTCGTATATCTTTTGTAGTGGCAAACATTCTTTTAAAGTTTGATTTTTCAGCATTAACCTGCTGGAAGGTATTTGTAGTATTTGAGGGAGCAGATCCACTGTATAAATCTTTTTTGCCTGAAAAAACTTCCTCAAGTAGCTGCACGGAATTCTTCGGAATAACAACTCCAACTATTCTTCTACCATCCTCTGTGCTCACTCTGACAATCTGCATACGCTCATGCACGCCGCTTCTTGTCATCTGTAATATCCTTTCCACTTTGTCCCAGACGGACAGTAAACTTCCGGCTAGAATATGATAAATTTGATTTCTAATTCCAAGAGAACAGTTTTCCGAGTGACAAGTTTTTTTAAGATATTTATGAAGACACCCAGTTTCAGTGAATGAATGTTGCTTCTTCCACAGAGCTCCTGCTTCTCCCGTGTCAATCTTTTCGAATTTCTTTTGAAGTTTGTCAAAGGTGGTTAATCGAGGTTGTCTACCGGTATGAGGTGTATAAACTTTGTACAATTGTTCATCTTGCTTGTTACTTTTCTTGTATCGAAAATACCCAGCAGCTTGGGGTTTAGAATATTTAATCGCCAATTGAATCAGCCTGGTTGAGCCTGTCTTAGCTCTATAAAATCCATCGCTTTCTCCGTCGTGTTGTCTCCACTGATGTAAAGCATCGGCATAAGACATACCCCTATCTATTGCTAATTGATATAAAGCCAATTGAGTTTTACTGGAACCCCCCATACTGCTTTCAAATGTGTTAATATTTATCTCCTTAGCTAACTCAGCTCCAGAAGTCAAATCTAATATGCCTTCATCAAAACTACCAAACTTTTTTGCTTCTTTGATGGCTGTGTTCAAATAATCTGTAAAATACTTGAAGATAGCATTTTGCAAGCGAGTTGGTATACATAAAATACGATTCAAAAACTTTCCAATTGTTAGTGAATCTCTCTCGATGTTATAAACGTCATTGTAACTTTCTAAAATGTTAACAGCCTTTAATGCCTTTTGAGCCCTGCTTACAAAATCCTGACCAGCCTCTGGGGGTGGTGGGAGAAGAGGGCCGCAATTAGTAAGGCCTTTAAGCATTCTTTCTAATGCAACTCTTCCATATTTTGTATCGATGTTAAACTGACTGAGGTCTCTTGTCTCAGTGGCACGACGGTCTCCATGTGTTAAAGCACCTAAACTCTCTAACCTCTTAGCAACAGTTGCGGCAAAACGCCTTTCACCACCAAATGTCGAAATCAAAAAGTGATATTCGGGAGCAGACACTTGATTTGATCGATGTGTTCGACCAAACTGCTGAATAGCTCTATCGGCTGACCAGGGCAATTCAAGCGTTATATGAACCCTTTTACTTTGGTTGATAGCTCTTCTATCGGCGTGTAAGGATATTCCCGAACTGGCAGCATCAGAAATTATCGCAATCTTTTTATCAGCATCCATAAATGCCCCTTTTTCCATGATATTTGTCATCTCAATAGGCTGATTGTCGCATCGTCTTTGTTCAATATCATATTTTCCCATGTCGTTACATACCATGCGCATTTTTCGACCTGTCATTTCAGCTACCCTATCTGGTCCACCTAAACGATCGATTAAATCATCTAAAGGGTTTCCCGGTAATATTTTACCCAAATCTTCAATTTCTTGTAGTAATTCAATTTTCATTTTCTTTAATTTAAGATCTTCATCGGTGGTATTCCCATCAGAGAATTCTTTTAATTTATCAGAGCAAATAATTGATTCGACAATGCGGTTAGTTTTTGTCTCCTCGTCTTCATCTAAATCACCTGAAATTACAAATAGCAAATTAATTACTATTCAAATAATCTGAATTAGTAGCTAGCTTACCATTTGTCAAAGAAGAAACTTTTGGAGGCTTCTTCTTCTTCCTTGATTTCTTTTCTCTTAACCAAGGATCTTCATCATCACTTGCCAAAAACGGATTTTCATCCGAACTAGATCCAGAATCTTCGGAATCCGAAGAAGACTCCTCACTTTCGTATTTTTTTCGTTTGGGTGGAGGTGGAGACGGACTAGGTGATGGTGAATTATCTCGAATAAAAGAGGGAAATCCACCGCCTGTAGGGAAATGTTTCCTAACTAATGAATCTAAGATATGCTTTGTGGCTGAAGACAATTGATCCTGATCAATGTTTCCTCCGTCTTCTAATTCATCTCTCAACTGTGATTCACCAGTTGATTGAAGACCAATAACAACGCATTTTCCGGATCTCAGAGCAACTTCCACCATTTCAGCACATCTACCAAGTTTAGCCGATATGCAAAGACTGCGAAAGAAACGCTGTTGGGCCGACCAAACTTGTGACATAACATTCTTGGAAATATTGGGTAACTGAGTAACAAAAGAGGTATTTTATAACAATTATTTAAAAAAGTAATTTCCGTTACCTTTGACAAAGCCGTTTGAAAATACCTAATAACTTTATGCCATAGGATACAGGCTTTATCGTATACTTCTAAAAATTTCTCAGGAGGTGTTACATCTTGAACATGGAAGGTTACTCCATGGAAACTTAATTGCCTAGCAATGTATAGACCTCTCAATTTCATATCCATGGCAACTAATTCCATGGCGGCTACTCCACGAGCATTCACAGTTGATATAAATTCTGAAAATTCAAGAAAAGGAGTTCCTTCACCCCATAAGCCTAATCGAACCATATACGCCATGTGTGCTGGCTCTGTTGCTCCAGTAGCAGAAGCGTATACTATACGAGCATCATTGAGATATGTCTGTAGACCTTGTACGGCCTGACCAGTCTTTGTCGACTTTCCAGTGCCCGCTGGTCGAAGATTTTTTGCTCGATGACACTCATCGAAGACTATCAAACCTAGAATTTTTCAAAATGTTTTTAAAGAGAGGTCGATAGGGGTTTCTTGGTTAAAATTTGTCCGAATCATTTTAATTGTTATCAAAATCAATACAAAGTAACCTTAATTCTTGTTACTAATTGAAATACTATATAGAAAGAGAAACAGTAATTAACAACCTTCCTTGTCTTTTAACCAATGCAGTAGTTGCTTGTATCTTGAATTGTATCGTCCTTCTTGGGCCCCACTACTACTTTTGCTAACGAGTGAGGTGTATGTTGCAAAAATAACACCTTTCTTAATACTTCCATTCTCGGACGATGAAATTTTCTTGTACTTTAATTTATTTAAGCTATACACAGGAATATGTCCAGCACCAACATCCCTTAGATCCCTTTCGGCATCTAGTTTTAAATCATTTGAAACGCTCAACCAGAGTACCCTTTTCCTCTTTCTCAAATAATTTTCATATATTATCCCGGCAATTGTTCTTCCTAAAATATTATAAGAAAATAATGATTTACTACATAAGATACAACTATACTACTATTGTGAAATTTTGTACATGTCTTATCGGCCATGGTGTACAATAAACATTAGAAAAACAGAACAAGCACCTTTTCCTACACCGGCACCATCTCCAACAAGGAATCCTGCTCGATTTCCATCAGGTAGCAATTGTTCGTGTCTTTGGCAAGCATAGAGAACAGTCTCGTACTGAATCGCTGATAAATGACCCTCATCTGTTATTTCCAAAGGCAATTTCATTTGAAAATCTGGATCAGGTGGCAGTACACTGGCTAAAGAAGCAGATTCAACGACAACATCAGGATGAGAAACTCCTCGCCGAATTTTTGCCGGTTTGTAAATTGAGTAGGTTTCGGCTTGATGAAGGATTTCTCCTTCGTCTTCTTCGACAACCTAAGTACAATTATTGGATTTAAAATTAATAGGGTGTTGAAAATGCTTAAATAGAAACATTTTCATACCTCCTCGGTGGACTTTGGCATAACTTGAATTATCATAGGCTTTTTGTCTGTAGCCTGAACAGCTTGTTGACTAGTAAGCAAGCTCGGTGCCGATTGTACATGACTAATCGTTACCGGTTTAGGCGAATTTGTTGTATTCCGAACCACATAAACATTTGATGTAGGTGATGCCTGAGCAGATAGAGTCAGAACGGGATGTGAAGCATTGTGAATGATTGTTGGAGATCCAGTTCGCAATCCTTGAACTTGGACCATTCTTGGTTGGTAAACAGGAGTTGCTTGAGGCTGCTTTAACACCGTAATATTTTGGATTTGCTGTGTGGGTTGGGTTCGTATCGGAGCTTGTATGACACGAACCAATGTTGGCTGCTGTTTAGTAAAATTAAATAAATATTTAGACTAAAGAAAGTCTTGGTTAAGCAAAACCAATTTTAAACATGTGTCCCTTCTTAAAAATTGCAAATACTGTATATGCTTCTTTTCGTAATACAACTATATACTGTAAGTAAAACTTCTGCAGCCAAGGCTAGAAACTGACAATTTAACAACTTATGCTTTGTAAACTTATGGTTATTTAGCACTTTAGAATGAGAGAAGCAGACGAAATACATCATGACTTTACTTGTAAAACCATCACTATTAAGTTTTGGCAAAAATGTTTAGAATCCAAATTATGAACATTCAGAGTCAAATTTCATCGACAAGTAATAAATTCATCGATTTCAAGCTATTGAGAAATTACTTGCCTGAGGTATAGAGTGCACCGCGTTGGGTGTTTTATTGAATTCACCATCATTTAGCAGTACTCCTGAACTGTTCAGCGCTTTGCTAAGAATATCCTGTAATGTAAATATATAATTAGTCACTATTAAAGTATGATGAATGAGCTTAAAAGAAATTTTACGACACTTTTATGTAACTTTCAATTCCAGATTTACTAAACATTTGCTTACTCCTATACTTCATCAATTAAATTATTTTTCATATATTTTAACAATAATTATTAATAAAATATTTGCATTTTTATATTAAGCAGTTTTCTAATGCTATTAGGTAGTTTCGATGTTGGTTTCAATGGATGGCTCATCAATATTATAGGGAAGGAGAGACGAAAAACGAAAACAGAAGGCTTTTTAATATCTAGCATTGAACTACTGAGTTTTAAAGTCATAGTTATTGTTTTAAAAGTTTTTCACAATTACCTGATCGACACTCTGATTAAAAACTAGTCGATTATCTGCCATTTTTATTGGATAATTTACAAATCCGCTCATTCTATCAACACACTCATTTTCACGCAAGATGGCTGCCAGGATATAAACTGGTAACCTGATTCATTTAGGGATTTTAAAATCAGAAAATATTTTTCTTTTTATTCTTTATTAAGAAAATTTTTTCTAATAAATATGGATATTATAAACGATATGCAGTTGCATGAAACAATATTAAGGGTATTTTAAAAACCAGTCTACAACCTTCCAAGGTTATATCTCGAACGAGACGACTGTAGGTCACCCTTACTGCTCTTCACTCTTAAATCCGAGCTTGGTGTGAAAGTATCTGCTCTTGCCAGAGATTTGCATTGTCTTGCCTTTCGGAATAAAATTTGCAGCCATGAGTCGAGAACTAGACGTCGAACCTGAAATTAAATACACTGAAGTTCATGAAATCATCGTACCGCATTTGGGCCATATTCCTATTGCTAAAGGAGATTTCCATGCTCTTCCCACCAAAGCGAAGAAGTTTATTGCGTTTTATGTAAGCTAATAGGAGATTTTATCAAATTTTAATGTTACAATACTAAGTTTCAAAAAAAAATTATTTCTGTTTTTGTTTTTTATATAGGCTGATTATCTGAAGCCTCGCGGTATCTTTATATGTGATGGTTCAAACGAAGAAGCAACAGAGATAATTCACAAGCTCGAAGAAAGAGGAACATTAGAGCAATTGGAGAAGTATGAAAACTGCTACGTGTGCCGTACCGATCCGGCAGATGTCGCCCGTGTGGAGAGTAAAACATGGATTTGCACGAAAGAAAAACATAAAACTGTACCAAGATGTCACGGTGACGCTAAAGGAGGTCTCGGACAATGGATCTCGCCCGAAGACTGTCAAAAAGAACTACAGTCGAGATTTCCTGGTTGTATGGCAGGCAGAATGATGTACGTTATACCTTTTTCTATGGGGCCAGTTGGATCTCCCTTGTCGAAAATTGGTATTGAAATTACTGATTCTAACTATGTATTGCTCTGCATGCGTGTTATGACCCGCGTTACTTCCAAAATTTGGGAAGTTCTTGGAGACGGAGATTTCGTGAAATGTATTCACTCCATGGGATGCCCTCGCCCATGGAGAAAGAAGGTGGTCAACCACTGGCCATGCAACCCTGAAAGAATTTTCATTGCCCATTTTCCTGAAGAGAGAAAAGTGAAATCCTTTGGATCTGGATATGGTGGTAATTCTCTTTTGGGAAAGAAGTGTTTTGCTCTTCGTATTGCGAATGCTATTGCTAGAGATGAAGGATGGATGGCTGAGCACATGCTTATCATGGGTATCACAAAGCCAGGTGGTAAAGAACATTACATCGCTGCAGCTTTTCCCTCTGCGTGCGGCAAAACAAATTTGGCTATGCTGGAGTCAACTTTACCTGGCTGGAAAGTTAGATGCGTAGGAGATGATATTGCCTGGATGAGATTCAACGAAAAGGGAGAATTGCGAGCTATCAACCCAGAAGCTGGTTTCTTTGGAGTTGCTCCAGGAACAAACTGGAAGACTAATCCAAATGCTATGGCTTCTTTCCAGAAGAATTCGATTTTCACAAATGTTGCAAAGACGGACGATGGATCTTACTATTGGGAAGGACTCGAAGATGAGGTTGAAGACAAGAATATTGGCATTACAACCTGGTTGGGAAAGAGATGGAAAATTGGAGAAGAAGGCAAGGCAGCTCATCCCAATGCCAGATTTTGCTCTCCTGCTGCTCAATGTCCAATCATTCATCCAAAATGGGAAGATCCTGAAGGTGTACCAATCGATGCTATCTTGTTTGGCGGCAGAAGACCAGAGGGTGTCCCGTTGGTTTTTGAATCATACGGTTGGAACCATGGTGTCCTCGTTGGAGCTGCTTGTAAATCCGAAGCAACTGCTGCTGCGGAATTTCATGGAAAAAAGATCATGCATGATCCTATGGCTATGAGACCATTTATGGGTTACAATTTTGGAGAATACTTAGATCATTGGCTACAATTTGGAAGACAATCTGGTCTTAAATTGCCCAAAATTTTCCATGTTAACTGGTTTAGAACCGGTGCGGATGGTCATTTCCTTTGGCCTGGCTTTGGTGATAACATCCGTGTATTGGATTGGGTTTGTAAGAGAGTTGAAGACAAAGATGTGGCTGTTGAATCTGCCATCGGTTATCTTCCAACAAAAGGATCTATTGACCTTTCTGGAATTGAAGATAAGGTGAAATGGGACGAACTATTCTCTTTGCCCAAGGATTATTGGAAATCGGATATTGAAGAAACGAAAGCTTTCTTAGACAGAGAGGTTGGGGATGATTTACCTAAAGAGATATGTGAAGAGATAAAGAAAATGCAGGAGCGTATCAACAAAATGTAATTGTTCTCTTAAGCATTTCTGTCGAACTTTAATAACTAATTTGAATAGCATCTGATATATTTCTCATAGAGTAGTCAGTAATAATGATAGATTCGTACAATACAATATATGAATTATATTAATGGTTTGATGTCAGTGTGCTTCGTACTTGTTATCTAATAATCTGTCTCGTATTAAACGCACCTTCTGAATAAACTATTAAAAATGTAAATTACCTTGTTTATGCTTTAGACGACCTTTATAAATGACCTAAAAGTCCTGAACGTTCTATAGTATTATATTATGTAAACATTTTTTGGCGTAAAGTTCGTATTTAAAATTTTCGCGCTCTTGGCTACCGGAAGTGAACTGGGAAGGCACCGGAAGCAAATAACAATGTCGTCTCGTTTGCGGAAAAGAAGGAATCCAAAGGCCAAAGAAGAATTTGAGAAAGAGTCTGATGTAGTTTCAGAAAACAAAGAAAAAAGGTTGTCCGAATCTGAAGTAAGTATGGATTATCTAGGGAAACGCTTTATATCATGAGCGATTACGACCAGTTTTCGCTGGGTTCTTTAATTTTGTTGCTAATTATTCTTCTTTTTTGATAGAAATCTGATGCCGAGAGTGGAGGCAAATCTTCTGATTCTGAATATGAAACATTAGAGGTTTGTTGCATTTTTTTCTTTGTAGAAGGTTAAGTTTTTGTTCTGAATAGGAGGAAACAGCCGATGAGTATTCGGCGGAATTTACTGATGAGGATGAGGAAGTCGTTAATGAAGAGCGGCAGAGTGGTGATGGTGAAGAAGAACCTGAGTCTTCGGCCAAACTAGACGATGATGAGGATAAAAAGAATCCAGCATATATACCTAGAACTGGTTATTTTTACGAGCATGACGATAGGAAAGATGAGGAAGTTGAGGAAGACGATAAAGAGGAGGGTGAAAAACGGGCCAAAGAAAAAGGGCAATTGTGGATAGGTAAGACGAAATGGGAACATGACAGATTTAGAGAGGATGAACAAGCTCCGAAATCAAGAACACAAATAATTGCTAAGTACGGTTATGACATTCGATCTAATAATGAACCACCCCCTTCACCACCTGCTTCAAGTAACGGTAGGGAAAGCGCAGATACAAAAAAGCCTTCGAACAGGAGTCTTGGCGATTTTATTCCCAGGGGAAGATTTAGAGGAGGTAATTTTGTTTTAAATTATTTAAAGAAAACTCTTAGGTTACATAATTTCATAGTGATCAAGAAAAATCCTATTATCAAGAGAAATAAGAAAAAATAATTTAAAATATGTCATTTTTATACTATCATTGAATTTTAATTTTTAGGCAATGATCGACCAGGAACAAGCAATAGCCGGAGAAATAATAATCGTTATTGGTATGGAGGAGAAGATAGTTATACATACGACGAATTTCAACCAAGGGGAAGAGGAAGGGGTCGCGGCAGGGGTAGGGGTAGGGGTAAGGGAAATCATCAATCTAATAATAGGCAACCGAATCGTCGACCTAGATCCTATCAAGGAGAATGGAATTCGTTCAGGGAAGAGAATGATAGCAATTATAGAACAAGTTCGAAGTCGAAGTATTACTATAAGCAGAAAGATGAAGAAGTTTCCAAATCTAAAAGAGAAAATAAGAATAGTAATTTTGAGCCTGAGAGGTTGAATAATAGAGGTGACCACAATCACCAACAGCAAACTGTAAAACTTGAAGAGGAATCTGAAACTAATTCTGTCAAAACTAAATCAAAAGCTAAACGATACACAAGACAGAGACTGAAAAAAGACGATAAAGGATCTTCTGCAGAACAGGAAGCTGATAAAGATACAGTCCAAGAGAATGACAAGGTGGAGAATGGATCAGGAGCTAAATCGAAAGGAAGTAATGCGAGTCAGTATGTTCCTAACTTGGCTCCTAGGCACCAGCGACAATTGATACAAAAACAGCAGCAGCAGCAGCAGCAGCAGCAAATATTTTATAATCAAGTGAACACTCCGCCGGTTGCTACAGGTTTTCTTGATCGGGGTATTCATCCAGCTCCTTCGGCTGCTCCGGGCACTGCTCACCCACCTATTTTGGTGCCGGTACCAAATTTACCAATTCAGCACTCGCCCTATGTTCTTCCTCCTCATGGTCAAAACATAATACCTTATACTAACACCGTTCAACCAACCGTTTTGCCTCAGACCGAGGTAAGTGATAGTTTCTATATATCATGAAAATGCATGTTTTTAAAATTTCCCATCCTTATAGCCACCAGATAGCGGCGAACTAGGAACTGTTCATAGGGGAACTACATATTACGCTGCTCCACCTAAAGAACGAGTTCGTGGAGGAACGACTTACTATTCACCTGTTCCACAGCGAACAGACTCTTTTAGAACGCCTATTCCCATACTCAGTCCAGAGAACAAGGTTAGCATTAGCGTTAATAATTTCTAACCTTCTTTACCTCTTATTAAATAATTTTATAAACCTATTAACCTTGAACTTTCTGTTCTTTTTTAGCCAGCTGGAGAGGCAGAAAAAGAGCAATCTGACCCGCAAGAGTCCTAATCCGTAATTGTAATAATTTTATTTTTCTTAAAAATTGATTCCCTCATTTGTTTCTGAAAATTAAAAAGAGAAAAAGAGGACAAACTATTAATGACAAGTGTATTTTGTTCGTGTATACTTTTATTTATTTTTTCTCATTTGTTATTGTACTTTTTTGTAATTAACTACAAAAAAGTACTTGATTTCGTCCGAATTTTTAGACAATTGTATAGTTTTCATATTTACAAAACGAAGATTTAAAATATTCAATTCTATGGCTCTTGTTTTTTTTCTTTTTTTATTTTATTTAATATTTCCTGCTAAGGTATGGGCCGTCCTCGTTTGTCAACAATAAGTTTCTTTTTATTTGTATCAGTGTAAATTTTGTATAGAAATAAAAGATTCGATTATTTATAAACATTAGGCAAATGTTTCTTTTTATACACACCTATTTAGATACAACTACTCTCTTTATAGACTTTTATATTGGTTGGAAATGACCAGAAATTATTTTATAGATTCTTAATAATTTATTTTCCCTTTAGATTTTAAGAATGACCTAATTATCTTATAATTTAATGTATTCTCTACTTTTACCTTGGAAATTAATTAATTGCATGTAATAAAGTTATTCAGCACAAGGCTACCTTGAAGACAAACCAAAAGCTCTGTAGCATTATAAGGTATTAGACTCATAAGAGATTCAGTATATTTTTGAAAGAAGAACAGTTCTATCTGTTAAATTTCTTTAATTATTCAACAGTAATCCTTTGGAGAAGAAGCGAAAATAAAATAAATTTCATGATACACACACACATATATATATATATATATGTAAAGTATCTTAACATTTAACAACTATAGATTTCTCTCCTTTTTGTGTTTACTTGATTAGAAAGTAATTTAACTACATGGTTTACAGTTTGGCTGCGGCAGCAAATTTTATCGCTTACGCCTTTTATACGACATACAGCTTGATAAGATTCTGTAGTAAAATATGTATAAAATAAACTAATTTAGTACAAATTGATAAGAGATGTAGTGATAATGTTAATTGATTCTTGCTTGAAATATTTCTTCTTCTTTAATGTTACAAATAAATAACAAATAATAGTTAATTATATTTCTAGATTACCATTCTTTCAATCGAATAAAAACTTCTTTTTCTCATCTCACTCGCTAAGGTATAAGTACTAAATTTTAATAACGTCTACATAAATAAAAGAAAAACAAATATTCTGCGGGAAATAAAAACTGGTATATAAATTCCTCGTTACCTGATTATATTAATATTTTGTGGGACAGGTATCTTTTGTTGTTCTATTTTTCTAAAGTGTTTTTTTTGATGGAAACGAAAGTATTCTTCATTTAAAAACAAAGGAATTGAAAAGTAATCAGAAAGAATACGTTAATTATTTGATGTAGTCTTTTTTTGTTCATGGTTGAACTATCGAGGAATAGTTACGAATCTTCAACTGTCTATAGTGACTGTTTTCAATTACTAATAAAAGGAGAAGGGGATTTCACCTTTTAGTAAAACAAGAAAAGAGACATAAGAGTCTACTTTTTTCGATTTTTTCATATGATAGGCATATTTATCTGAATAAAACAATTAAATACTCTGTAAAATGTTGGAAAGCGACTGCGTTGGCAATCCAGATTCACACCAACAACATGAAGTTGAATGGATACATAAACTTTATAAAATATCTGCAGAATTGAAGATAAGAGATATAAATTCATTAAAATTTTTACTTAAAGATTTAGTATCATCTTCAAAATTAGAGAAAACTGATCGAGGATCGGAAATTATGACTTTACTAATTGACAATAATAAAATAGATTTAACAACTGGGAACATGGATTGCTTGCAGGAATGTCTTTATTATATTGGGAGAAGGGATTTACTAAGGCACCTAAATATATCCTCCAGGCAAGTGATGGATGGTTTAAAGACGAAGCGATCCACCCTTAGCAATTATAGATTACTATTGCATAAGCTGTCTGAAGAGATAAAAAGTGACGATTTTAAGAACCTTAAATCATATGTTGAAATGAGCGGTTGTACGTCTAGAGGAAAATTAGACGAAGCAGAGACATCGCAGCAATTATTAATGTTACTCGAGGAGGAGGGCCTCATCACAGAGAATGATATTAAGTTCTTAAAAGCAGCCTTTGGTGAGATTCTATCCGATTGTGGTTATTTGGAGAAATTAATAGAAGAATACGAGTCCATTAATGGACAGATTTTGGGGCAAAGTGATTTCGAAACTGACTCCGGAAAGAAAATAAATATTCCAAGGTACTTTCCTATTATTTTGTAGACGTTTAGTTGTACGAATATATTAGTATAATATTATACAGTATACTCTATATAATATATATATATATACATATTGTAAATATATACAGATATATTATTAATATTAATTATATTACTTCTTTCACAGTAAATTAACACTCAACATTGAAAGAGAATCTTATACAATTGATACTAAGCCTAAAGGCTATTGTATAATTATTAACAACGCAAAATTCCTGAACGATTGTTTACCTGTTAGAAATGGAGCTGAGGAAGATATAAGGAATATACAAAGAGTATTTACTAAATTAAATTATGCAATAAAGCTCTTCAGGGATCTGACAGCATCCGAAATGGAGAAGGTATTAGGAAATATAGCATCCGAGAATCATTCCAATTTCAGTTGTCTGGTATGTTTTGTTCTATCCCATGGAACAACTGGTCACGTATTCGGAAGAGACCGCAGAAAGCTCGAAATAATGAAAATTCCAAACTTTTTCGGTGCTTCCAAATGTCCTAGTTTATCTGGCAAACCAAAATTATTCTTCATCCAGGCTTGCCAAACAGAAGGCGAGACGGCGCTTTTTGTAAGGAGAAGAAATATTGAATCAGACGGAGTTGAAGATAATATTGTGAGTGATATGGCTGATATCCTAATAGGATATTCAACCGTCCCTGGCTTAAAAAGTTTTAGAAGTAGATCCGAAGGTAGTTGGTATATTAAGCAGCTTTGTGTGCAAATAGCAAGAAATTACGACAAGTAAGAACCCACAATCACAATAATAAAATATTATTTATTAACTTATTACTTATTTTTCTTTATGTCTTTCCTTATAGACATGACGTTCTACAAATTTTAACAAACGTCAATCGGGAAATAGGCAAAGTTAACGCTCCATTCGAAAATGGATATTACAAACAAACTCCAGCTCCCTACTTCACTTTAACTAAAGCGTTCTTCTTTTAGACTGTAAATCGTAAAATGTTTGCCATATTCTCTTTTGTAAATATATGAATATATTATGAATATGACCGAAATGTATATATTAACTTGTATATATATACAGTATACTAAATATTAATTTGTATTATAGTTTGTTAATATTAAAACTAATCGATTGTTGGCTATATATTTAGATATTTTTGTTTCTGTTCCTCGTTTTTATCACGAGTATACAAGAATGTAATGGAGGGAGAAATAGTTTTTGGTAATATAGTCTTCAGGTTCGAGATTAAGGACCAAACCATGTTTAATGGAAATAGTAAATAGAATCGGGAAAGTTTACTTTATATAGATGAAGGATCCATTTGATGGAATTTGATATCTTTTTTTACGTATATTAAAGATGAAAAATGTTCGGATAACATTTTATTCTTTTCTCTTCCATCATCTATTACGCTTATATACTGCATTCATATATACAGAAATAGAAGAAATCTCTTTTCTTTAATTCAATAATTCTTAGAGAAAAGTAGAATAATGATTATCCTCCATTGTTTATGTACAGGCCTTTACGAGCGGTAAGAACCTTTAAGTGTATTTGATATTAGCGCTAATCTCTTCTTCGTAAATTGAAACTGGTGTAGTGCTTTTGTTTCAGAGCGAGAAAAAGAAGTTTATCTAAAAATATTAACCACTAGACGTCGCTGAGAGGCGTCTATTCTTTTCTACGTGCCACACTCGGCCATCATGTCTCAATACGGTCAGTTTTCTTTATACTTATTCTGTATTTTCATTTTGTTAGACGGCTCGTTTTCCTGCTACTGCGAAAACGGCGGAAGTTGCTATTATACGAAGGAAAGCCGGTTAAGGAAACGCTGCCATTGCCACCGTCCCTTTTTCTTTGGGGATAATTGCGAGAGAGTGAACATGTCAGCGACTTTGAATCGTTTGGTTTCAGGAACGATAAGCATAACTTGGCCACTTCCTGTTAGGATAACAAAACCTTATACTTTTCAATACCGTCAAGGCAAGATATAATGATTTTGCACCTTAAAAATTAACAAAAATATTAAAGATTAGAGATTAGATAAATTAAATTAACGATGAATAATCATGAGAAATGCTTTTCTCTTCCCTTCTCAAAATATGATGTGCATAATCGTAATTCTATTTGATGGTATTTAGACTCTCTAAGAACACCGACTTTATTTAATGGAAGACAATTAATAGGGAGAATTGGCAAGGAATTTGGCGAAGCCTTACTTGTTTGTTGTATATCGGCTTATTCATCTTATTCATCATTAACTTCAAGAGTTCAACTTCCAGATGAGTGTGCTGAACTAAGAGAGACTTCTAAGGATAAACTATTATGGGTGAATACAATTGCAGCTTACGGACTTGCGCTATGTTTAGTTTTAATTGTTGTCGGAGTTGTATTTACTCAGAAAACAAAATTGGCTATGATTTACTCACCTGAACAGGGAAAAACTTGGGAAAGAGAGAAGTCAAACTCCAAGTTAAGTTTAGTACAAACTGCTGCAGTATAGACAAAAGATGGAAATTTCCCATGACAAACCAAGAGGTTAGTTTGTACGATAAACATTTATTCATCCGCAAAAAAATTTGTATTGGATCAAATTAACTGTTGCATTTTTTGCTATATAACTTATACTGAAGATTCTGACAAGTTGGAATAGTCTATTATTATACTTCCAACTTGCATTAAACTTGATCAAAACTTGCGTACATTTTTATTTATTTACTTTTCTTTTCTTCCTTTTATCTTTTCCTTTTACTATACAAACAAGATTTTTGAAGGAAAATAATTAAAAAAAGAGAAAAAAGACCTGACTTAGGCAACGAAAGATTCGATAGAAATATGTGCAATATACTTAAAACTTGGTGAATTCTTGCAAAATAAAAGAGAGAGATAGAGGGAAACTAAAGAGAGAGAGAGAGAGAGAGAGAGAAAGGAAAAAAAATGAATTAACATACGAAAATTGCTCTTCTTTTTTCTTTCTTTCTTTTTTGTTTTTTGATACAAAAGAAGATTTAGTGTACACAAGATAAACTGAAGAGTAACTATTAATTTTAATCAATATATTGTTAAATTTGTGTATCTAAACTTGATATTTACATATTTATATATGCAATATATTAAATTAATAAATAAATACTCTAGATATTCTGCGTACAGCAATTCTACTGTATTATAAAAAAGAAATAAGTCTATACACTTGCTGCATACATTTATATGTTTTATATATGTTTATTATAGATTGAAATATTGCAATATATTACAGGTTTTTCTTTTTTAGTTTTTTGTTATTTCTTTCAATAAAAGAAAATTAAAGGAGAAATATCAGCAAAAGTTTATTAAAATTTTGGTTATTTGACCGGAATAGCAACAGTCGACAGACGTTTGGTAGATATCAATTATAAGATGTTTCTGTTATGATAATAATATTATATACAATATACAAAGATATAAACATCTTCATATAAAAATACATTTGTATCCTTACTTTTAATATAAGTAACATTTTACTCTATTTTCTCATTATATACCTAATAAATGTATAATGATGGCTATTGATAGGCAATATCTATTGTACTAAATGCGTACTGTGTATGAACTGTATAGTATTTATGAGCCAAAGTTTACTTTTTAATAAAAGCACATATATATATATATATGTACAGTAGGGAGTCGTTACGCTAGAATAGGTTAAGGAAAAATGACGAATGATGAAGAGACACTGACGCAGCGGTCTTCCTTCACGTTTCGATAACTTCTGCTTAGCGAAAGAGTTGCGAGAAGGAAATGTTGGGAGGGTGGTGGACTGTTGCAGAATTAGGTTCATGTTAAGAAGGTCGCTAATTTCCTTTATCAAACACCCTGTTTGCTTTACAAACCAAGGATTGTTTACGAATTAAATACCGTGAGAGTTGCATAGGCAATTTTTGTCATCGCAAAATATTGACAAAGTCGAGCGATTAGTCTAAAAAAAAATGAATGTCGTTGGCTGGAGAGGGGCATTCGTCATTTTGTTCTATATTTAATTCAAATTTACTTGATATTTAATACGTCAATATATACAGTATATATATATATTTACAGTTTGTATATAAATATATATCAAAAAATGTTTGTCGACTATTTTTCGTTGACGTTTACGTAAATATAACAATCTCTTTTGACGTCTCTGCGAATTTTTAATAATTCAAATGAAATTAATAGCTTGTTCATACTCAACATATGTTTCCTTTTCTTCTTTCGTATCGTTAATATTTATAATTATTAAAATGAAATGCTGTGTTATGTACAGGTGCTATAAAAGTCACTTTAATGCCTTTTCGTGTTTACCTCTAATAAATAGTAGAATAAAACTACGCCTGGAATTTTTGGTTTATTCTCTCAAAGCTTAAAATAATAATAATAAAAAAGATAAATAGTATTTATATATAGACAGCAAAAAATCCTGCAAAAATGATAAAGAACAAAACTGAGCATCAATCATCTATAGATTTTTTTTAAGAAGACTCTCAACTGAATGTATCAACGTAGAATTTCTAATTCCCCATTTGTGACCATTGGAAATCTTTCGGGGTATTCAGTTGACTTTAGGCGTTATTGACGTAACTACATCATAATATTTCAGAAATGTAGACCTATAATTAAGTAGGAGCATAAATGTTGCTTTAGATGAATTATAAATATGTAGGTATGGAATAAATGCCTATGAATATATTTTATCGATTTGGTAAAGTGTCGGAGAAAATGCAAAAATTTATTGATGGACTTTCTCTCTCTTTCTCTCTCTCCCCCTCTCACTCTCTATCTTTCTGCCTCTCATTCTCTATTTTGTACCCTCATTTACTTCCTCTTCTAGCCTTCTTTCTTAATCATGAGTAAATTGTCGTATATGACTTTTACATATATTGCCCTTTCCATTTTCTATATTTTCTGTAAGAAATATAAAGAAATATAGAATATCTATGATAACTGGTCCCAAATCGTCACCACGTGACTGACATTGAATGGAAGAGAACGATTTTTTTTCGAAGCGCAAAGATTGGGTTAAACGTCTTTATTACCCTCAAAATGTTATGTAATGGCAGGCCCAAACCATGCCTAATAATAGTGATTGAGAAGAAAGAGCGAATAAGAAAGCGTGAATAAGAAAGACTAATTTATCAAGGGATTTACAAAACTGATTGGTATCTTGATAGTATGATATTAAAGCATTGCCGAAGGAAAAGTAAGGCAATTTAATACTTTTTCTATATATCGTATCAATGTATAAGAAGTATACTAAAAGAAATTTCCATATGAGAGTTTTATAAACTTAATGGAAGAATTCTAATCAAATTAATAGATTCTGCTCGAAAAATTTGTTACTAGACCAACTTCAACTAAACGGAGTCCCATAAATAAATTAATAAGAGGGATGACTTTGTTATTGAAAGGAATAAATTGAATAAGACTTTCCAACGGCCGAAGGCAATGATGAACTCCACTGAGATAGTAGTGTTCACCAAAAAAAAGAGACTTCGCCTAATCAAATTTTTACTAAGACTGCTAAGACTAACGTTTAATTATTGCAGTGGAAAACTGGGCCTAAGTGAATGTTCTACGACGCTAAAAAAACCTTTTAAACTTAGCAGTTACAAAAAAAGCCATAAAACGTCAACGAAACCTGCTTTTACTCATTTGTTATTTCCTTGTCTTTGCTCTTTCTTATCTGTATCTAAAGAAATGACGCGATTATCTTATCGATTATTTTGTGTTCATTCGAGAGAGAGAGAGAGAGAGAGGGAGAGAGAGATAGATAGAGAAGGTAGAGTAAAGAGAAAGCAAACAAGAAAGAAAAGGATAAAGAGTTTGTAATTCAAAAGAAGATCAGAAAATGAAAAGTAAGCAAGGTAATAGGATAGAATAAACATGAAAGAAATACATTATACTTAGAAAATGATTAGAACGACAACAATTATTAAAATGTTTCTAATAATTAATAATAAATATCTCTAACTATAATGTAATTGTATACGTATAATAGACTTAACATTTCTATTTTGCATATTCAATTAGGCATATTTAAGGAAAAATAAAAGAGATTTTATTAATTGAAAAAGCTTATTCATTACAGAAATCTTTAATAAGATTACATAAGATATAATTCCAAGATTTCTCTTGGAATATCAATTGAATAATTGTTGAATTGAATTTGTTCAATTTTCTTGTACATATAACAAATATTATATTAATATAAATAGAATTTGAAAATTGTATTTATTCAGTTAATTAATAACTAGTTTAACTTTGTTGCTTTGGTTGATAATTACTTCTATAATGTTGAAAATATATGTACAATATACAGTATTTACAGTAAATACACCAGCGACATCTATATCTCTAACCTAAAGAAATGATTAGTTAGTTTCATCTTTCAAAGTTTCTCTCAAATCAGAATTTTTACCTATAATAATTGTTACAGAATTTGCAGAATGGCAAAAGGAGTAACTGGAATCTTTGAGGACTTTTTTCTTCTTTCGTAAATGATACATTTTCATAACTGCTTGCGTCTTTCGGCATTGACACATAAGAAACAATTTAAGACAATGTCTGATAGTTCTTACTGCGTAGATGTATAAAAAAGGGTTTATTGCCGATTTAAGGAGGAATAAATCCATCGTTATCCTTCGAAAAAAGTTACTATCAGCAAGATCAATAAGGAAGAAAGGAATCCAACAGACGACAAAATTGATTAGTATTAAAGTGGCTATTATAGATGCTTTTGAATAAATTCCTGGTAATTTTTGGGTTTTCAATAAGCTAAGTCTAGCAAGTACAATAAATCTTCTTATTCCCAGTAAGCAAGCAAACACCGTTGTCAGTTGAAAAAGAAAAATAAATGAGACAAAAAATGAAGTAGTCGTTTTGCATAGCAGTTTATTCATTCCTAAATCAACTTCATTCATAGCAACTATTTCGAGAATGGAAGACGTGAAGACATATAGAGATGATTTTATTATATCAATAGTAATAGTAGTAATACAATAAGAAGATAAGAATGATGAAGCGAGGAGAGAGAGAGAGAGATTCAATATTAGTTTTAGATGAAAAAAAAGATATATTGTTTTTATTGGTTATGTTTTTAGCTTAGTAGTTTTTTTTTCACCTAAAACTCCATTGAATAAGATTATCATGACAATATAGATAATCGCTGAATAGGATGGAAAAAACTGTCGACTCTTTCTGCTTAAAGCCAAAGCATTCAAGTAAATGCTAATTAGCATCTGAGTACTTAAGCCGATGCTTGTTAATATAGCAAACAACTTTCCAGTAAACTTGCAAAAATATTCTGTATTATTTAGTTCTCCGTTAAAAAGAGCAAGGAAAGTATAAAGTGGAGAATAAACAGAGCAGACGAAAAAATCTATAAGTGATTGGAAAGCGATAAGACTTTGTAAAAATTTCTGACTATGCTTGTTTGCCCAAGAACTCAAAAAGACCAATGAATTCGATACAGAACCAACCAGACAA